TCGTAGTCTAAAGAATAACTTTAGAGTGCTTCAATCTAATCTGACATAGCTGGTCAAACTTTTGTTGTCGATGTATTCTTGTGACACAATACAATGCTTCAATAATTGAGTTACAAATAACTTGTTGGTACTGACATTATAGGTGTTCAAGCATTGTTATCTTCAATATTTGGGAACTCCTTGACTAATTAGTCAATTAATTAGTTGAGCTTGAAAACTGGTATATCATGGGATATTACATGCTTATTGGACATTATTGGGTTAGATGCAGGTACTAGAATATGATTGAATTTTGTTTAACTTTTTGATTGTTTGATATTATGGCTCAGATTCTTGATGCGTTTTCGAGCTGCTCTTCATCTTCGAACAAGAATCTACAGTTGTCTTACTCGACTCTATTGCTCAAGTGAGTATATTCTAACTGCTGTTAAGAGCATGCACCTTTCCATTCTCCTTTTAATAATTCTCCTTTTACTTATTACCGTCTTTACAATTATTTCTTCATTTTCTCTTTGCCTTTTGTTTAGAAGAACCTATTTCGTTTTCTGTGTAAATTTGGTTTGGAATTGAAAAGGATGGATAACTAGTTTAATTTCTCTTTTTTGATTCATGTACATATACTTTAAAGGTTGTTCGTTTTGCAATTTCTTGAGTATGGTAGTAGATGTCAGTTATGTTGTTGCCAATAATCTAAGAGGTACTACTCAAGCATATTGTTCTCAAATCTTTTCTTACTTGAGATCATAATGTCTTTCCAAACTGGAACCGATATAATTATGCTCTCATGATTACTTGTTCAAAATAGTTAAGACTATCCTTGAAGAAGGTAAAGCACCTGCACTATTCTCAAACTCACAACCAAAGAGTAGCGCTTTCCCTTTTTCATGGCTGTTCTTTTAGCTGGTAGAGATGTTAAGAAGTTTGTCTTTTGTCATGAATTCTTGACATGGAATGTTCGGAAAAAACAGTGTTTTGACTCTATAAGTTGGATTCTATCATTTTTAAGCAGGCAGTATCATCTGCATAGAGAATCAGTATGCCTGTATTTATGGCCAAGAGATAATGGCATTGCAATAGTTAAATCATTGATCTTAATGGAAAGTGTGCATACAACTACTAGCCCTTGAGATCTTATTTGCTCTCTTGAGACCCCGGCAGTAAGATTTCTCTCTTTTTTTTGTTAGCTTTAAGTACACTAGTGAGGAGATGTGGTTATAGGATGGAGACTTGCGCTAACAAAGGCAGGAGAAGACTTGGAAAGACATGAAAGGAGAATAATAGGGAAATTACATGTATGTCTTAGAAAAGGTTGATACCGAATCGAGTGAAAATTGGCATAAAAGGATCCATATAGCTGACCCCTACTTAGTCTAATGAGGCTTAGTTTGTTATTGTTATACAAGTATACCAAAGACTTAAGCGCTCATCTTGTTTAAGATATACGTAGCTCCAACTTGTTACCTTTTTATCGTGGTAGCTCAATGGACATGTTATTTCCTCTTAGACTGAGAGTTCAATACTACCATGCACAGTTATGCTGTGCTATTGATTGAGAAGAAGGATGAAGAAGGTCAATCTCAAGTTCTTTCAGCAGTACTTGAGGTAGGATTTGATTTTTCACTTCTGGCTGGATTGCTTAAATTGCTGAAGCTTTTATTTTTGTTTTTCGTTTAGTGGCTAAAGTACCTTATTTTGATAATTTGCTGCTGCCTTTTTTCAGCTTGCAGAAAATGAATCTTTAGAAGTTGATGCAAGATTTCGAGCTTTTGTAGCTATTGGATCATTGGTACTAACAGACCTCTCTTTTTAACCCTGATTTACAATTATCTTGATCCAAATACTTCTCTTTGAATAGGAAAAGGTTTTCTAGGGCTGTCCATTAGACTGTCCTGGAAAAAAGTGTCGTTACTCTGTGGTTTGCATCTCTTAATGAATTCAAGTTAATTCAATGCGTTCATTAATAATGCTGAGTGGCTCGTGAAATTTTTATGCATTTACATCTATGGGTGCTTCCTTATGATGTGTGGGGCTTAGAATAAAAGTGAAACTTTTACTATAGTGAACGGGCAGTATGCAGCTTGGTTCTATATAAAGTGAAACAGATGGAGATAATTATGAATGATGATCTAATGCTTGACTTAAGAATCAGATTTTTTTATGCCAGGCGAATCTATATGACAGTATTCGTTGTTGTGGAGCCTTGGTCATGACTTTGTTAATTTTCTTGAACAGATGCTTGATGGTCTTGTTAAAAGAATCGCTTTGGATTTTGATGTTGAGCACATTGCCAAAGCTGCGAAGACTTCTAAAGAAGCCAAGATTGCTGAAGTAGGAGCAGATATTGAACTCCTAATAAAGCAGAGTTGAATCAGTGTTATTTGTGGTAAGTGACAAATTTTTGTGGTTCCTGTCGATATTAAACGTGGCACTAGCAATTCGCACGAGATTCCTGGCTGAAAGCATATGACCTTTCCATCTCTAGACTACTGCGTTCCTCGCAAACGTAGAGAATGAGATCCTGAATTTACATGCATCTTATAGATTTGAATCAGAAAATGCTTTATGCCCCCAGGTACTTGATCAAGTCCTAAGCATCAGACGTTAATCTTTTATTCTCACGAAGAAAATGATCTGCAACTTTTCTATAGGCCCTGAAGCGGTTTTCCTCTTCAATTCATTGAACTCTATGCAAAATAATGAGCTTATTTGGCTGCTCTCTGTTACTGTCTTCTCCAGACAGCTGTGCAAATATTCAACTGCCCGTGATTCCATCGAGGGGTTCAACACTTGCTATACAGAAGTCTTTCAGAACAGTATTCATGCGACCGCAGAGGAACAATGGGTCATTTAAACAGAGATGGCCTCATTTGAAAGGCATTGATTGGCCTTAAAAGTATCATCTGTTGGGAATCCTATACTGTGTAGACGATTACATGATAACAGATTGAGATTGCACGGGTCTACAATTTCCTTTATGCCAGCAAAAGCTCTGAGACTATGGTATGGACTAACAGATCACCATAAGAAGCATGGAAGGGAAAAAATACCGGGCCAGGTGCCCTGCAATGCATAGGTCTTTTAGCGTCCGTTCTTTACCATATCCAGAGAAATGTATGTGGAAGTGAAATAGAGTGCTTGTCAATTCTGACGTAGGACGCCAAATGCATACGTCTTTTGGAGGTTGGTTGATTCATTTCTCGGGATAGGCAGTCAACTGTCAAACATGCTCTCTCTCTCTCTCTCTCTCTCTCTCTCTCTCTCTTTCAAGATAATATTCGGTGGCTTGATTCCATCACATCAGCATCATATGTGACGTGTATTTCTTTACTCGTTTCCACAACCGTATTGAAATGTGTCCGCTGATCCATCAACAGTTGATGTGGATCTAAAGTAAAAAATTAAAATATCTTCTCTCTTCTCTCTCTCTTCCTCCTTTCTCTAACGGCCGTCTGACCTCCGTTCCTTCCCTGCCGATTGGTGCCGTGACCAGGTCGACAATCGCTGGAAAGCTGAGCATGGCCGGCTTCCTTTGTTTTATAATTGTTCTCCGGATCTAGAGATATGACGGTTCGTGACCGAAATCGTTGGCGTCACTTGTACAGGGCCGTCACTGGCATCATGACAAACACGTTTAGGAGTCTAGTTCTACAGCCGCTGTGTCTAAGCCGAGCCACAACCATCTTCCTTTGTTTATCAACATCTCTTCATTCTCTAGATCTCATGATTTGCTCGTCCACGATGCCACTTGTCCATGGCCGCGTTGAAGCTCCCGCCGTCTTCCCTGACATTTATTCCTCTATTTTTTCTATTGCTGTTTGAGCTTGAAGTCCATGGCCGTTGAGATCTTGAGCTCACCGTCAAGGCTCACGGCCATGGATAACCTGATGTAAGCAAAATTTGTGGACAAGCCGCCACGCGAACCATGGATGAGACCAGATCTAGAGGCATGGCGCTAGCCTTGATCTGATTCAAGGCCGACCACAAGCCGATCGTGAGGGACAATGGAGCCAACCACAAGCATGATGGAGCGGAAGATTCCATGGTTGAACATATCCTTCCAAGCAGATCTTTTGTTTTCTTTAATATTAGTCCACGTCAGCATAAACATGCCAATTTGCGATTGAATTTGAGTTAAAAAAATACATTCCACCTTAGCAGTCGATATGGAAGTAACAACATACCGAATATTTTCTCCTCTCTTGCTCTCTCTCGAACCTAGAGAGGAGCATGATTAAATTCACTTCTCCAAAAGTCCCATACTTCTGCAACTTGATCACTTGTCTTGGCGTACTCCATCATGCGTCGTAAATCGATGAATTTCTTATGCCGGTTTTAAAAGTCCTAAGGTTATTATTCCAAGCTCCTGAAAGTGGAAATAACAGCGTAAAAGAAGCCGAAATGCCATATATCTATCTCGATCATCACCAGGCTATCTCATTCTCTAACAAAATTTTCCTTATTCGTAGGTAGTAATGTATAGAAGAAGAGGCTCAAAATTTGATTCGATAAATATCGATGCTGTCATGAATCATCTTCTACTAGTTCATACATCTTTGGGCTTCAGACAAAGCGAACAAGTTCATTTTGGATACCGCAGCATGATGGCCGGCGTTTTGTCTTGTTCAAGCTTTCCCTTTTTTGTTGGTCATTTTTTCCTAGGGTCGGCTCCCAACTCCCGAGCAAATCTCTGCGGATCCTAAGCCGCACTTTCATTTTCTCATTATGTTCGGCGCAGATCCCATTTTGAAAAGAGCATTGCGGCATAAAAAAAGTTGAACAGAGTTAGAAGGTTCCCATTAGGGAGTTGGTGAGTTGCCAGCAGACAAAAAAACGACCGAATTCCACTAATTTGACCGAATTTCCCCCTAATTTTAATGGCGAGGATAATGAAATACCAACTTGCTCGACAGCAAATGAATAAACATTTAAGAACACGCAAAGAGCAATCAAGACAACTCAGAAGGGCACCAACCACGTACCAACCTCGAACCCGATATAACCAAGAAACCGTTCATGAATTCAAGAGAATTTGGTGTATTGATATACTTTTAAATTTGCGAAAGAATGCTTCTTTATTGCCACGACCAACTTTGGTCGTGGGGAAGTGTACCAAAGTCCGCTCCGCCCCAGGAAGAACAGAGGAGGGTTAAGCGGACATACATCGTGGGTCTCACATTATGCAGGTGTTGGGAGTTTCACACATATTTCATTAACTATTGAAATGCCTGTGTCTGCCAAAAAACAATTTGCATTCAAAAGAGCATCCTTGTCTTCGTGGCTCGATCAATGCTTTAAAAGAAAAGGACAAATACCTAAGTAAATGACAAGAACTGGGGGTTGTTAGAAAGTACTCCCCTCAGATAGAACCTGTGTAATATTTTCCGTGTCAGTAAGTGAGAAAAGAAGAAAAAGCCGTTCCCTGTCTGGCAGGAGTTGGGATGGGGGTGACACAAGATTCAAAAGACAACGTTGCTGGACGAGAGACAATTGAAGGCAAAAGCATATGCGATAGAAGGAGAAGAGTCCTCTGAGATCTGGAGGAAGATGGTGAAGTGTCTGGGTGGTGGTGGCAAGGTGACCAAGAAATGCATGAAAGAGTCCAAGAAGACATGGGAGATAGCTGCACCTGCTATTCTCACCGCAGTTGCCCAGTTCTCAATTGGGGTTATGACTGCTGCATTTGTTGGGTATGTGGGTGATGTGGAGTTTGCTGCTGTCTCTATTGTTCAGAATGTGCTTGAAGGCTTTGTCTATGGGGTCATGGTGAGTCCCTTTTTCCCTGGTATTGACTTCAAGCTCAAACATAACATGGATTGAGGGAACATTGGAGAAAACTTTGCCTTTTGATCATGAGATTTTTGTTTTTCAGGATATATGATCTGTTACGATGTCCATGTGATTTGTTTTGATTATTCCCTTCACTCAGAAAACATCAACATTTGCCTTCTTTAAACTAATTTCATTTTGACCGCGAATTGCTTCACAGAATGTTCTTGTGCTTGACAACCTTAGAATTCCTACTAGTAAGACTGTGAAGCCTAAATTTACTGCATTTGAATGAGTCAATCTCTTCATTGCTGCAGCCTTATCGTGTCAGCTTGAATTTCATCATACATGTACTGGATCCTTCCTGTATACTATTGATTTTTGGCCCAAAAGAAAAGTCAATCCCGAGATTCCTATAATTACAAACAGTTAGAATTGTAACGTTACTCTTCGTCCCAATTTGACGTATTGCTGAACTTTTCTAGTAGCTTGGGATGGGAAGCGCCCTCGAGACGCTCTGCGGTCAAGCTGTTGGTGCGGGGAAACTGCACATGCTGGGCATCTACATGCAAAGATCATGCATCATCACCGGCGTCACAGCCTTGCTTCTAACCCCCGTCTATATTTTTGTATCGCCAATACTTCAAATCCTTCGGCAAGACAAGCATATTTCTGACCTTGCAGGGAAGTACTCGGTGTTAGTAATTCCACAATTATATGCTTACGCCTTGAACTTTCCTGTTCAAAAGTTTCTGCAATCTCAAAGTAAAGTTTGGGTCATGACCATCATCTCCTTAATGGCTCTGGCATTACATGGTCTTCTGAATTGGGTGTTGCTGACAAAGCTTCAATATGGCCTTAAGGGGGCTGCGATAGCTGGAAATATATCATGGTGGTTCTTGGTCGTGGCTCAAACAATATATGTGGTCGGTGGTTTCTTCCCAGTGGCGTGGACTGGTTTCTCTATGCTTGCTTTCAAGTCGCTAACTAGCTTCGTGAAGCTGTCGCTGGCATCAGCCATTATGTTATGGTTAGATGTTGTACATCAAAATCTGCATACTCACATATTCAGTCTACCGTTTTTCTTCTTATTCTATTGTGAGAAGCATTTTACCATGCTGATAGCATTTATGTGGTTATTGTGACAGCCTGGAGCTGTGGTATTACACAGCCGTTATTCTCATGGTGGGATGCTTGAAAAATCCAGAAATTGCAGTTGACGCCATATCGATCTGGTCAGACATTTATTCTTCCTCTTTCACTGAGATGATACCTATGTTTTTCTCTCTTTTAAGAATGTTTTGTGCTTAATTTTTTTCCTGCCTATGGCAGCATGAATTTGCAAACCTGGGCTCTGATGATTGCCCTAGGCTTCAATGCTTCTGTGAGGTTAGCTTCTTCACTTCCCAATCTACCTTTTTTCCTCGAACATGGGACATAACATCTAGACCAGAACATTATGAATGTTTCCCTAAAGCAGCATGCGTTTTAGATAACAGTTCTTCTTCACTTACTCCTGTCAGCTTCACCTATGCTTTTGAATTCTTGCAGTGTGAGAGTGTCCAATGAACTCGGTGGTGGAGATGCCAAAGCAGCAAAGTTTTCGGTATTGATCAATATTTTCACATCCACAGCAATAGGGATTTTCTTCACAGCAGCAGTAGCTTCAACAACGACTGTGTTCCCCAAGATATTTAGCAACCAACAAGAAGTCATAACAGAGACGTCGAAGCTCGGTTACTATCTCGCAGCTACAATCTTCCTCAATAGTATCCAACCAGTTCTTCACGGTACTCTTTCATTATGCCTACATCTATAACCTGAAATGTCACATTATAAGATTTGTCTATGTAGATCTTGATCAAGTATTTGGTTGAACCGTGAACACTTGTCCAGGGGTGGCGGTTGGTGCAGGATGGCAATTCTTCGTCGCCATAGTGAACATTGGATGCTACTATCTTTTGGGGCTTCCAATCGGAGCCTTGCTTGGATACAGGTTCAAGCTTGGTGCAGTTGGCATTTGGATCGGGATGCTAATTGGCTGCCTAAGCCAGACCGTCGTGCTTCTCTTTATTATCTTTCGAGCAAATTGGCGAAAGGAGGTACCGCGTGCATAATCTTCTTTTACTACCTGACCACTTTGGCGTTCCTTAGTTCCAACATACGTAAAAGTCTCTGCAAAATGATGTGCAGGCTCTGCAGGCCGAGATACGCATGAGAACATGGGGCGGGCAATCGGAACCTCCAGAGGAACCTCCAGAGATTACATCAGAACCCAATGGAACACGCCGACTGAATACATAATATACACTTACTGATACTATAGTTTTTTTTGGAATAAAACCTTGCTATCAATTTTCTTCTTTTCTTTTCTGACTTTATATCACATATAGAATTTGTGCAGATGAAAGATAAATAAGTTGACGCGAGATGGTTATATCCGCTATGCATTCAAATGTACAAAACTATGATAGCAAATATTGTCATGATATCATAACAGAGCCCTTGGGTTATTACTTGAAGTACTAGCTCCAAAAGGCAAAGTCTGAAAGCACCAACAGCATAAACTGACCGTGAGGTCCATCGCAGAACTGTGATATGATGAAGCGTGAGAAGAAAGCGCATAACTTCCAAATTTTCAGACATTATGGAGCATACGACATTGCTCATCTCTTTCTCTCAGTTCATTTCAAAAAGAGATTGACAATATACCCGCTTCCTTTCTTTCCCGAGTCATTAGTCCCGTCGGACCCAATAATTGTTGATTACTACATCCTTGCAGCTAAAGATCCATCCCTTCCTATTCATATCGCGGAGAAGCGAGCAAGTGTTCTAGAATTATAGTATCGTGCCGTTGTTTTAGTTAAGAATGCCCACAGGAAAGACAAATTCCAAAGAATTATGACACACATTAACAGACTGCTGACAACCCGAACGGAACTGAGTTGAAATAGGGAACTATGGCATCTCATTCTTTGTAGATCAATAAGCATGTCAAGTCTGCACAAACAGATATCACTTTGTTGAAGCTCAGAGATGAACATATGTTTGACATTTGTAAAATCCAGTCAAATTAAAGCCTTACATCACATCATTAGATCTACAAGAGCAGACTAAAGTTCAGTGGCATATAGGCTTATAATACATCAAATTTGCAGGGTATTTGGCCATTATACTTCAAATCTACGGAGCTTCTCATTTTTATTCACACAAGGACCGGCTGATAACTAAGCCATGATCTTATAGTCTGTGATCTTATATCAAGCCAGTTGCAAGGCCTCTTCCCTTTTAATGTCGAAGACCTTGACTAAAGCATCCTCAACGACCTGGTAAGGAACAAAAGCATCATTAGTATTACTGAAGGATTGACTTTCAGAACAAAGTACCAGCAAATATGCAACATATGAATCTTTAGAGCCTAATGTAGTTATCATCTAACTGCATTGAACGATAGTTCTAAGGAGACCAAATTTTCAGTGCATAATAATTGGACAGAGGGCTCAATGTGGTAACAAATATACAAAGGAAAGGCTTGATAGAAACCTCTTATCCTGATCAAGTAAACCATGCATAACAATAGTATCTCAAGGAAAACTCAGTCACGCCCATAATGTACAGTACCATAGATAGATGAGAGGTCAATGGGAAAGCGGCCAAAGGAAAGGACTCATGAAGAAGAAAAGCTGTTCTCGTAATAGAGTTTCACCAGGCTAGAAGCTTACCTTATCTGGGGTAGAAGCTCCTGATGTTACTCCAATTGTTATGGGACCCTCTGGAAGCCAATTTTCTTTCTCAACTAATTCCCCATGCTATCGCAACAGCAAAGTACAAAGGTCAGTAAAAGAAGGCATAAACACTCAAATCTGCTGGAGTGCAACTTTGAAGTACAGACTTACGTTCAATTTGTAGGCTATTCTGTTTCCAGGACCTACTCTCTGCTCACTGTCAATCCAATAAGAGGGTATGCCACGTTCTTCAGCAATCTCTTGAAGATGAGATGTGTTGCTGGAGTTCCACCCACCAACGACTAGCATAAGATCCACCTTCTCCTCAACTAACTTATACATAGCATCTTGGCGCTCCTGAAGAAGGCCAATGTTGAAAAAATTGCATCAGCATCTTAAAGACAGAGCAGAAGTCATGAGTTAGCAACCGACTCAAACTTCTTTCTTCTTTCTTCTGTTCTCTATTCTTCCTTTCTGTAGTATCTCATCATAGTTTTGGCTACAGGATTTGTATTATGCTCCTTCCACATATAAAACTTGTCATGGAAAAAATACAATTAAGAAAACTACCTCCCTGCCTTTTAGGCGGCACTCTGCATTTAAGACCTCATCTCTCTAGTTCAATTTCTAGGGTACTTACAGAAGAGAGCTAGCACCTGAGGTCTTCACATGAAAATTGGCATTGACCACTATCAAGCAGTAGGCCTTCCTATTCTGACATCGAGAGTCATTAGATATCTCAACTATGGCTACTCTTTTTCTGTTTGGCAAGTTGAAAAAAATTTACAGGCCAATGGCCATGTCAAGCTCTAGTTATCTCGCAAGAGGTTTTGATACACAGAAGACCTGAAAAAGCTTGGAGCTTCAGGAAGGGCAAATTACTTGAGTAGCATCACAAATTGTGTTAAAGCTTATGAAGTGCTGATTGACATTTTCCACTCCATACTTGCGCATCATAGTCCTCTCCACCAACTTCCCTGAAAATTTAACAAAACGTTCAACTTGAATAGCAAGTCGGACAAAGGGAGAAAAATCTGTAAAGATTTTATTGCTATTTACCAATCTCTTCAGTCTCTCCCTTAAGCATTGTGGTTTGATTTGCAATGCCAGCTTTAATAAGATCATTGTCAGGGTCAAATCCCGGCGAAACAGCATACTTGAATTTCTGCACCAAAGCTAAAATGTGAACAAGTGTTGTCTTAATCAAAAATAGGAAATATTAGCAATCTAGCAGTACCTCTAGAAACGCCTCTTTAGTCGAGCTAGAACCATCGAGCTCACCCCCAAGAATGTAATCACACACATACATTGCCTGGACATATGGCAAAAGTAGTTACAGATAAGACATCTCCATCACACTATTTGACAGAAACATAGATCAGTGTCAATATTGCACCGCAAAGCATAATGAATAGAGAGCTTCATCTAAGCCATACCTCCTTCATATTCTTCACGATAATGTACTTTCCAGCAAACGATGCAGTAGCTACGGTTTCTTCATGAGCGTATTTACCATGAATAATTGAAGTGTAGTCTCCTTTCTTGTGCTTCTCCACGGTGTTCCATACCTTTCGTGCAAAGATCAGAAACATTTAAGAAGGGAAATGAAGGAATAAGAATGCGTCACAAACAAAGTTAAGGCCACAACCAAAGGAAATAACGTGCTATATTATCCTGTCTCGGGGCCATACCTTGGATACCCATGGGCAAGTCGTATCCACAATTTGCACGTTTTTCTCGCTCAAAGTCAACATCTCCTCCACTGCTGCTCCAAAAGCAGGAAGAATGACAACATCACCTTTGTTAACGACATCAAACTGTTTTTGGCCTTCTTCGAGGGGGAGATTCTCCACTTCCATTTCCTCCAAGCGCTGTCAGTGTGATGAAAAACTATCAGTAAATTAAAGTGCATAACGCAATACGCACACCATTCAAGCAAATCAGCCAGAACAGCAAAACTGCTGTTCCGTATCTGACCTTGTTAACAGTAGGGTTGTGGATAATTTCATTAGTAATCCAGATCTTCTCCTCCGGAAACTGCTTTCTTGCCTCATAGGCAATCTGAACGGCTCGCTCGACGCCCCAGCAGAAACCATAGGCTTCGGCAAGTTTAACAGTAACATTTCCCCAGGTATACACATTTCCATTTTCCTTCAGAGTTTTAATAATATCACCTGGCATATGGAAAAAAACACGGCATCCTTACATTTCACAATTATTCAGAAACGCTGGTAATTGATGTCAAGACAAGTAGTATGGCGGCAAAAACATCATACCAACATAGATTGACAGCTAGAAATGCTAGAAACGGAATCAACAACACCAGTACATGAAGCATAGGATCTATATACGTGTAATATACTTTCACAAAGTTCCTAAAGATCGTAGCTCAATAATTATGATAAAAAAATGCTTTTTTTTTCTGACACAACTACCATATTTTCTAGTCAGTCAATAACTAATCAGTCAACTAGAAGTGGTCATAAAAAAGAGCCAAATTTACTCCTTCAATCCGAGCTGAGCCCAAAATCAAAGTCTTCTCGCGTGCACCGAAGCTCAAACCAGCCGTACCGAACAGAAGCAAACGCACAGGCGACAGAACAAAACGAAGGAAGGAACATACTGGTGTACTCGCGATTCATGAGCTGCAGGGTCTCGTCCTTGTAGCCGAAGCCCTTCCGGTTGTAGTTCTTGCTCCTGGTCAGGTTGTGCCGGAACACCTTGGCGTCGAAATCGCCGTCGGCGGCCACGGAGGAGGGGGGGGAGGGGGAGGGGGAGGGCTCGCCGGAGCATCGGACGGAGAGGGGCCTGCTGCGGCAACGGAAGGCGGCGGCCCCGGGGCCGGCGAGGCTCTCCGGCAGGGAGAGGTCGGAGCGGCCGGCGGGGATGCGGCAGAGGTGGAGGGTGATCGCCATGGTGCGCGCGCGCGCGTGTTGAGCAGAGCGACGATGGACGGCGAAGGGAAGGTGCGAATGGATTTGTGCGACAGTGGTGGGGGAATTTATCGTCTACCGACTCGTGTCCCGTGCTTTTTTGGGCCAATTTTTTTTTTTTAAAAAAAATTACTAAAACTATTTCTCTGCATGGATTTGGCTTTTTGTGTGGGGGAGGATCATGGTTTTTCCTTGGGGGCCGATTCCAATGTCCCTTTCCAATTTCACCAACCCAACTGTGTATAAAAGTGTGTTAATTGCTATTTTCGTGCTAAAAGCAATTCACGCCGTATTAAAAAACCATCTTATGCTCTCGCCTTGGCTATAAATTTAAGCTGGGTTCTGATCAATTTGTTTTGCGTTACAGCTCTTCTTGCGCACGGCGATTCTCATTTTGGGAATTTGTATATTTTTCGTATACATGGAGTCTCCTCCACCTATGAAATTAAGCTTTTGTATTGGATATCCTAACAACTCACTTGCATAAATTCAACTAAATTTATTGCCGAAAAAGAGATATTAAGAGAGAGTGTTAAGTGGCCTCGGAAAATCTGAGTGTTCGGAAAATATGATCCATGAAAAAATCGAGTGTTTTGGAAATTTTGCCAAGAGTTTTTAATTCATTTTTTAGAGTTTGGGGCGAAGGGAAGAAGCAAACAGAAGGGAGCCACGTGTAAACTTCCGGTCACGCATGAAAAGATAGTTAGAGACCGGACGGACCACGTGTAAACTTCCAGTCCAAGGAATCTTTCGCTCGTTCGCTCCCTACCATAACTTCACGTCCGGCTGCAATGGCCAAGTTCTTGTCGTGTTCCACGAGTTCCATGTCGCTGTCCTAAGGAATCTTTTGGCCAAGATTGAACCCCCCGCTTCGCAAAGTTGGAGTTCGTAGCTGGAAGGAACCTAACCAAACGACGCACGGCTTGTTCAGTAGAATGAGATCCACGTTATCCGTGTCCAGAAGGTACGAGGCTAGTCACAGCTACTCGCCATGTACAGGGCAACTTCTTTCTGTTCTGATCAATAGCTTAACCCCGTTTCGGTGATCGATAGACATCTCCTTTCGTGGGGACGGCGATTTTCGTGATTTCCATCTCCACCCACCAACCCCCTACGGAGGAGAGTAGGAGAGGCGGCGTGACCACTAGGAGAACGGCATAGAGGCTGATGAGTGATGACCATTTCTGAATTCGTGTTTTTTCATGTATGCAACGCCATTAATGAGCAGCGCCAATGCTGCTGTTCAAGTCAAACGCAGCTGTTCTGTTTGCGTTCTTCCTTGTGTTCAGTGGGCCTGAGCTTCGATTTCATGGGGCAGGATATGTTTGTTGGGCCGAGCCCATGGAAAAGTCAGAGCCTCGGCTTCCAAGGCCCAGGCCCAAGACCCGCTGTTCGCCGCCAATTTTGGGGATTGAGGGTTTCGCATTTGAACAATAGCTGCTGAAGAAGAAGAAGACGAAGGAGAAGAAGGAGAGGAAGAGGCAGCAAGGTCCTGAAAATGGCGGAATCCGAGGGATCGAACCAGGCGGAGAAGAGAGACGTTGCTCCCTCCACGGCCTTGGACTACCTCGATCCTTCTTACTGGTACGATACACGCGTTCATCACATTCGCGTTTTCGCCATTTCTCCTGCCGAGAGGCAAATTGGATCACAGTCCATTGCAGTGCCCTTCACGCGTTGTCGTTGCTGTTGATATTTGCTTTAGGGACGAGAGGTTCTCTCGCGAGGAGCACTACGAGTGGTTCAAGGACTACTCTCATTTCCGCCACCTGATGCAACAGAATGTCAAACCCGATTCTTCTGTGAGCGCCGTGTCTTTCAATGCTATTTGACTACCTGATGCTCTGTACCTGGTCTTCGGACCTGATGTTGTGTAGGCAAAGTTCAAGAAATTGGCATCGCGGTCGTCTGTGATTCATTTCACCATGCTGGCATTGATTGAAATTGCCGATGTGACTCTGCTGCTTAATTACATAGACAAGTTTGGGGTTTGAGTTCATATCGTGTAGATTTCGAGCAAAGGTCTATTTTGCATTAGGGGGTTGTTTGGAGTTTGCCCATCTTATAAGTATTACTTCACTTTTGTTATCGATCCTGAATTTTCGGTGGAAGTAGATGGGAAAGTGTTGAATTGTCCAGTGATCTTGTTTCCATTTTTGTTGTGGGCAATTTTACCTTATTTTAGATTTTCTTGGATTTGAATTGTCCTTTAGATTGGTTTGAGGATTTTTTTTTTAAATTTAATTGCTGGGTTTTCGTGATGAGGGAACTTTGTAATGAAGGTTCTGGAGCTTGGTTGTGGAAACTCGCAGCTATGCGACAATCTCTACAAAGACGGGGTTACTGATATAACATGCATTGATCTGTCGGCTGTGGCTGTGGAAAGGATGCAAAAACGGGTACAGTCCAAGGGATATAAAGGTATACATGCTTTTCATCTTTGCAGATATAATTACACTCCACACCTTCCACTCGGATATTCATATTAATCATTTGAAGGCTTTCAACTAGTTGCGAGTCTGGATATTGAAGACTCTATTGTTGTTTATGGAGCCTTTGAGTTTATTTTTATCCCTGCCTTGACCCTGCCAAAATCCGAAGCCTGGTCGCGGAGATTGTGTGTCTGAGTCTCTTCGTGCTTTCTTGGCATGGTCCAAAATCAAGTGAGAAAAATAGCTTCCGGCATGAAATTGGGAGGCTCACTTATTTGGTGCCGACCCTATGCATGAGCTTATGCATGTTGTGTTGCCGGGAGCATGTTGTTGATTTTGCCAAGGCTTGAAACTTGTTTTCACATGACTTTTTAAGAGCTCCAGTGAAGGGTCAATTATGCTGTCTCTGACTTCAGTCAGCCTTTCTTGTTGAATTTCATTGGATCGACCGTGTTTAAAACAGAAAAGCACAAAATTTTTATAACAGAATGGCATCTTTCTTATCGTGGCACGAATATCTGTTTCGATGAAAGAATTTAAGGCCTAAGATATGTACTTCTTACATTTCCTCGATATCAGAAATTAAAGTGCTAGAAGCTGACATGCTAGACCTGCCCTTTGGCGATGAGTGCTTTGATGTGGTAATTGAGAAAGGAACAATGGTAAATGTCTTGCATTTTTTTTTCCATTCCCTTGCTCCATTATTTTTAGTTGTAGCAAATGACTGTATCTTTTATCTGAGATTCTAGCATTCCTGAAATGGCATTGAAATGATTCTCTTGAAAGGATGTATTGTTCGTGGACAGTGGTGACCCATGGAACCCTCGACCTGCAACAGTAGCTAAAGTCATGCTGATGCTTCAAGGTGTACACCGTGTCTTAAAACCGGATGGAATATTTATATCTATCACTTTTGGTCAGGTGACACCCGCTTTTCAAAGAACTCTTCCTACATCATAATTCATGATGGCCTATCTGTGCTAACTTTTTTTACTTGGTCCGGCAGCCACATTTTAGACGTCCTTTATTTGATTCTCCAGACTTTACATGGTCTGTGGAGTGGAACACATTCGGTGATGGATTCCATTATTTTTTCTACATCTTGAAAAAGGTTGGTCTAAAACATCTTACATCCCCATGCAACATGCTCTTCTGAAACAGTGGATTAAATGTTGCATTTTCTCAATATCCAGATCCATGTAACTTGAAGTTTATGTTTTTTGCCATTTTGCAGGGACGGCGATCAATTGATGGCGAGAGACCTGGAAACAAGCTGCAGGCGCCATCCATAAACCTGTTTCATGAGGAGCTGGAGAGTGAAGATTATCTTTTCCGGACTAATATCGATGAGATGGACTCCTAAAACAGACCTCGACAAATCTCTTTCTGGTCCATAATCTATCATTTACAATCTCACTAGAATTTTGACCTGAATTGACAACTCAGATGAGGAAATGTATGTTGAAAGTCCCGATTTCAATTCTGAGATTGATCATGTACCTGGCAAGAAGCACAACGTTTAGAATAGTTAATATTTACGAAACTAATTCATTCGTCGAGTCCTGCTCTTTCTTTCTTTGAAATCTTGGATAAGCAAATTCCATTGGTTCGAGTTGATGTACCGTGCAGCTCTGCAAAAGTTGGGCGAGGAAATCTGATCTTCGCGTGGAGTAGAAATTCAGGATGCGGCTCCCCGCCGAAACAAATCGGGCAAGTCAATCCAATGGCAGCAGTGTGGTGTTCAGGATATCGTAGGCAATATGGCAATGAATCTAATGATGTGGATGATGCCGTTGGACATTGCCTTTTAAATTTGCAAACGTCAACGAGGAACGAGCAAAACGTAAAAGGTGGGATTTGCGGGAACTTCAATTGGGAAGGATCGATGGTTCGGATCCTTCAAAGTTGTGTATGCATTGTGCAATGCCAAGCAATACTTTGCTTCAAGAAATGGGATCGGTATGGCCATTGGGAAAATGGCCATTTTACTATTCAGTATGCGTTGGCTTGAAGTGATGTCTTTGGCAAAACATCAGTCCAGCCCAAAGGGGCAAAAGGAACGTTTTCTCCTGTATTACGTAGTATTTCTCGTCGGGCCCCCAAAAAATGGTAAGTATGGAGAAAGATTCGCTAGAGGAAGGGCTTGAACCTTCGACCTTGTGGTTAACAGCCACACGCTCTAACCAACTGAGCTACTCCAGCTTTTGGTTTCCGTGGGTGCATTCTCTTTAATTTTATTTTTTTATTTTTTTTTAAATTGGGATTCGTCTTCATCAATCCCTTTTGCAGTTAAGGGATCCCTCGGTTTCCAGATCTCGATTGTTCCATATATAAATGTAACTAATTTTGTAACAAACAGGAAAAGAGCTGGGCCTATTCTTGAGGGACCCAAGCTTGACTGCCGGGGTTTTGGTCTTGGTCTTGGTCTTGGCCTAAGGGGATATGGGCGCGGCCGCAACAGTCAGGTACTCAGACTTGGCCGCAGGGTTCCTAGGCACGAGCATTAAGGACCCAAGAACTGGGGGTGTCAATGGGTCGGGTCGGGTCGGCTTCCACTACTACCCTACCTGACCCCGAATCATAAGTGTTCGTGCTCTCTCTGACCCGAACCCTACCCGAATCGCATAGGACCTGTACTAAAAATTCGGGTCGGGTCCGGTTTTGGGTTTCGGGTTTTTGCCTGGGTTTTTCAGAGGGTGCGTTTAGAAGCAAGTCTAGTAAGAACTTTTTTTTTATAGAGTGGGTGTTTATTAAGCCGCTCGTCACTTTGAATACAACTAAATTGCTTGAGCTGAAATCAACTTGTGTGCAGGAGCTTTTTAACTTAAACCGTAAGCTTCACCATCTTTAACGCCTGAAAAGAGTATAGAATCCAATTGCACTGGAAGCAACAACAACATCCAACAACCTAGAAAAGAAGCTCAATTGCCATAACAAATAAATACCTTTTCCCCCACAGAATTAAGCGATGAACTAAAAGACAAATGATTCGGAGTAGAGAACTGCGAAGGCTCCTCATTGAAGTTAACAGAAAAACATACGAAACCTCCTCATCGAAGGACGACCAAGATGGAGGCGGAATCAACGCCGGCGACCAATGGGGGGACTAAGATGGCCTCGATTGAGGGGTTGTGGAAGGAGACGAGTCGTTCCGTGAGAGAGAGAGTGTATCGCGAATTAATACTTAGGGGTTTCAATTCAATTTTTGTAAACTAACATGTTTCGGTTCGGTTCGTGTTATGACTCGAACCGAAACAAGTCACAATACCCATTTTATAAATGTATACCTGAACATAGTAAGACTCGAACCGAAAATACCTTAACATTTCAGGCCGGTTCGGGTCGGTTCGTGTTTCGGTTCGGGTATTGTGTTTGGTTTTGACACTCCTACCAAGAACGGATGTCGGAGAGCCAGGCTCACCTTTGGGCTCTTGGCTAGGTCATCGGGATCTTGAACTCTGTTGTGATAGTTCAGTAGTAATTTTGAAAAGTAATTTTCAATTTTTTAAAAGAGAAAGCTTCTGTTCAGGAATTAATTATAAGTTTTCATTGAAAATTTTTCCGAAACAAACAGAATTAGCAGCAAAAAGAATTACTCGCTGGGCAACAAGAGGTTGATTAAAACAAAGTATGCATCACCCAATAAGGCTACCTTCCATGATCAAACAAGAATTTGAAAGATTATGAATCGTTATCGAGATTCCCTAAATCCTGTTCACTTAGCAATGGGAATTGAGAGGTTTTTCCTTGACCAAATGTGAAACCGCCAAAAAATAAAGTTCCTCTGCATATTCTAAATGACCAGAAACATGATGAGTTGACAAGTCGGGTGATACTGACAACTTCAGATCCATCCTTATGTGAAGAAATTTTCCTTGCAAGGAAGGACTAGGAAACTGGCTAAGAAAAGGAATGGAAGGAGATCTTTTAGGGAAATCTATGACATTGATTGCTATTCAATCATGCTACTGAAGGCTCCCCAATAATACTCATTACCAATATTTTTTATTAATAAACTTATGGCATCTGATATTCGATTTTCTGTTGCCAAATAAATGTTGTTTTAGCTTTCATTTTCAGCAATTAAAGATTGTCAAACGCCTCAAAAAATCAATGTTTAGTCTGCCTTTTGTTATCCATCAAAACTGAGAAGAGAATCTATCCAAAAAACCTGTTTTCAAATCAAAAGCAAACTACTCATCCGATTTTAAAGCATCTCAGCTATTGATTGAGTAAATTAGATCAAAAGTTTAGTTTGAAACTTTTTGAGAAGTTTAAGGAAAGTTCATACCTACATGCAAAACAAACATTATAGCTATACATAATTACCGGATAAAGAAAATTTTCATCTCCGATGAGTGAGATAATTTATATGTTAGTTTATGTTTATTTCATGGAAAATAAATGATTTGAATTTTTTTTTTAAATGATCACTTCTATCACATACAAAAATAAATGAATGAAAAGTATTTACATCATCCACGAAAGTGTTTAGATATTAATTTTTTTTTTTTTTGGTAACCCAGGGAACCCCCGCACGGCCGACAGCCGGGGAGTAAACCCTGGGGGCGACACGTGCTAGCCACCACACACGTGCCACCGGTTAAGTCACCCTGCGGCGCCCGGGATTCAAACACTCAACCTTTTGCGAGAGGAAGAGTGCGCGCTCCAGCAGCGCCACCCAGGCGAGTGGTTTTAGATATTAATTGTTGTTGATAATAGTAACATTTTTTATTGATTAATCATTTCATGTGATACAAGGGATTTATTTTAATAAAAATATTTTCTAAATCATTCATTTTCCGTGAAACAAATTAATAATCGCGAATCTATCTTTATTCGACTTTGAACTAGTGACGATTGCTATAATTCCACCGATGTTTTTCATATATCTAGTTTTACGAGAGAAAATTCCTAATTCAATTATAAACTTTCTAATTTTGATTCAGTTCTAAACTTTCTAATTTTGGCAATATACTCTTGAACCCATGCACGAAATTCCAATATAACCCTGCTACCCAATTGCCGCCGAAAGTTGAGACATCGTTTCAAGCAAAGCTATCCACGTCAGCATGCCACGTCGGACAGCCAACGATGATTGGAACGATGTCATTAATCTTGCGCAAAGGTTTAAAACTCCAATGGCAAAATGGGAAAGTTCACGACTAAATTAACAATTGTGTGATGGGTTAAGAATTGATTTGTTAATTCTCATTCTATATTTTTTACCAGTTTAAATTTATTTCACTATTTTGTGGTATATATATATATGTGTGTGTGTGTGTGTGTGTACAGATATATGAAGAAAGAGCAAATATGGGGAAATAAACAAAAAGCACAGTCCTTCAAAAACGACGCCGTTGCCGTCGCCGTCGCAGTTTCCTCTTTCCCTTCTCATCACTCACCTAAAACCTGCAAATGAAAATTTTGGTATGCAATAATAATAATAATATATGTTTCTCTCTCTCTCTCTCTCTCTCTCTCTCTCTCTCTCCAAAACACACACGACCTGTTTGTTATATTGTTCCCACTGCTTCCTCCTTAAGCTTCACTCTCGTCGCCGGCAATATCTCGCCTGAATTCCCCTCGATCTCGCCGGAAATCTCCCCCCGATCGGAGCGCCCGCGCGCGTAATCCGTCGAATCCGCGATTCCGCCGGTCAATTGCTCGGCACGCGGCTAGCCGGTCGAAGATTGTGGGGTCGCCGGCCGCATCGACCGCTGCGGCGATGGACGATGGCTTCAGCTGCGGCGACGACGACGAGGAGTGCTACTGCTCGGACAGGGACTCCCTCGATGGGCTGGCGAACGAGGACTCCGAGTACGACTGGGTCCCTCCCAAAGGCCCCTCCACCAAGGTGACCCTTTTTTTCTGTGCTGCGATTCCTCTAATTTTGTCAATGTTCTTCCTTTTTACCCGATTTTTCTTGTTTTAATCTGGAGAACGGAGGGTGTGGTTTCGTGCGTCTTCTTGTTCCCTTGGAGTGCCGGGGTGATCTCGTGCTATTGGTGGGATGAGTTTCATCGCGGAGGTTTTGTTGACGGGATAACTTAGGAATTGTCTCGGCCACGGTCACGGTCACGAGAAATTGAGTCGTGTTAGAAGCACTGTCGATGAGAATTTTGGTTTAGTACTTTGAGTTTGCTCCCTAAAAATTCTTATTTTGGGTTGATACGCTAGTTGATAGGGTTCAGTTTGTGAACTAGACTGTATGATTACCGGTGAATTTGGTTAAAAAAATACTGTCTTTTTAATCGAAGCTCCAATAATGGCTGTTCAAACCCTTTCTCTTTTCAGGTCATCACGAAAGAATCACTTTTGTCTGCGCAGGTAAGAATTTCGGTTAAAATGTGACTTTTATTTCGCGGACACTGTTGTTTGCTTGATGAGCTATTTCTCTGACTTGGCCTCATTGTTTAAAGAGAGGGGATTTGGGAAGGGTGATGGACTTGTTATCACTGAGAGAGCACCATGCGCGCACTTTGCTTATCCATCACCGATGGGATGTTGAGAAGTTGCTTGCAGTGCTCGTGGAGAAGGGTAAAGCTTGTTTATTTGCGGACGCGGGCGTGCCTCTGACTGAGGACCAAGATCTCAGTTTGCCCAAGCAGTCGACTTCTACGATTATGTGCGATATATGCATGGAAGAGATACCCGGTCACATTACGACGAGAATGGACTGTAGTCATCGCTATTGCAACGACTGTAAGCAATTGTTTCTTTTCTTTTTCATATGGTCAGTTGTGGACACGGTCAAATTATGCGGGGCTGCTTTATATCGGATGGGCAGCGGTCCTGTAAAATAAGCGTATGGTGCCAGAATAAGACCATCCCCATCTGAAAATCCCACCTTCTCATCTTCTCTGCCCATAATCAGTTTTTGTGCTTCAGGCATGCAAATGCCAATGTGCACTTGATGCGCGTGTGAAAATCTCAAAGATTGTTTTGCGACTTTAACTAGCTTAAGCTTTAGATGAATTTTTGGTCTCCCTGCATAACACAATAGCTTATCAACTGTCCCATCTGTCTGCTTGTATTAGAACCTTGCGCTAATTGTCATGATGTGATGGTCCTCTGCTATGGAGTCTGAGGTTTGGAGTATCTAGTCATTTGAATGAGATGTTGACTACCCTTGTTATATTATACATAGATGACTCAACCTTGATTGTTTCTGAATTATGTCTGTGTTTGGTTCGGTTTTTCCTTAAATGCAAATAGTATTTGGTAAGGTTTGTAAGTTAAAAGTGCGTTGGGAAGCAACTTTAGTTAAATGCTGTTTGGAAAAAACTACACTCGTAAATGCAATTGCATCTCCCCAAAGTTCTCCAAAAAAATTGCCAAACTTTACTTGTATTTGCTCAATGGCCTTTGGAGCCCCAAAGCCCATTTGCAAAGTCCAACCAAACGCAGCCTATATTTTCGTGTGCTTTTGGATGCACTTAAAAAATGATGGTTGATCTTTTTATAGGTTGGACTGAGCATTTTGTTGTGAAGATAAATGAAGGTCAAAGCAAGCGGATAAGGTGCATGGCACACAAATGCAATGCTATTTGTGATGAAGCCATTGTTAGAGATCTAGTCAGAAGAAGGCATCCTGATCTAGCTGACAAATTCGACCGATTCCTCCTTGAGTCTTACATTGAGGATAATAAAATGGTTAAGTGGTGTCCCAGTACTCCCCATTGCGGGAATGCAATACGCATTGAGGAAGATGAATGCTGTGAGGTAGAATGTTCATGTGGTTTACAGTTTTGTTTCAGTTGCTTATCAGAAGCACATTCACCTTGCTCGTGCTTGATGTGGGAGCTTTGGAGTAAAAAGTGTCGAGATGAATCGGAAACTGTCAATTGGATTACGGTCCACACAAAGCCCTGTCCAAAGTGCCACAAACCAGTGGAGAAAAACGGAGGATGCAATCTAGTGAGCTGTATTTGTGGGCAGGCATTTTGGTGATTACCATCTTCTCTTCTTTTCCATCATTTACATCTTCTTTTGATTCTTTATTTTCCTTGAGAAAAGTCGGTGAATAATCTCTGAATTAATTCCTTTCTATGAAGAACCAATCCTTTATTTTGGCATAAGTCCAGCATAAGCTTTATACCAATAAAAAAAAGGGTCTAGCATAAACATTGTTATATTTGTGATTTTATTCATGGTGCAAACTGGATTTCTTTGAAACCGTGATAATGGCATTCATCTTGTTGAAGAAGATATCTATTTTCTTCTCGTTTACTAATTTATCTTTTTTCCCCATTTAACATTGCATGGATTAAAATTAATCTATTTATTACTGCGGTTTATTTTGTTAAAACATTTCTATCCTTCCAGTATTTCTTCTTCCTGGTTGGTGACCTTACTTAGCCTTTTCATGTGGAATGTGCCCTTCCTGATCTTAAATTTTCATGTAATCCTGCTCAATGCAGTTGGCTGTGTGGTGGTGCTACGGGGCGAGACCATACTTGGTCAAATATTGCCGGTCATAGTTGTGGTCGCTACAAGGAAGACCAAGAGCAAAAGTCCGAGCGTGCAAAGCGGGATCTGTATCGGTACATGCACTATCATAACCGCTACAAGGGTCATTTAGACTCGTTTAAGCTTGAGAACAAACTGAGGGAAACTATTCAAGAGAAAGTATCTGTGTCTGAAGAGAAGGAATCAGCTCTCAGGGATTTCACTTGGGTAACAAACGGGCTCTACAGACTTTTCAGGTCTAGGCGGGTTCTCTTGTTCTCATACCCATTTGCATTCTATATGTTTGGAGAGGAGTTATTTAAGGATGAGATGACACAAGAGCAAAGAGACATAAAACAACACTTATTTGAAGACCAGCAGCAGCAGCTTGAGGCTAATGTGGAGAGACTATCAAAGTTTCTAGAAGAGCCATTCGATGAATATGATGAGAAAAAAGTGATGGATGTAAGGATGCACGTCATCAATCTGTCTGTGGTTACTGATACGCTTTGTAGAAAAATGTGAGTATTGCTATTCAATATTTTTTGTAGCTAACGGTAGATTGGTTTTATTCATTTAGAAGGTTCATACAGGTATGAATGCATTGAAAATGATTTACTGGGCTGTCTCATACTTGGCACCCACAACATAGCTCCTTACAAGTCAAAGGGTATTGAGCGAGCCGCTGCTTTAAATGCAAAAGCTGACGAGTCTGACAAGTGTCTGCCTTTGGACTTCGGTAAAGCTGGTAAGATTGGTTGAATTTTCTTCATCAATTCCAATTGTATCTTTGCACACACATACATATTGGTAAATAACAACCTATGTAACTATCTATGAGCTCCTTTCATTGCTCACTTCTGAGAATGACTATTTTTAGATTCCAAAGACTGTATTTAGTTCAGAGCAAAAGAACTTTTGAATATTTTTGAATATATCAGTCAGTTTTTGTGGGGCATTCATTTTGGGCGTGGGGCATTGGCATTGACAATCATTATATTATTTCAGGCTTTTTACCTTGTTTCATCTAACTGTTTCTCTCGCCTAGCAAAATTTGCTTTATCTTCAGCATTCTCTCCACCAAAGCTTTAAATAGGATAATAACATACATCTGCTCATGTTGAAGCCCTGTTTAATTTCCTTCATTTGGTGGATCCTCATGTGATGCCCTTGTTGATGTCCTTCATCACCGAAATTTTTTTCTGATCAGCATGTTTAGGGTTGGAACAGACATGCCTTTCTTTTTTCTTTTTAATCTTCCTAACTCCCTCCTCTTGTATTTTCTCCTGATCATCCTTTCAGATCTGGTCTGAGAAATTATGCCTTTGGCTTTCCTCTCTTCTTGTGCAGAATATCACGCAAACCTTATGGTTGGTTATATATCCACTTTCCTATTTTTGGTTTTAGTTGAGTATTAGTTCATTCCTCTTTGGCTAAGGATTTTTTGTTTCTATTGCTCTCCATTATCCCCGATGATCTGAGACCTTTCAATGTCATAATTTCTTGCTTTGAGATTGGAACAAGCTAATGAGCTGTTTGGTAGTCTCTCAACCTGTTAGGAATTTTTCCCCTTTGCCCTTTACTCTATCTGATACTTTTGAGAATCTGGCCAATAATTTTGATTTGGTATTAAATGTTCAATTCTGAACTTATGGCTTGACTGATTTTTCATCCTATTTTGCTTGGATTTGTTTTTATGAAATTGAAAGAAAGAGGAAATATAATGTGACATAAAAAATGTGATGCACTACCCTTTACAGACTCAGTGTCATAATTGATTCTCCCACAGGATTGCTAAATTTGCACTTGTGTCTTGCTAGTAGTAGTTTTTTTCTGGTCTTCTTCCATGAGGACCTGGTCTTTATTCATCGGGGTTGTTATACTTCAATAGATTATCTTTCTCATGTTCATCTAGAGCCTGGTTCCTAGTTGTCATCCAGGGTTCTACATGTGATGGTTCTGCCCCCCCTCTCCTTTGTTGATTTTTCTATTTTGGCTGGCTTCTCTACATTGGAGTTGGAAAACTGTTGTTTGCTAAGCTTTATTCTGCTATTTCACCCCTATAGGGGACAGTGTTTTTATCCTTATGATCATGGGTTCATCTTAACCAATGGATTTCAGAATGTAGCATGGCTGATATGTTGAAATTACATACTAGGAGCATCAGAACCTGATCGACCCTCAGGATCTGGGAGTTTGGATGACGGTGGACGCTCATCAAGGAAGCGTGCCAGGAAGGAGGGTTTAGTTGGGGCACTAATCGATCTTAATGTGCCAGCAGGAGGATACTGACCGAAAGTTATGATGGGTGGAATTTGCATATAGTTTGTGCGCGTGAAGGTTGTACAGTCTAGCCTAACTAAACGAGCCTTTTCTCCTCTGACTGGACATCGTCATGGCAGTCTCCAAGTGCAATTTTTTACCTTTTCCTAATCTATTTTTGTCCTTTATTTTCCCAACCTTTCCAGGGAGGGAAGTAGGAATCTGGATTCCTCGTTGCTTTAACTTTATATTTATCTTTACTCCATAAAAACTCCTGTACAGAGTCGAAGCCATTTGGATTTTTATGGGGGTATAGTCTATAGATATGTTAGAGAAGTGCTGCCTGAGGTAGCATTTGTCTTTTTCAGTATTACACATATATACTCATATATGAGATATGATATCCAATATATATTTCAGATATCGTCGTGTATTGGATCGGCTGATTGTGACTTCAGTGGTGAAGGTCCCGATAAGCGAGCTGGCATCGATGTGCTTATTCATTTTGCTGTTTGTGATTATACCCGGTTTTCCACAAGAACCGGCTTTCAAGATCCATACTTCCACATCACCGCAATATATCTTCCCCAACTAGCGCTCTTTTCGTCTTTGACAGATTGATGCGGATAGAAACGACGGTACATTCATTGGTATGCTGTTGAATGATGGCACAAAGATTGGCCTCTGGACCTCAGTATGGGGCTGATGGGCTGTTAAGTGAAGGTGCGAGCATGACGATGAAGGACTGGGTTGTTCTCTTGCCATTTGGAAAATGAAGAGTAGCGAAAATAATGACAGGATACATTCTAGATCTAATGTTTATTAGGGGGCATGATACTTTAGTTGTTACCGCTAGTTTTATAGGCAAATTATGTATACACGGATTAAGATCTAGGCATGACCTTAAAAGTCTTCATTTTGAGTCTTGTTCAGACTTCGAGATCCTCAAAATGTAATCCTCAAAATGTAAAGCAAGAGTATTCTCTCTTTATGTATACACAGATGAAAGAGAGATTAGAGATGTTTTAGTGCTAAACCAGTCGTTTGCATTTGCCATTCCTTTCGATCAAGCACATTGTCAAGAAATTAATCCGACTCCAAAAGATTATTTGTTTAAGAATTCAATGTTCCAACTCACATGTCCCAAAATGAAAACTCCCCCCCTTCCCAAATACTCGGCGGAAACAGTGAAAAAGTTCTGTAGTAACTTCACTCGCTTTTAGGATTGCTTTTAACCTCGTCTGTTACGGCATTAAAAGTGCCGGAGGACTTTAGGGAACTGAAGAGATTAGCTGAGAAACTATGCACTTCACATGATTTGACAGACATATCATTCATCAAATAATTACGTTTGAATGTGAATGTGCCACGATCTCATAACTCTAACCATTGACGTGTCGACAATTTCCCTGGAATGACCTGGTGTAGAAAGTAAATCACAGAATCAGTCCTAGACGAGCACATTGAAATTTCTTCTTCATCGTCTTCCGACCAGAAAAGGGAAAAAGGGAAATGTCTCCACCGTCCGCAGTCGCTGTGTCTGGCTAGCGAGGGAAAAAGCCAAAAGGAATTATCTGCTGAGAAAGCACCAGGATCACTTAAATGCGGGTCCAATTCATCCCGTTTGGCGGTTTTTGCAAAATCTGCCCCCTCTTTGTCAAAATTCCCACCTAAATCAAGAAAACCCTCTCTCTTTTCCTGTTCACGAACCCTAATGATAGCTCGTCCGTTTGACAATTGAGAAACCACCAGACGCACGGACGATCACTTCGAAAGAAAGAAGGGATTTTGAAGGAAGGGCTGAACGGAAATGGAAGAAGAGGGAATTGGGTTGGTGCTGGCGAGGGCCACGGAGCTGAGGTTGAAGATCGGCAACTGCGTCCACAGGGTCACCAACTCCGCTGCGCCACCGCCGGGCGAGAGGCGAGAAGATGGCGAGGTCCACGAGGCGGAGGAAGGAGAAGAAGCAGAGACGCTCTTCAGCATATGCGACGCGCTCGAAGCCCTCGAGTCTCAGCTCTCCTCTCTGCAGGTCACCTCTCTCGAAGCCCCTTTGCTTCGTTTTCTGGTTTTTCCGCCGCAAAATCCTGCCTTTTATTTTCCCCTCAGGAAAAAAGTGCATCTTACTTTCTTTTCCGGGTTTTGTTCTTTTCCCTTGGATTTTGCAAATGCTGGAGCTGTTGTTAGCTGCGCATTTTGGAATGCATCTGTGGGATCATTTTTTCTTTTTTTCCTATTTGCTGTTGTTGTTTGTGTTGTAGGGATTCTACTTTCCTGTTGAGCATAGTGAATCTTGATTGGAGTGTTAGTGGTTTTTGTATGTAACTTGACTGAATGGCATTGTCCTGTATGACTTAAGTGTTGGGTTTTTTTTTTCTCTTTACTGGCTTTTGAAGAATCGGGTCTTATCTTTTCGCGGGATTGGCTTGCTTGAGATGTTTAGAGGCCCTCGCATTTCGCGAGTCATAATCAACAGCTCAGTTGATGAATGTTTTTGCTCTTAGATTCGTCTAAGTTGTTTTCCGAAGGTACTGATGCCATTGCATTGTAGCAGCAACTTGAAATGGTCAGTGTAAAACTCATTTGGGTAGCATTACAGAAAATTTGCGTGAACCAATGAATTCGGATAATCACTTCTATTTGTCGGTTAGTCTAGGAGCTTCTTCGTAGCCTTTAGTGAATACTGGATACTAAATGAACTCTTTTATGTGCAGCAACATTAGAGCATTTTGTTGGCATTTTTTTTCTCATGCAATATGATGAACTTTATACTTTTCCATTGCATATGCAACTAGGTTTTAGATGTTCCATGATTGCACAATTGTATAATTGAACATATAGTCGGGCACGGTTAGTCCTTGATTCTTATGAGACGCATCTAGCCCTGCTAAACGGAGAGAATATTCTGAAATATCTAGCTTCATTTGGCTTGACTCAAAGCCACCTATTTTACTATTTTACTGGCGGCGTACTCTCCTAGACTTCCCTGTCTTCTTCTGCTGGAGACAAGATGGAATGAGAGAGGTCAAGATTTTCAATTTTTTGCCAAAGCTTCTCTTTTATCACTCTATTGCTTTTCATGGTGTTACGTGCATGAGCTATGACAGCCATTCGTGACTAGGTGCAGCAGATGTTTGTAATTTTTTGCCAAAGCTTCTCTTTTATCACTCTATTGCTTTTCATGGTGTTACGTGCATGAGCTATGACAGCCATTCGTGACTAGGTGCAGCAGATGTTTGTAATTTTTAGCCAATGCAATGCAGAACTTGTGTTTGTTCTTTTGTGGTTCACTTAACCATATTTTTGAAATTGTCATGGGATGCAGCTGAGCTTCTTGCTCTTTTTGACCCCTCAGTGGTCTAGTCTGACGAGTGAGATGTCTCAGGGCTTCACTGTGGCGTACTTTTAAAATATCGTCTCATGTTATTCCTCAGTGAAATGAGAGTTGTGGCGTTGGTCTATCAAAATCAACGGGCTTGCTCTTTTAGTTACTACATAGGAACAAGCTTGACCTCCATATTTCCTTCTTCGAGCCATCTTATATGCTTTGGTGTTCATATACGCTAGTGCAACAAATTTATTGAGCTCTGTAATTAACATAACCTAAAAAGATTGATTTCAATGGCCAGGCTATGCAACAAAACCACCGGTATGAGAGGGAAGCTGCCCTTGCTGAGATTGAATACAGCCGCAATATGCTTCTTGATAAGCTCAAGGAGTACAAAGGGGAAGAATTGGAAGTCATTCAAGAGGCCTCTGCTTTTGCTGGAGAAACGGTGGAGCACAACAACGACCTCCTGCTTCCACCATACCCTAGCCGCCCTCCACTTCATCTTTCAAGCTTTTCCCCACGCAAGTCTGTCCGAAATGGGATAATCTCTTCGGATCTCACAAACGAATTTAAGAAGAATATGAATGAGATCGAGAAGAATCAGGGACAAAGCGGGTCAAGAAACCAGGGCCTACGACTGCGTCACTTCATTGGTTCAGCAGCCAAGACGGTGGCTACTCTTGTTGGTATGATATCAATACTGAGCTTGGCTGGTTTTGGTGCTAAGTCTGAGACAAGCAATGGGCCCTTAAAGCATCTGGGTCTGTTTTTTAGACAAGTAGTTAGAAGCAATGAACGAGGTATTCAGTGTCCTCCCGGAAAAGTATTAGTCGTGGAGAATGGGCAACCTAGATGCCTTGTTAAGGAGAGAGTTGAAGTTCCATTCGAGTCTGTTGTTGCAACATCTGATGTAAACTACGGGTGTGGTTAGTTTTGGTTGTCTCGCATCTTCTTGTACATCTTTGTTCTATGTGACACTGAGAAGTCAGGTTGATAAAGGCATGCTGGTGCACGATTTTGTCCGATTTCCATATTATTTGCTTCATCTTGATTCTAGTTGATATGCTATGTGTATGTGCTCTTTTGGCCTGATAATTGATCTGTTATGCAACTCGCAAATTTCTCTTGCTTCCATAAGTCTCTCTCTCTCTGTGCACAAACCCCTTTTGTCCCGTTATGAACCTGAGGTTCAAGTGGTGATCTTTAGTTACCATCAGTATGTAAGGGCCATGTCGTGATACGGGACGATAACAACATATGAAAACTCCAATTATCTGAACTGATGGGTCTATCGGGAATTGTCTATATTGTTTTTATTTGCAATGAGCAGTGTCTGCTCTTTGACGAGGCACGAGCATATATATTACTAAGTAAATATTAATGAAATCATGTTATTCTACAATAAGTCTACAAACACTGTATGATGAATTCAATGGTTTCCCGTCCAACATGGAAAGTGGAAAAAGTTGGGTTTACACGCGGCGCCAGTGAATTAGGTTGGGGAAAAGAAAGCTCATCTGGGTCTGTCGCTTGCAAAAAATAAACAATGCAATTTGGCTCTTCCCAAGCTCGAAAGGGTCGGCTTTTAGCAGTCTCATAAGGGCAGGCGACGTCTTCAGTTTCTCTAAGAGAACCCAACTGGTGAAGATACATTCAGCCTCAGCTAGAGAGGAGCTGTCTCCCTTACAAGGTTCCAAGTTAAAACAAAAGTGAAAACAGAACCACTGCTTCTCAATATAAACAATTGACAATCAGCGAACCTTCGGTTCAGTTCTTAGTCTCTCTAATCAACAGATCAGCAACCAAAAACCATGAATCTCATGAACATCAAGACTCACGTCTCTAATGGTGTGGTCTCCTTAGCTGTCTTCTTTTTCTGCTTCCATCTTGATTATTTCTCATGCATACCTCTCCCTTTGTTGAAGCGAATTACTTTTCATGCTGTAGGAACTGAAGTTCATGCCTTTGCTCGTGGGACTATTTCAATGCCCAAATCTGGGTCAGGACTCGGGCATCAGGGTCAGTCCAACGAGCTGTCATGGGTCAAAAGAGATGGATCGTTGGGCAGGCTCAGATGTAGAAATTTGCAGCCTCTTAGAGGTAAGGAAAACGAAGTCTTCATCTTCTATGCAGATGTCATTTTATATTCCCGGTCTCTAAAAATTATATCTTTTCCTGTAAAAGGTGTGGAGAGGATTAAAAAGTTGGAAGTTAGAGCCTTCACAGAAGAACAGGAAGCTCTTGTCCTCAAGTCATGGAATTCAATGAAAAAGAATGCTGCTGAGCTGGGTCTCAAATTCTTCCTCAGGTGATGACCACAGACAACGCTTCCTTTCTTTAGTACCTCACAAATATGCAAGCAAAGCTGTATTTAAATTAGGATCAACCATAATGTGGTTTGTTTTCACATGAATTGAGCAGAGTCTTTGAGATTGCACCATCAGCCAAGAAGCTATTTAACTTCCTGAGAGATTCAGATGTTCCTGTGGAGCAAAACCCAAAGCTCAAGGCCCATGCCATGACTGTATTTGTCATGGTCAGAGTTCACTTTTTTACCCACTGATCATTTTGTTAGGGATAATCCCGAATTTAATTGCTCCTTTCCGCTATCGTTCAAGGTTAAGTTATTCTGATATCTTCATTCATGCTGTTCGACAGACTTGTGAATCGGCAGTACAACTTCGTAAAGCCGGAAAAGCTACTGTGAGAGAGTCCACTTTAAAAGATTTAGGTGCTACTCATTTCCAATATAACGTGGCGGACGAACATTTCGAGGCAAGATTCTAATCATTTGTATCTGCCTTGTATAGTTTTAATTTGATGAAGGTGCTAATTTGAAGTATCCTCAAGGCAAAAAGGGGTCTTGTCAAATCCAGTGAACTCAAAGATAAAAGATTGATTCTTTATCATTCACGCACTCGCGGGGCAACGTTTAATATGGTGGTTTGTATTTTGCAGGTTGTGAAGTTCGCATTGTTGGAAACCATCAAAGAGGCGATGCCGGAGATGTGGTCGCCCGAGATGAAGAGTGCATGGGGAGAAGCTTACGATCAGTTGGCAGCCGCGATCAAGAGCTAAATGAAACCTCAGATTTCCACCTGATATTTCTCCACCACACACACACTATGAGAGAGAGAGAGTTCTACTAAAACTTGTGGAGATGTGAAAGTAATGTATGCAGTTGTCCTCAATGATCCTGCATAATGCTGTATGTCTTTCTTCTGATTATACAGTTTCGTCAATGACGAGAATTTGTGTCGCACTTGTGGCCACCTGAATTCTTACTAGTTTGTGCTATAGGTGGCAAATTTCATGGTTCTAATGAAGATGATATGACTTGATTAAATGAACCGAATGAATAGCAGCAAGAGACTAGGAACGACACCCTGTGCCCACAACATTGGAAGAAAAATGATGACAGATGCACCGATCCTCCAAAGTTGATCTTTGCGGTAGAAAAATTCAATTTTGAAAGCAGATTCGTGAATTCGGATGGCTCACAGTCGATCCAATCAGTCATATAACTTTAAGTGCTTGCAGAGAAGAAGACAGATCATGGGGAAAGCGAATGTTGCTTCTACTGAGGGCATGGCGGCTGTCTTAATATTTTATGCTTAATTATTGGACCCCAATCTTCTAATTAATTAAACCAGAAACTAAAGAAACCATCATCTAAAGTATCTGGATCGTCTTAAACTCTCAGTAGCTTAAAAAACAATAAAGTCTACCGATCCATAGGTGTTGTGATATATTTTAGTATAAAGATGTAAAAGAATGTGAAATTAGAAAAAAAGATGGTTTGTATATGTATGGAGAAGACATGGCACTCCTGTCCGAGTCTTTGCCTCTTGGTACAGGGCCCTACGCGAGCTCAAGTGGTTAGCAAAGTCCTTTTTAAACCCTGATTGACCCGAGTTAGATGCAGCGATTGAGGTCATGCTCCTCTAAGTTGTAAGACTCACGAGATCTCGAATTCGATGATTATTTGACTCAATTTCTTAGAATACTGTCATGACAGAAAAAATGTGCATCGAGAATTTTCTAATCCTTTGTGAATATGCCTTTGGTTCGATTGAAGATAAACCTTAATTTGGTGCATGAAAACGAAGCGTACCACGCTGCATACCACACGGCCACGGCATGGAAAATTGATTCCCAAATTAATTTTGCTCTTCTAGGTTTGAGTCAATTTGCCCATACTCATACATTGACTCTGTCTATTTTAAGGGAGACATAATTAAAAAAATAAAAGGAAAGGGACCTTCTTTATCAGCCAAGATGTCAACCAAGGCCCATCACTTGGTCAAAAACCTTAAAACTGTGTTCCTTTGGGCAGCGGACGGCCCCTGGTTTTCTTCCATGTGATGGCTCATCACCCGTGCCAAATCAAACATTATCAGCAAAAGGATTGAATCGAAGTACACAAGTTGAACTGAACATGGCTTCTCAGTGCCATGAAGAGCCATGAAGGGCTACTCTCCATCTTCATGGCCTCACCCTATATATACGTGCACTCCATTTCAAGATTGCTTCGAGAACCCAAACCATCTCAAATCCAACCTCTTAATTAGCGGTACCACTTGCTCAGTTTTTCAAAAACCCACTTTCGATAGGAAAAAGGAAGTAATAGAACCAAATGGAAGGAAGAGTTTTCACAGAAGAGCAGGAAACCTTGGTGGTGAAGTCATGGAGTGCGATGAAGAAGAATTCTGCAGAACTGGGCCTCAAATTGTTCTTGAAGTAAGTAATCTTTGTGTGTCTATGGGCGACAAATTCGAACCATTTGTAAATTGTTCAACAAATGTTCATTTTTATTGTGTGTTCTGAATGGAGAGCAAGAAAATGATTGGGTACTGAATGTGCAGGATCTTTGAGATTGCCCCATCAGCCCGGAAGATGTTTCCATTCCTGAGGGACTCGAATGTTCCACTTGAACAGAATCCTAAGCTCAAGACCCATGCCATGTCTGTTTTCGTCATGGTAAAAGCAAAGTCCCCCTCAGTTTCATCATTCTCATGACTATATTGCTAGATCAGAGTCATCAGACCGTTTTCTGTAGATGAGCTACGAGTTGGGCCAAGCCCACCATCGAGTTGCTCAGGCCCTTTGTCTGTGATTTGAAATTGATATTAGTTTGATCTTTTGTGTTCATTACTTCCATCAAATGCCTCGTCCAATTTTACTCCCATTGCTCTTCTCTTGATCAATCAACTCCCTTTGGCACTCTTTTGTTTTTAGACCTGTGAATCAGCGGCGCAGCTCCGGAAAGCGGGCAAAGTCACAGTGCGAGAGTCGAGCCTGAAGAAATTGGGTTCTGTCCACCATAAGAGCGGCGTGGTCGACGAACATTTTGAGGTACAATAATGGAAACGCATGCTTATGATTAACCCTTTTCTTGTTTCAGTTTTTGGAAGCTTCTTCAAATTTGCATTGAGTGCTGTTAGTAACTTGTGAAAAGAAATTGTGACCGTGTATGTAAAAATTGGGACAGGTGACGAAATATGCACTGGTGGAGACCATAAAAGAAGCGGTTCCAGAGATGTGGTGCCCAGAAATGAAGAGTGCTTGGGGGGAAGCTTATGACCAGCTTGTTGCTGCTATCAAATCTGAAATGAAGCCTTAAACTTTTTATTGCTCCTTTGTAAAATCTGAAAGCAAAATAAGTATCAATAAAGAAAATAATGCCGTGGTTTGCATTATATGGTTCTGTCCATTTCTATTTTTTTTATACATAAGTTGCTTTCATAGCACAGTATAATGAGGGAAGAACACCAGAATCAACAAGAAGAGCTGTGCTTGGACATCACAATAAAAAAAACAAGCAACTGATGATCAGTGCTCCAAGTCATACATATTGTCTTATCTGATAGATGGTCCCAACACAGATTCCTTTCCCTCGAGAAGCATAGCCATGTCGATTCTCACAGAGTAAAGAACATAATGTGAAACTCTGTCCGCACAAGGAGCAGAACCATTGCAAATAACCTCATTTCTTTCCCTCCAAAGCTGGTAGGTTGATCCAATCCAGGCTAATTTCAAAAGAGTTTTGGCAAATGCCCTGCCTTTCAAGCGATGAATTACCCAATCGAATTCAACTTGCCATCCTCCAATGGGCATTCGTACACCACTTACGTTCAAAAGTTTGCCCCAAACCTCCTTAGAGAAAGAACAGTAAAAAAAAATGAGTGTTGCCTAGCTTCCAAAGAAGAACCACCCAACACACAAGAAGTATGGACAGCCCTCCACTAACGCAATCTATCAAGAGTCAGCAATCTATTGAGGATGGCCATCAAAGTTCTGAGGGCAAATTTAGGCAAAGTTGGGTTTAACCCACGCCAATCTGTGCCAAGGAACCTTCTGCCTCCTTTCTCTGACTAACTTCCCATCCTCAGCATTAGTAAAAGCGCTTGAGCTAGAGCCAGTAAAGATAACTCTATGTGTTGACGCGCCTAAATTTTGGCACATCATTTAGTGATTAATTGCATAGAAAATTAGGGATTAAATTTTAACCCCTAAATAAAAATATCAAAATCACATAGCATATAATTTAGGATCATGTAGTTTAATTGCATTTAATATCGGACCGGCGGCAGTAAGTAAGTTGAAAATCCATTGCATAAATCAAGCTCGAGTACCGAACAAAACTCGTCTCGCTCGGAAGAGGGGGGTCGAAAATCACAAGTCTAAAAGGCCTTGGTTGTCTTAATTTGAGCTTAAATCAGCCCATCAAGCTTAATTAGAGAAAAACCCAAATTAATTCGGCCCATTTGGAATTAAATAAAAATTAAAGGATAAAAGCCTAAGCTTAAGCCCATTAGGACTAGGAAGCCTGACTAATTAACTTAGGGTTGCGATATAAATATGTGATTATACCTCTTAATCAGGAAAGTTCTCGTAATTCCCAAATCAGAATTTTTTTTGGAGAGAGAGAGATTGACGGCGGAAAAAGAAGAGAAGTTCTCTTCTCCCGCCGTGTTTCCTCCTGTGCTTGGCAACCATCCATCATCGCCGCGCCAATACTTCCATCTTTCCAGGGAAATGGCCATCGAAGACCCACTGCCAAAGCAATAAAATCTAGTCAACACTAGACATGGTCAAGCGCACACAGAAATTCACAAAGTGAGAGCAAGTGCAGGAAAAAGTCAAAAGTTGGAGTTTTCTTCAGTGTTGCGTTGTCTACCACTCACACCAACGCCATCACTTGGGTCTTGCTGCTTCTTGTGCTCCAAATCAGCGGCATCTTACGCTCCAAAACTCCAATTCAGTCAGTGCCATTGCGATTCAGTGTTCCAGCGATTCTTTCAGCAAAATCAGTAAATAGGCAGGCTCCAGTCCTTGCCCTGCGTCGCTCGATCCAATTTCTCCGGTGTTTGCTTCTTGTTCAACCAAGTCGACGGTCCAGCACAAGGGTAGCCGCACGTCGGACAAATCCAGGCGACATCGCAGTAGCCTCCACTCCAGATCAGTGTGTTCCTTGGCTCGGCAAACCACCCCAGCGAGTTCATAGCAAGCTCGACTCAACAATTCTTTTCATCGTCTCCCTGCCATACCATAGCCGATCCATTATCAAGCTGAGGTTTGCCAAGCATCCCAAGTTGTGATCGAGAATCACGACGACCAGCTTTGCTGTCGCTACCGCCGCCGGTCCGCCGTCGGTCATCCCGATCCGCAATCCAAATCCGCGAGTTCAAATTTGGAAATATCCCGAAATTAGGTAAGAACGTTATCCGATACTTTCGGAATATTTGGTTTCCTAGTTTTTCGATATTTCAAATATTTTGGTGAATATTCTGTGGATTGCTAGAAATTTTTAGGATAATGTTTTCTTTATCTACAATGTTCTAGAATGTCCAAAATTAGGAATTTTTCCTAATTTTGCAACGTATCTGGACGACTATCCGATCTTATCCCTAAGGTACGATACGCGGCTATACGGAAAATCGTTATCTTATCCATAATCACTTGGATACGATAATAGATTATATTCGCTTTCCAAATTCAAACAATCAACTTTCCGTCGATATCTATAACCCCATAGATATGACCGTTAGTTTGATTTCTTTTCCTAATCCAAATTTGATAAGAAGAATCTTACGGATTGCATGGATTGTTTGAGTGCGGTTGTTATCTTTGTTTGATTGTTTTTTTTTAAATAAAGAAAATCCAAAAATATGTTAGTTAGGATTTAAATTAGAGGTTTTGCATGTTTAGGAAATCCTAAATGTATCTAGAAGATGGGATAATTATTTAATTTAAATTAGGATTTAAGATAATTTATTTCCTAGTTTAAATTAGGTATTATTCTAATCTTAATAGATTATTTAGGTTATTTTAAGATTCCGAATTTCCATGAAAATCCCAAAAAGAATGAGTTGCTTTAGGATAGATTAGGATAGACTGCATTCTTAATTTGAGTAACTTTTAATTTCGAATTTTAATAAAAAATATCAAAAAAAGAAGTTGTTAGATTGCATGTTAATTTAGACATTTTTTTTAATTTCGAATTTCATTGGAAAAATACCAAAAATAAATCATTTGTCCGTCATTAGAATTAGGTCACGTCGTCGCATGACATATAGTTCGCATGCTAGGTTGCATTAATCGCATGTCATTTTTTGCACGTCATTGCATATAGGTTAGTTTGCATTTTAATAAAGCGCAAACCCTAAAGAACACCTTGAGTGCCTTGCTTTGTTAATTAGAAATCATAATAGGATTGTCTGTATGATTTTCTACTAACAATGCAGATGCTTGCGTTGCTCTAAGGTACGTCATTCTCCTAATCTTGCAATTTATTTATTGCTTTCTTGGGTGTTAAATTGGTGGTTTGCGCACTCGCATGAACACCTCACATGTTAGTGATTAGGTAATAAAATAGATCCAGACTGTTTGCATAAATATTTTTTTTTTGAAAAGAAAAGGTACCGAAAGGACGTTAGGCTAGATCTAGCGTAACCAAGTCCCCGAGCTTAGAATCTCTGATTCGTAGAAATAAAACATATCTCCCTATATTTTATTTAGGTTTTTAATCGACCTACCACAAATAGATTAGTAGCAACTTCAAGCATGAAAAATTTTGCATGTTAAAAACTTAAACCCTAAGTTGCGAATTGATAGGGCTTGGGAGGGCTCGAGTTAGGCTTAGTCTTAATAATTCATTAGCCTGAGAAATTTAGGTCGCGACAAGAGCAATGGCTGAAAGTTATGACAAAGGACAACCTTAATATCAACTAAAGAACCAGACCTAGCAGCAGGCCACGTCCACTCCTCTCCACATGACACCTTAGCATGCAGAGGCAAGGAAGAATCATTAGATAACCCTTGGAGGATAAACTTCAGATAAAACACCAAAAGATGCCCGTCATCATGCCATACTGTAAGTGTTTTCCCCATCTCCAATCAAGTGCTCAACATAAGGTTTTAAAAGAGGTCTGGCTTTGAGAATCCTTCTCCAAGCATAAGTGCAGTCGTGTTTAGGCATTATTGCCAGATAAAGACCCCTTTAAGAAGATAACATTTAGTCCAAGCTACCCACATGGATCCAGACATCAACAGCAATCTCCATAGATTCTCTAATAATACAGGCTAAATTCCAAGAGCCAAGTCTTCTAATAAGTCCCAAACCACCTTCACTTTTAGGTAGACAGATATCTTCTCATGCAAATCTTGCACCTTTAGCTGATTCAGGTTTTACCTTTCCACACAAAAAATGAAAAATACACTTGCTCCCGATTACCTCGATTACTTTCTTGGGCAATATGAAAAATTGGCACCAGTAGTTGATCTGGCTGTAATTAACAGACCGAATCAACTGGAATCCCCCTGCATTCGTGAGATGCCGCATTGATCAAGATGATGTTTCATCCTAGACATCAAAGCCCAGCCAAGATACCTAACTAGAAATTGTAACACCCCGGGGTCCGCCAGTGTACACATATTATCCGCTTTGGGCCCCACTGGGCCCTCATGATTTTGTTCCTCAGGGCTTTGCCCAGAAAACGCGTATATACAGATAGAGAACACCGAACCCCGAACCTTATAAACCAGTCCAGGACTCCCCCTCACGACGGCCCAGGCGACGGTGCGCGGGGAGGAGGGATGGCGATGCGTCTGCGCCTCGGTCCTTTGATGTGCGCAAGGAAGGAGGGAAGCCTCTCTTGTCCCACATCGCCTAGGAGGGAGTCCTGGACTGATTGATAAGGCTTAGGCTTCTCTACTCTGTGTAACGTGTTTTAAAGCCGTAAGGGCTAATGGGCCCAAAGCGGATAATATTACACAGTGATAGTCCCCCAGGTTCTTACAAGTGGTATAAGAACCGACTCTCGATCGCGTGTGGGGTCACAGCGAGGGTGGTCCTCGGACGTGCGTAAGGAAGGGAAGAGCCTATCTTGTCCCACATCGTCCCCACATCGTCTAAGGGGGAGTCATATACTGGCTTATAAGGTTCGGGGTTCTATCTGTACATATACGTTTTCTGGGGAAAATTCCATTTTGGTACCTCAAGTGGAAGCGTTTTCTTAATTTGGTACCCAAAGTGGACATGGTGTCAAATAAGGGCCTGAAGTGCCCAATTAGTCTCAAATAAGGACCCGAAGTGCCCAAAAAGTCTCAAATAAGTGCCTGGGTCGCCGGCAGGCCAAATGAACAAAACCGTGAGAGCCCAGTAGGGCCCAAAGCGAATAAAATGTGTATAGCGGCGGACCCCAGGGTGTTACAGAAATCGCTCATAGTAGTCAATTCATTCAAATAATCCTAAAAATAGCCAGCCAAAAATAGCTCAGTCTTTTGAGGATTAAGTTTCAAACCCGATGACGGGGAAATACCCATGATCACCACGTTGCAAATGCGTACAGCCTTTTAGTTTTGGTTCTAACCATTTGTTCCAAAAGTTTAAGTCATTGAGAAATAATCTCCACTATTTTTAGCATTCTACCAATGAAAAATTCATAAATGGGTAATTGGAGAGTGAGGAATCGAAGTCAGATATCTCTATCTTTGATACCATGTATTAGAGTGGATCGTGTAATTCATATTGATTTTCTGACATAGAGGCCTTTTTCACGATTGGGAACCAATTCTTAGAAATTAATGTTGTTGTAATGAAGAACTTCAGAGCAAAGGACCTGACATTCCACGTGACAATATTAAGAATAGTTGCTTGAAATAAAGAATATTCGCCAATAATTCCATACCATATCTACTTAATGAACAAGTAAATTGATTGATTCATGAGTAAATACATATAGGCAACAGTGACAAGAGCATTGGAATTATCATCCGTGCCACTATCAGTCCCCCTTCCTCCACGTCGTCTCGTGTGAATGTGAAGTGGAACTCTAGTGAGCAAAGACAAAAGCATCGTGGTCAGTTTTACCTAGTTTAAGGTTTCATCGCACGGCTCACGTTTCTTGAAGGCTTCCTTTCTCTTTCGCTCTTTTTGGCTGTTAGCTCTTAATAATTATGATGTAAAAGCGTCGGTCTTCGAGATGTTACTTTGGAGTAATCAATAAGTTCAACAATGCTATATTAGAAAAATAAAGAAAAAAAAAAGGTTTGACGATGCTTCGTCCTCTCTCTTCGTCTACCCATTCCTTATCTTAACCATTGCGTTCGTACCTTCACATGTCAATAGTTTACTGCTAACTCTTCATTTCTTCTTCTGCTTAACCTTCTCATTCTCTTCGGTTCATCCTTGATCAAGCTCGGATTTCAGACACTATCACAAGAACCGTACTATATTGAAAATCTAGTCGGGATTAATAACGAAAAAGGGTCTTTCAAGAAGTAGTTTTGGACACAAAACTCACGAAGGCCATCCCCTTTTACCGTCCATTTTCGATGAAATTTGAGATTGTAAAGTAACACCATTTGGAATGTCGTATTAAAGCAAAAATCAACCGATGCAAGCTCGAAATGTTATGTTATAATTAAGTCGCTTCCAAAGAAATCGTATAGTTATTGAATCTCTTGTCCACTCTTAGCTGATTCTTTTCTCTTTGCCAGTTAGAATTGAGTTGGACAAAACTAATTTACGAGGAAAATGAGAGAACACTAGCAGCTACCAATGCACGTTAAGTTACGCTCCTTAGGTATTGCATTGCATGGCCCAAAAAGGATAATGCTTAGGTTTTGCCATATGTACCCCAAAGTTACAACTATACTGCAGTCAAGACTTTGGCCCAAAATGAGAAGTGCTATCGAAATTATTAGTCTTCCTCCACGATGATACTTAGCTTTGCCTTGAAACCGCGTCCACGACGTCCGCTGTGACTACCGCTTCTCCCTCTTCTCTCCACCGGCAATCTTCTGTCGCCGGCACCTCTGCCAACACGAGAAATTCTATTGCGATGTGTCGTTCTCACATCTCTCGTGCTCGCGAGCACCACCGGCTCGACCACTGTTTCCCTATCACACCCGCATCTGCGTGCGCTATACACCCGCTTCGCTTGATCTTTACTCATCTTCAAAGCTGAGTCTGCTTTCACGGCCAAATCCGCCATCTCAGCTGGCCGGAGCGGGCTACCCAGCCAGCTCATCGGCAGCACGAAGTAGAGCTGCCCCGGCAGGAGATCCTCCTCGGAGCTGACGGCCACGACGACATCGTCGAAGTCCATGTCGTCCGAGTCGCATATGAAGCACGCGGGGTTCTTCTGGAGCACGTGCGATGCCTTCACCGGGTACGAGAACTCCTGAAGCCGACCGTCGTGGAGGATGAGCTTCACGGTGGCCACGGACGTCGACTCGCTGGAGCTGCAAATCCCCATGTTTTCTAGGGTTGCGGTGAAATGTTAGAGAAGAAACGTCGTGCGCTTCTTGACATTGTCAGTCGGATAACGATGTAATTTGTTTGTTTTCATTGTCGTTAGTTATGTATTTTAACACCTTTCCTTGGACGCCACATTGGATTGCTCGCCTTCGTGTGTCATTACATAGTCCAGAAAAAAATGATCGTATATTATTATCATTCTTCTAAACAAGGATTGATATAAACTAAGCTATTCATAGTGCAGAATACTTTGAAGAGTTTATACAAATTTGAGTGCGGATCGGCATGGATATCATGATTTCTTTGGACATATATGATTAGCTTGGTCTACTAGAATGAGTCTACGGACAATATCTATTTTCTATATCCTCGAGTGAAAATAGTGAATCTCGATCGAGGTCGAGAAGTTGTGCACTCGGCCCCCATGGTTGCAAGGCTCTCCCCTTGACGTTGTCGAGCAACTTTGCACGTAAGGTTAGTGATCATCAAGGTCAGCCATGAGAACTAGAAAAACTATCAAAAAAAGGTAAACATGGAACTTATGCATACAAGACTAATATAATAAATGAGAATGCAAATTAATGTGAAGGTTCCTTCAAAGTCTGGCTATCAATGCATATGCATGCCACGCCAAGCCAACTATATGGAATAAATCCAAAGAAGGATTCTTCCATTCATTACAACACATTAAGATATGCAATATCTTCACGCCATGCAAACCATTTCTTCTGTCACTTCCTACGATTAAGACATATAATGTCAACTTGCGATCAACTACAAGTATCGTGACATGACAGTTAGTGGATCTTTCTTTTCTTGCTTTTGGACCAAAACCGTAGTAAGAGAAACAAATTTCTTCTTTTTTTCGTCCAAACGATAAGATAATATCTTGCTACATGGTGAAAAACATGTGATAATTTAACATATAAACTTTTATCATGAGCAGCTCCCTTTCATAAGTTTTAAATAAATCATACCATGCTACAAATGTTAGAGGTTTGAGAAAAAGTAATTAGATTCGGCCACCGCACCTTACTCAAGTTGGACCGGGTTCGTTCACTCTTTTTTTTCTTTTACGAAGTTTTTCCATTTAAGTATTTCGAGAATGCCTAGAATAAAACCTTTGGAGAAAACATGAATGGATAAACTAAAGCATGGTGAACAGGGTCTATTCACAATAGAGCAGGAGTACGGACACTTGGATTATAATAACCTAATAAAGACCATATCGTCATGCATGCACGCACCATCTAAACACCACCCAGGTCTTGGATTGCATTATTCATCATGTCCTTACGAGCAAATTTCACCATCCACTCCCGATTGACACGTCGCCGGTCATGCTTGAGACATAAGCGAGCCGATAACACCGGCAATAAGGGCTGTCGGGTCGCCTAACACCGCGGATATCACGAATTGGAGGGCCAAACCGGCCATCTCGTAACACTTCTTCTTCTTGCTCTTGCTCCTGTTATGTGGTGTCTGGAGCGTGTCCTTCAAGCTGGGGATTCTAGTCGGAAGCCCTCTCCTGGAACCGCCGCCGCCGCCTTTCCCAAGCCCGACATATATATCATGCCAACTCTCCACCAACATCTCCCTCACACAAGCCACATGCAAATTGTACCTCTTGCAGCTGGACCTGTAGCTCCAGCTCCTCCCTTTCTTCCCACACCTATGGCAAGGCGCACTCACCTTCCTATACAAGTAGAGCTTCACATCCCCATCGTCCAGCACCATTGGCAGCTTCGCGCAGCATGGGTGGAGGTCGAACCCGCAGGTGCGGCAGTGGTAGACGAAGCCCGCCACGTCCTTCCTGCACGCGTCGCAGCAGCGGGGCCCATCCTCCGTCGGCGGCCTCGACATGAACTGGAAGGAGCACTTGGGGTAGAAGAGATGCGACACGGTTGCAGACGGGATGGCACAGTGCGAGTGGAGGTCGAAGTTGCACGTGGGGCAACTGTAGTGCGAGCCGATGCCGATCTCCTTGCACCCGTCACACTTGAACGGGAACTCGGTGTACTCGAACGTCAGGGTGTGCTGGGGGTGGCTGAAGTGGGAGATTTCATGGTACTTCATGGTAGAAATTTGGTCTCTAGCAATGCAGGAAGAACCCTCGAAATGGGTACTTATAGCGGTTGCTTTGAGACGAGAACTGTTGGTTTGCTGGTCATGGAAAGACCAAGGTTGATCAGGGATCTTAAAGGAGGTTAATCTCTCTTCACTTTGGCTTGCTGTTGAAGGAAGGGAGGGAATTGTGCTTTTGGGGGATAGTGGTGATGGTTGTAAATTGAGTGTACACAAGAGAACAAGTTGCGTCAAGAAGGGAAAGTGCAGACACAAGGCATAAATTTTTTGCGTCGTGTCCCACATGAAGAATTGGAACTTTCACTTTGCATAATCAATCAGCTTCTGTCATCTGATGCATATATAATACAAAAAACATGTCGAGATGTTTCCAAAATGAGACAAAATGCTGTAGCGGGACTATGCTCAGTATTGTTTGCTTGAACTAAAAATATTGACGATAACAATAATTTAGCCTAGATGCGATAAGATAGCATTATTTCTTCGAAACCCATGATCAATCAAAATCAATTTTTTAAAGCCGTAAAGTTATAGCGCGCAGGAACATGGAAAAAGCTTTAGAATTATTGCGTAAATTTATTCCCCTGAGCATATTAAACTTTAGAACTTAGTGCTCGTTATTCAGGCATTTTTTCTCGAGGATCAATGCTTAATCAAGGTAACTTTCAGGCGAATAAGAATCTAGCATGGTAATATTCTCGGTTTAATAGTCACCGATCTTCAACAGAATAAGAAGAAAATTAAATGTTGTAATGTGCTATATGCAGCAATCAATCGTTGTTTAATATGGCCTGAGCGACTAAGGTATATGGAATCATATCGATAAGCTAAGAAGATGCTATGGCCTTCATAGTCAGAGAATATTTTTGCCTTTCAAAGATTATAATTACTCGATCTAAGAAAAAACATAACCTAGAAGCGACGGCGAATGGTCCTCAATTCACGTATATATAGATAAAAGGTCCCCTCCGATTCTAATATTATCCTCTTTGAGTTAAATAACATATATTTACATATGGTTGAGATATTATATGTCGTCATATATTCACACGTCAGATAAATTTACTTTTGGAATTTTTCCAAGGATTGGACCCAAAAAGAAATTCTCAAAGGAAAAAGAAAATCAAGGACTTTACTTTGAGTGCACAATTATTATTATTATTATTTTGCCTTTCTACAATATAGTGGAAAAAGATCATCAATATCTAGGAAGTGTGCATGGCGGCTTATTATCATTTTTTTTAAGTTTTTTCCCGTTGAGCATGGTTTAATTAATTAATTTCTCATATCCAATATCGAAAACTTCCGCACAAAAATCACCTTCTTCTTTTTCTTTACAAGGCTCAGAATGTAATTAACATGCTCTCTTGGACTTGTATCTTAAGCGTACATGTTTGCTTTTTGTCATATGCTTTAACCTCTCTTGATGCAACCAAATTCTAAAATGCTTTGACAAGGAAGAGAAAGAAACCCAAAATACTTCAACTAGCAACCACTCAATCTCAATCTCAATCTCAATCCACAGGACAGAACATATTCCAATTCCCAACCCCCTCACATACCTAATTTCGTGGGCTCAAAATAATATCCACCATATATAATATAAAGTTTTATTACTAGCATTTTAGGGCACTTTCATTAGTGTGTTATCCACACGTTTCTTTCTTATGACCCATGGTGTGGGAATCTCCTCATTTCATCTGGGTTCTTTTTTTCCAATTGATGCAGCTTCTTATGGTACCAACTTGGCATTGAATCACGTATAGGAATCGATTCACATTCAATCCGGGTAACAAAGTTCCTAGCTTGATTGAACATTAAGGTCATTAAAGTTGCTTATTAACCTTAGGAAGCATCATATGCCATGCGCATTTTCATCAATAATTCAAGATGCTGTTCTTGCATTTGTTTTTCCTTTCTCTTTTATGTTCCCTAGCTAGAGTTCAGTGGTTGTCATTAGAAAAGAAGAGGGGTGACTGTTCAATGTTTTAAAAGAGATGGAGAGGCATCAATACCATTCAGTCAACCAACAATGCTTTGTACTTATCTCTCTCTTTTTTCTCTTTATTGGCTTTTTAGGAACCCATGAAACATCTGAAATGTTCCTGCTTAGCTGAGTGAACACGACTCCTAATTCTCCACTTTCCTCTATCTTGGAATAATTGTATTGTACTTGCAATATTGGAAAAGAGATTGTACAATGAATAGTATATTTGCTTTTTTCTTTTGCGATAATAGCACAAATGGTTCCTAAATTTTAGTCTAATGTATAGTGTCATCTCTAAACTTTTAATTTGTGTAACGTGATCCCTCAATTTTGACCCAATATGCAACGTCGTATCTAAACTTCTAATTTGTTTAATATGGTCCTTGAACTACGTCATCTCTAAACTTTTAATTTATTCAATGTGGTCCCTGAACTGTTGGTAAATATTTAATGTAGTTCACAAACTATATAAAAATATTTAAAAGTTCAGGGACCATATTGAATATATTAGAAGTTTAGGGACAACATGTTCATGGACCACATTGAATATTGGACCAAAATTCAGATATTATATTGAACAAATTAAAAGTTCAAAGAAGACATTGAACATTGGACCAAAATTCAGAGATCACATTAGACAATTAAAAATTTAGAGACGACATTGCACATTAGATCAAACTTCAGGATCCATTTGTGTTTGCGGTAGAGTAGACTGTTAGTGTTGAAATGGGTTCGTGATCAATTCCTCTAATCCATCTTTTGCACTTGTGATGCATCGTTCTGATATGTATGCACTCGGGAACTGAACAAATATGGCTTGGTTTTGATAGGGAACAAGATGAAAAAGTGGCTAAATCAGCCTTGCCTTTATCTTTAGATCTCAAGTCCTTGGGAACTTTGCGTCCATTGAGGTGAAAGAATTTCTTCTGATGTGATTGGTACTAATGTTTGCTACTTTAATATCTCTCTCTCTCTCTCTCTCTCTCTCTCTCTCTCTCTCTCTCTCTCTCTCTCTCTCTCTATATGCTTTCCACCTTAAACTAATTCTACCGAAATGTTACATGAAAAGCCTATTTTCGTCATCGTTGACACCTATTTTTAATTTGCCCAAAATTAAGTACACAAAATTTAGGAGTTAATTTTCTTTAATTCCTAAAATAAAAAAATATTTCTATTTCAATGCATTGCATATAAAAATTAGGCACATTTTACATTAATAGGGCCTATTAGAGTTTTAAAAAAAATTTCAAAAAAAAATTTCAAAAAAAAAAACGAGTCGGGCTGGGTCGGGGTCGAGCTGACCCGGCCCTTTTCTTTTTTCCTTTCCTTCCCCGCACGGGCCCCGTTGTTCACCCTCTGAACATCGGATTGATCCCTTTGTTCACCCTCTAAACATCGGATTGACCCCGTTGTTCACCCTCTGAACATCGGATTGACCCCTTTGTTCACCCTCTGAACATCGGATTGACCCCGTTGTTCACCCTCTGAACATCGGATTGATCCCTTTGTTCACCCTCTGAACATTGGATTGACCCATTTATTCACCCTTTGAAAATCGAATTGACCTCTTTTTTCACCCTTTGAACATTGGATTGACCCCTTTGTTCACCCTCCTGAGCACAGGACTAACCCCCTTTGTTCACATCAAGTCTTTTCAGGTACCCCCTATGATGCAGGTACTTTGGTAAAGCAAAATCCAATCAAGGCGACCGAAGAAAGGCTCGGGTCCAAGACAAACCGTTTCCCCGTCAAGGCGACCGAAGACAGGTTCGAGTCCTCGACACACAATATCAACTATTTGGAATTACTCTACCCTTCGGCAAGGTAAGTAGCCCCAGGTATGTTTTTATTTGCTTTAGCATGCATCATCTTATATCACATCATAAAAATGAGACTCACGGTCTCGCCAAAAATAGCATTCATTGAGCATACATGGGCCAACTTTAGGTGTCATTTTTATCTTTGAATGTAACCTCTACGAGCGCAACCTCTGCGAGCTCACCTTCAAAGAGGGGCAGCTGTTGACACCTATTTTTAATTTGCCCAAAATTAAGTACATAAAATTTAGGAGTTAATTTTCTTTAATTCCTAAAATAAAAAAATATTTCTATTTAAATGCATTGCATATAGAAATTAGGCACATTTTGCATTAATAGGGCCTATTAGAGTTTTAAAAAAAAATTTCAAAATTTTTTTTCAAAAAAACAAAACCGAGTCGGGCCGGGTCGGGGTCGGGCCGACCCGGCCGTTTTCTTTTTTCCTTTCCTTCCGCGCATGGGCCCTGGCCCACTCTTCTTCCTTTTCTTTTTTCCCCTCCGCGGGCCCGGGCCCATTTCTTTTTTTTCCTTCTCCTTTCCCCCCCGTGCGGCTGGGCCTGGCCCGGCCCAGCCCTCCTCCTTCCTTCTTCCCCCCGTTGCTCTCGCTGCCCTGTTCTCCCCTGTGCCCGACGGCAGCGTGACGCACGGTGGCGCAGCTCCTCGGCGTCGCTATCCGGCCAGAGCAGGGCCGGATGAGCACGCCGACGGGACTGGCATTAATTGCCAGTCTCGTCCTCCCCGTTTTCCTGGCTTCCCCTTATCTCCTCCTCCCTCTCGGCTTCCTGTTCCTCCCTGCCCGTCTCAGACCTGCTCCGCCCCTGCTCTGCACGGGCCTATAATGGCCACGAAAGTCGTGGGATGGCGTAGGCCGGTGCAGACCGTCGTCACGTCGACGTAGAGGAGCAGAGGGGCACCGTCGTCGCCGGCTATAAATAGCGCGAGAGAGAGAGAGAGGCCAGCCGGCCGTTTTACGAAAGAAACAGAGCAGAGAGAAGCCGGGAGAGAAAGAGAGAGATTGAGCGACACAGAGAGACTGAGAGCTCTTCCGACGACCGCCGTACTCGTACCGCGACCATAAAAGACCAGAGAAAGAGAGGAGAGGAGTCGGTTGGCCAGATTAAAAGAAAAACAGAGACAGAGAGAGGAGAGAAAAACCAAGAGAGAAAATAGAGAAAATAGAGAGAGAAAGAGAGGAGAGTCGGTTTTTGCAGGTTCCCAGTAGCGTCGCCGTCGCTTCCCGACCCACCGGAATTCCCCCAGACGCGCTGTCGACGATGAGATTCCCCCCGGCCCGAACCACCTCTGTTCTGCTCTGTTTCTCTGATCGGTTTGGCCGGGACCCGCGCTGGCCGTTTCGCACGAGTCCCGGCCCATACCGCCGTCCCCCGCCGTTTGTGTGTCACCGTCGTAGGTGAGGTAAGTCGCCGGAGCCGACCAGCTCGCCGGAGGAGGTCAAGATTTCCAGTTTTTCACCGCCCCCCCCACCTGTTCGACAAAAAGCCTCAATGAAACCAGTTTTTGTTTTGGTCGCCAGCCGGCGAACGGCGGTCGGACGGTGACCCCGGTGGGTGGAGAGGCTTGGTTTTGGTCCCAGGGGTCGAATTGGGGGCGGCGCCGGTCTGGGTCCGCCGGCGAGAGGTCGATTTTCGGCTTCGCCGGCGGTTGCTCCCACGTGTTCGGCCTGACCCGGTTCAGCCGACCTGACCCGGGTCAACGACTGGGTCGGATCCGTTGACCCGGGTCAGTCCGACCGGCCCGGTTTAGCTGATCCGACCCGGGTCAACGCCCCGGGTCGGGTCCGTTGACCTGGGTCGGTTCCGACCCGGTCCGGATCCGTTTTTTTTATTTTTTTATTTTTTATTTTTATTTTTTAAAATATATATATAAATTTTAAATTTTTCTTTTCTTTTCTTTTTTCGTTTTCCCTGGCTTTTTTATTTTATTTTATTTTGTTTTATTTTTTTAATTTTTTTTTCTTCTTCTGTATTTTTTTATCCAAAAAACAATTATTAAAAAAGAGAGAGAAAATATCCTTTTTTATCTATGTGATATATTTGTTTTAATTTATTGCAGTATTATTATGTAAGTTTTTGTCTTGTTTAAATTAGACAAGTCTGAGGTTGCGCAGTAGTATTTTGCATGTTAGTTTTTATTACCGTTGTATTATTATGCATGTTTTTAGTACAATTGCATGAGTTGTTGTATTTTTGAATGTCATCTGACTTAGTTAAGGTTAGAACCTTAGGCTGCATGAATTGTTGTGTTCCTGACTGCTGATCGTTTCTGATTATGCACTCGCTTGATCACCTCACATGTTAGGAGAAATGTCCTAAAATCAATCCAAATTGCCTGACAAATGTTTTCGGAAATGAGCAGGGTAAAATGGTACCGAAAGGGCATTAGTTATCCAACTAGTGTAACCAAGTCCCCGAACTCAGTTAATCTCTGATTCGCAGGAATATGGTGATTCTCCCATCACCCTATTTGGATTTCTAATCGACCTACCCCAAATCGATTAGTGGCGACTCCTTGGTATAAACCACTTGCATGTTAAATACTTAAACCCTAAGTCGCGATATGGTATGGGCTTGGGAGGGCCCGAGTTAAGTCCTGAACCTAGACTTAGCACGTACCAGGCAAATCCTCCCTTTTTGGATGTTTTAAAAAAAAAAACCCGGGGAGTTCGGTCGCGACAGTCATTATGTGAAACATATTTGTATGATACTAAATGATTCAAGAAGAATAAAAAATTTTGATTTAAAAGCTAAATCAAATCTCTAACACTTTAAATCTTGAGTTTTTCAAACTTTCTAGAAATTTTGGAATATATATAATATTTCTTAACATTGGCAAGTTAGATATCTCCTATTTCATGAACTTTTAAGTTCATCTTCCTAAATCCACTAAATTTTCGAACATTTGTTTTATCTTATCATAATTAGTCCTTTCATGGTTAGTAGACCTATCAAAATGGGTCATAAACCCATTTCTTAACTCATATATCAGTAAATAGATCATAAATGAATTAGTTATATTCATTAAATAGGTCATAAATGGGTATTAACGTCTTTAATAGGTTGTAAATAGGTCATAAATGGGTTTTCAATTTATTTAAACTCAACTCATCTCTCTCGCCCTCACTTAATCTTGCATTCATTCATTACGCACTCTTGTTTATATTAGTTTTCCTATATTTAGTTAAATATGAAAATATTTTAGTAATATGAGTAGGGTTGGGTATGAGTTGGGTCGAGTATGGGTCATTAGATTTTCATTACATGGAATTGGATCAAAATGGGTTAAATTGGTCTATTTGGGTCAGACCATTTTAGTCCTGACCCAAATCCGATCTGACCCACCCGTTTGACAAGTCTAATGGTTAGTTGTAGAAATATTTTGAGTTCATTTGATTGGAGGAAAATCTTTTTTTAAACGTTTTCTAGCATTAAAAAGAAGAAAAAAAAACAACACACCAAAATATTCACACCTCCAATCCACAACCACAAGCTACCAAATTCCCAATAGGCCACAATTAAGCTCTAAGGCCCAAAGATCTTTTTCTCGTCGGGCCCAATTGGCCCAATCATCTACCGGCGTAAAAAAGGCTCGAACCGTCCCGAATCGAACCGACCCGAACCAGAAAAATTCCGGTCGGGTTCCCTCCCACCCCTGCCTTCGCTCGCTGCTCGAATTGGTCTGTTCCCGGCGATGGCGATGGCGACCCGATTCGCGTTCCTCAACCTCCGTCGCCACCTCTGCTCACCGTTCTCCTCCGCGGCCACCTCCAGCGAAGCGCTCGTCTCCGACGTCGTCTCGCTCCTGACCCACCACCGCTCCAAGTCGCGGTGGACCCACCTCCGCTCCATGTGCCCCGGCGGCCTCGCCCCGGCGGAGTTCTCCCAAATCGCCCTCCGCCTCCGGAACAGCCCCCACCTCGCCCTCCGCTTCTTCCTCTTCACGCAGCGGCGCTCCCTCTGCGACCACGACCTGCGCTCCTACGCCACCACCATTCACGTCCTCTCCAGGGCCCGCCTCAAGCGCGCCGCGCAGGGCTTGATCAGAGAAGCCCTCAGGATCTCCCCCGATACGAAGCCCGTCGGGGTCTTCGAGGTGCTCGTGCGGACGTACCGGGAGTGCGATTCCGCGCCCTTCGTGTTCGATTTGTTGATCGAGTGTTGCTTGGAAGCGAAGAAGGTCGACGCGGCTCTGGAAATCGCCAGGCTGTTGAGGTCGCGCGGTCTGAGCCCTAAAGTCGCTACCTTGAATTCGTTAATCTGCTGGGTTTCTAGGCGTAGGGGTGCATTGGCGGGCTATGAGATTTATAAGGAGGTTTTCAGGGTGAGTGATGGTGGAAATGTGGGGAACCCGAAAGGGGTCGTCAGGATTAGCCCGAATGTGCATACTTTCAATACATTGATGACCTGCTTCTATCGGGACGGCGCTGCGGACAGAGTCGAGGAGATTTGGGACGAAATGGTGAGGTTGAGCTGTGCACCGAATGTGCACAGCTATAGTGTCTTGATGGCTGTGTGTTGTGAGGATGGGAAGGTTGCCGAAGCCGAGAAAATTTGGGATGAGATGAGAGTTAAGGGGATCGAGGCTGATGTTTTGGCCTACAACACGATCATTGCCGGTTTTTCTGAGAACGGACAGATTGAGAGGGCCGAGGAATTGGCGAGAGAAATGGAATTGAATGGATTGGAGAGTACTGGTGTCACTTATGAGCACCTTATAAAGGGGTACTGTAATGTAGGAGATGTCGATTCGGCATTGCTGGTTTATAAGGACATGTGTAGAAAAAAGTTTGGGCCAGAGGCATCAACAATACATGCAATGACCATAGCGCTGTGTGGTCAGAGTAGGGCTTTTGAAGCTCTGGTTATTTTGAGAGGTGCAGCAGATAATTCTTGTTTGTTGCCAAAAGGGAAGAGTTATGAGGTTTTGATAATCGGGTTGTGCTTGGAGGGGAAGATGGAAGAAGCTTTGAGGCTCCAGGCAGAGATGGTAGGTAAAGGTTTTGAAACGAATTCAGAGATCTACACTGCTTTTATTGATGGTTGCAAGAAGAAAGGGAACAAGGAAATGGTGGAGAAGCTGAGAAAAGAAATGCTAGACATGCAACAGAAAGTGGATTAGCAAAGCACAAAAGGTATTAGTTGGTTTAACCACTTTCTGGAGAAGTTCTGATGTAGGTCATGCTTCTGGGATCCGCATCTGCTAATGCGAGATTTCATGCTTTCATAGGTAGCGGAATTCATCACCAGAGCCTCTGCTAGCTGTTTTGTGACGACTCGTGGTAGAACTATCTTAAACAAAGGTTTATGTGCTCTATGTTCTCTTTTGCTTGGAAATTTGCTTCAGAAGGAAAGTTGAATTCACTGTGGAGCTGAGTGGAGCGGAGGAGTGGATGTTACCATGGTTTGGCTGGGTTTTTGTCCTAGGAGAAGAACAAACATCGGAAGGATTGGTTGTGGAGCAAGTCGAGGTAAGAAAGTACTTGGCTCGGGTTGATATGAAATTGTGTGCAAGTACGTTGGAAAGGTGATTAGAGGCCTGTGTTCCTACGAGTCCGTTTTGTAAAACAAGGGAAGCATCTCTTTTGATGGATCTACATTTTATTATTGATCTTCAGACAATGAGAAGATTGTTTGTAGATGTGAACTCTGTAAAAGAGCAACAAATTGAGGTTGATGATCATCTCTCATTGGAATGCTCTCCGGAGACGAGACGACTGTGGCCACCAAGATGCTTATATTTGAGAAATTTAGTTTGAATGAGGGAGAGATATGGGTTGTTGGGTATATGGGACTGCAAGGATGAAAAGAAATGTTCTCAGGTGTTATGTTTCTCGCGAAAGTGAGAGAGCAAACTGAAATAATTAGACAATTTGAAATATGCAAGACTAATCTCCTAGAGATTCTGATATACAAAGTCTCAGAGCATGACAAAGCTACACACTAGCTCAATCCTCATTGCGGGATACATGAAAGCCGGCAGAAAGATCCGAAGTGGTCAGTTTTTATAGACACGCTACGCTATAACCCTCGTAGACAATGAAAGAATTGCATTTGTGATTCCTGACGACAAAACTAGGAAGAACTTTGTATATTTTGCACAATGATCTGGAGAACATTATGCTCCCAGCGTAACTTTCTGCTCTACAATTGCACGCTCGATGCTATAATTTCCATTACAGTATAGCCAGAGATCTCTTTTTCTGTAAACAAGAATGCTAAACACGATCCAGTTGCGAGATTGTCACGGAACATTTCCAGTGAACACTGCAAAATCTTGAGACCCAAAGAATTCACAAAGCTGGGAGCAACCAGAGGTTGAAGAGTGACGAAGCGAGGGACAAAAACCACGATAAAAAGGCCATGGCCGCCGATATCTGGTATCTACTGCAGAACTTTGGAGGGCAGTAAGACCCATCGGCGTGCACCAGCAGATCCACGACACTAGCTGTTGAGCTAGCTGCCGCTAGTGTGAGAGTGGACAGCACCTGTAACAAAGAGCCTTACGTTTAACAACCCAATTTTTCAATTGTTTAATTACGCAGGGAGTATGCAGTGCGCACCCAGTCTCCGATTACGATGATGAATAGAACTCCAGGTTGTCGGAGCGGGCACTTAACCAGGACGGAGTATCCGTCCACCAATGCCAAGGTAAAACTCCACGGTATGTTTAAACCCATGATTGTGACCAAGTAGCTGCATCAGTAACAATTGCAGAGTTCAAAAGTAGTCAAAAGGATGCAAATAGTACCGATAATATTGATTCAAGTTCATTCGATCATTAAATTGACTTGACAACAGTTTCAGCTGATCATTCTGTTTCTGCCAAAATGGTATCTATTGATGTCGGCAATTTGTGGTAATTAGCAGAAAGATGTTAGTCTTGCAAAAGGAGGAAAATTGTTAGGACAACTCTTTCTTGATGTTATGTCTTAACTACATTTCCGGCTTTAAATATTTGCAGGGATAATCCGTGGAGTTAACAGGGCGTGAGCAACTAGCTAAAGAAAGACACGGCAAGCAAAGAAAAGTCCAATGTGACAGAAGTAGATGCGTCATTCATGAAGCAAACGTACGAGAAGAACTGCCGGAAAGAAACATCGGAGAAAATCATTTATTAGTCGAAGACACACACGGCATAGGCACACGGAGTTGGCCTGTAGATGCCAAAGAGAATGCAACTCGAAGCAGTAGTACAGGTCAAAAGCCAATATTGGATAATGGGCAGTCGCATCTTTTTGTTCAGTCTTCGCCAGATGATGGTGAAGCATAAATTTGTGTGATCCTCTTTGACGCTGCCATATGAGCCCTTGAAATAACCCTTTGAACTTGACACAAGACTACTTGCTAATCACATAATCTCTCAGCTCAGCCACTTTGACCACAGAGACAGAAAGCTTTACAACTCTTCCGACATCTGGTTTCTAAATGGATCGCCGGATCAAAATTAGGAGAGAGAACGAGAAGAGAACCACTACAATCCTAGAAACAGATTGGTTACCCGACAAGAAGGCTGATCTTCTCCCTAGTTTTACTTTTTTTTGCCTTTTTTTGTGGTAACCTCAAAACGGACAAGGAGACGGAAATGATAATACCGAGTTTCTCACGTAAAGAAAGACACACGTGATGGATACAACAGACCGACTGGTACGATCCCAAAGAGAGTTCACCAACAAAATCAAAAGGAACCCAATTTTGAGTTTTGATCGAGATCATGATAGAACAGAGAGAGAGAGGGGTCACCACCTACCAGAAAGCGGTGTAGCTGTAGAACTGAACGCCAAGGGCCATGAAGAGAAGAGAAGCCGAAGAGAAGATGGTCTGACCCAATCTCAGAGCAAAACTGGCGCTTGTCCCCACCGAGCCAGGCACTTCATCCATCCCCTCCTCCTACTTCTTGCATAGAATTGCAATCTCCTCGCTATTGGGGAACAACTTCTCTTGCCTCCCTCCTCATCACGGTGGTTCATCGTAACCACTCGCGAGCCATCACAGAACTCGACTTCTCTCGATCAAATATTATGACGAAGAAGAAGACTGACCCACCCACCCAACCGCCGACAGATAGGCAAGACAAAGCATAAGGGTCTGCTCTCTTCCTCCCAAGAGTCCTATGTGGCCATGAAGAAACTGTCAGCTTATGACAAGAACTCTCTCTCTCTCTCTCTCTGTGATTACAGTTTCTTGTGGGGTGCAAATTTTGAGGGGGTTGGGACTCGTGGAAAGGATCTACAGTTGTTTGCGGAGACAATTGGCTTTAATCATGTGGGAATTGACATTTGGGACTCTCTCAGTTCTTGGTGGCACGTCTTTGGGGCCCCCCTCACGAGAAGAAAAGAACCCCCATTCTCTCTCTCTCTCTCTCTCTCTCTCTCTCTCCTCTGCTCACAAAGAGACAGAGAGACACAGAGAGAGATTGCTGTTACTATGGTTGGCCTGAATATTTGATCTGTTCTGTTCTACTGCTGAGAAAACGTGGGGGATGTTTTGCCCAAAAATACATGCCCTTTTCAACACGACCCTTCTTGTATTTCCTGTGGTCCTAAAATATTCCTGAAATGGAGATTCTACTGTCCGATTTTGGCTTAAGCTTCGGTAATCCAAGATTACGTGCTTGATTTAAGGGCCGAAGCACGGAAACGCATTCGCCGGATCTGAGTCAGCTGCTGCACAGGTGGCGCATGGCGGGGCTTCGATGCTAGTATAGATAGATGATGGGTGTATTTGGAGGACCAGTGGATGACGCAATAAATCCACGTCGGACGATGCGGCTTTTGCATTGGTTTTGGTCTCCTGACTGACATGTTTCACCGGTCGCTGATGCGTCGAGGGTCAATCATTGTTGGCTGGCGTGGCGGCGATCCTCCCTTTCGCTGTCCACCAAATAAGCCGGCCCTGCCTTTGTCACTCTTTATTGGCATCTATTTAAATAAAACTATCTTAGAAAATTGATTCTACTTTCTTTCTCTTTTTCTATATTTGACTGTATTTTACAAAAAAAAACAAACACGAAGGTTCTTTCCCGACGTTTTTTTTGTATAAAAAATATGATACCCATATTAAAGAAAGAATCTCGAAGCTAAGTCCGGATTTTGGGCATCGTGGTCCCGGGCCAATGCGTAGCGGACCACGCGCAGGGCGCCAGCGACCCGAGCAAGTGGGCAATGTACCCAAGCCCGGCCATTAGGGATTCCGGCACGTTTGCATGGAACTCGGGCACCTAGGGTCCCAAACTCGACCTAAGCATCGAGGTGTCAGGTCCGAGTGTCGGGTCCGTTTGTATTATGAAATATGATTTCTGATATTTAACAAAGGAAGTTATTTTCTCGAACATGAGTATAGATTAACTGTAGACCGTGAAAAGATTTTCCGTCAATTCATTTCACCGAGCAATCTAAATGTCGGAAAATGAGAAAAATGTTATTCGGACAGCAATAATTTTTTGTGCTAACCAAGTGGACTCGTGACTAGAAATTCACGAGCGATAACACAGCTCCGAATTATGGCAGGCGTCTTAGACTTTGATATTCAAGTTGAGACGCGAGATAGTCCGGATCATCCCGTGTAATCAAACACGCACAATAATTGGCCGGTCGCCGTCAAATCGATAGCAATCAATGCATTCTTTGAGCAGGCAATGAAGATCTATAGTTACACATGAAACACATGAAATTCTACATGTGATGAAAAGGAAGAAGAACCAAGGTGATTTTCTTTTCCTTTCGATATATAGGATATTAAAGAAGGGGAGACATACATCAAAGTGGGGGGCCAAAAAGCGGGAGAGCGGAGCGTGGACCACATAAGGCCGGGCTTAAAAGATAGGATGCCCCTCTCCCCCCGCCATGCACTTTCGCCCATTTTTAATGGTTTAGAAATAAAGCGACCCTTCTCAATTTGGTGGTTAAATATAGTGTATACATAAAAAAAGAACACACTTGTTGTTGTCCGATGTCGATTTACTAAATGGAATTTGATGATGCAAGAATCGAAGAATTTAGGGCAATTGGAGCTGCTTTTGAAAGGAGGGCCGTTGGATCGCCACGTGTCGGGCGGTGAGGAGCTCCCGAGGTAGTGGGGGGGAGCATCTCGGAATGATGCATACGTCACACACGATGGAGAGAGTCGTGCTACATTTATTATTATTATTATTATTATTATGGGAAAATTACAAGAGTGTGTTCAAAGTTTATTCATACTTATTAGAAACCCTCGTCACTTTCAAAAACTTTCAACCTGCATCTTTCCCAAGCCGAAAAAAACACATCTGCCCTTAAGTTATACGCACAGCAAAATCTCTCTGTCCACCCCCTCGCCGCAATCCCACCATCGCCCGGCGCCGCCTCCAGGCCCGTAGCGAGTCAAAATCGGGTGAGTCCGAGGTCGAGGTCGGCGGCGGCCGGCCGGCTGGTGACGGGAAAATTGAATAGAAGCTCGTTGAAAAGAGAGAATAGAAGCTCATGGTTCGATATTTCAGCCCATGCATAAGGACACCTTACCTAACGCTGTCGGCAGGACTGATTAGTGGCTTCCAATTTTTCGGTTTATTCCAATAAATCAAAAAATCACGTGCAACTTTTTTAGAAGGGCAATCATGCCTTTCCAAGGAAAATCGTGGGAATTGTTGTGAAAGTCCTGGTCAACCATGGATCCTCCACATGTATTCTCTGACATTGGTCGGCATACTAACTTGACACGAAAAAAATCTTACGATTTATTTAAATTATCAAAATGAGTCATAGATCCATATCTTAACCAATATATATGATGGATATATTTTAAAGAAAAACCCCATATATGATGGACTAAGTTCAATAAATAGATTTAAACATAATATATGTATTACATAAGTTTAACAACTTACTTAAACCCAACTTATCTATACGACTCTCTCTTCATTTTCCCTTACCATCACTCAATCTCGCCATCACTCTCTCCGCACTCTCACCTCAGTTTGGGTATGAATTTTCATAAATTGAGCTAAATATGAAAGTATTTTAGCGATATAAATCCGATTAAATACTGAGTGCGTATGGGTCATTAAATTTGTATTGCATGAAACCGAATCAAAATGAATGAAGTGGATTCATTTGAATCGGACCATTTTCAACCCGATTCAATGTTTGACGGGTCTAGTTTTACTGCGTATTCAAAGGGACTTGTATGACTTAACTCCGACGGTGTCTGACCCAAAAAAAAAAACCTCCGTAGGTGGAAAAGCTCAAGACCAACAACAAGGGAGACCAAAAGTTAAACCGGGGCAGATATGTCACATTTGCACACTCGATCCGTGGAGACTTGGACAGATACAAGATGATTTTCAGGATGAAGGGGTTTGAATTTAAGTAACAGACCCTGCAGCTTACGAGAACAATTGATCAATCATCGGAACCATACGCAGCTCGGCCTGATTGGCGTTTGCCAAAGTGTAAGACCGTTCAGCTACTCTTTTCTAACATCGTGTGGCCGTTAACGTTGAACCCTCGGAGAGCGAAGATCGGCACCATGGCTTTCAATGGAGTTTTCAAAGGCGACCATCCTGCTGATATCATCGTCATCGATGAAGGGATAACTATATCACCAGTTAGTTAGCTTTCGCTCCTCTCTTCAAAGATTTTCCCGAAAATTTCTATTGAAAGCCATGATGACGAATGTTCCTTCCACGAGGGGTTCAACGATACCAATCATTTTGCGGTGATGGAACACCAGATTCCGGGGGACAACATCAGGAAGAGAAAGAAAAAGTTGAAAGGAAAGGGTAGAATATGCAAGAACAACAAATCAAACGGGCCAAGTTTACTACAAGCATCAAAGACATCCAGTTTCTCCCATCCCTTTAAGATGAAATTCTAAGGATAAAAGTTTTTTTTTTTTTTTTTTTTTTTTTTTTTTTTTATATAAAAAATTTTTTTTTTTTTTTTCCCCCTTTTTCCAAAAAAAAAATTTTTTTTTTTTTTTAATTTTTTTTTTTTTTTTACAAAGTTTCTATATTCAACTAAAACCTCAAGAAGCAACTCATAAAGGTCGATAGTCCTGTCATGGATTCGGTTCACTTTCACTTATTCGCCCGTTGTAGGAAGGAAAAGCACATCAAAAGAGCACACTGGATTCATCAGTCATAAGGCTCCAGCACAAGTCTGGGCCCTTCTTTTTTCCCTTTTCAATACACGACTTCGACCTTCAAATAGTCAAAAGACAATGGAGCAAAACATCATCAGCACACGCCTCGCAGCAAGTTGGGCAACAAAAGCCAAAAACAACTGCCGCTTTGATCGCCCAACAAGATCTTTTTTTGTCCCCCCATTTGAGTCTAACCCAATGGATCACCAGAAAAAGGGCACCCAATAAGCAAACAAGTACTAAAAATGTGCTTCCACATTTAACGGTGACATCGTCGTGTAGCTGTCAATTGCTTGCGAAACGCAAACTGAAAACCCTGATTCATATGGAAATTATGGACCGCTTGGGTATGAAGCCTCTAGTATTGAATAGACAAACACAAGCCCCCAATTCAATAGAAGAGAATGCAAGACACAGATGATTCCCATACGGTCGATTAATCCCAAGTCCTTGTCCGATTCAGACGTGCAAATTGCTCGACTAGAGGGAGAAATGGGCAGAAATGAAACCGAAATTCTTCCCAATCTGATGTTTTAGCCAGTCACAGAGGGGGATAAAAAATGGAAATGAGAACCGAAAAGGGAGCAATTGAAGAATGCAACTTCCATATCCGCTCTCGATTATCGAGTCTCGACATGGGCAGCAAGCGCTTCCTCGGCGAGCCGGTCCTAAAGGAAGGTGCAATTTTTAAAAGGAAGGACAACAGTGAGAGCTCAACCATTCCTCACTGGTGCCACTGAAACTAGTCCTACACCAAGAGCTGCACTATTATTGCCATGAACTCAAACATATGCAGCAAGTTCACAGCCCCCTCCCGTACATAACGAGGTAAATCTAATCCTTGGTTTGCACGAGAAATTGAATCCAGACATGAGAGGGAAGCTTAGGTTGCCCTTCGATCCATCATTTCAATTTACTAGAGGCCATGTACTGGAAATCCGGCGAAAACAAGCGCCAAGCAGAACCGGATTTTAAAGAAACGAATCCCACAAGAAAACGCTATCGGAAAGAACAAATGATCCACAGCAACGCATCGATTACCTAAATTCCTATGCGGACGAAGGATCGCATCTAGAACTCGAGCTTGAGCTCTTCCTTCTCGTCGGAGAAGTAGTGGAGGACGTACGGCGCGACCCGGACCACCGCGACCCAGACGCCGAACATGGCCACGTGCGCCCTCAGCTGCTTCAATGCCTCCGCCTTGTCCGGCTTCCTCATGAACATTCCGGGAAACATGGCTGGTTCGGTCGGTCGACGGATCGATTCGCTCGCTTTGCTTCTTCTTCTTCTTCTTCTTCTTCGTCCTACTCGCGCTGCTGCTCGGCCCTTCTTCGTCGGTTGGTCTCTGCGAGTTTGATTTGGGGTTTTAGGGTTTCTAGGCATGGAAAGAGCGGAACAGAGCACGGGACCGAATTGGAGTTACTGGGCCTTATCTTGGGCCCAAAGCAAAAAGCCCATTTCAATCGAGCCCGAAACATCTTTCGTCGGCCCAAGGGCCCACAACGAGTTTTTCTTTTCGTTTTTTTTTTTTTCCGTTTTAGGCTATTCCGTTTTCCTAAGACCTTTTCGTTTCGTTTACCAAGATGAAGACAAAATCAATGGATTAAGTGGATGTTGAATGGACATAAAGAGTGCCGAAAAGATTTCGAGATTATCAATTTTAGTCCTTTTTATTCCATTGGAGGAATAAGAATCGAACTTTTGAAGCTCCAAACTTGGTGGGGGCATACATCATCATTATATGTTGTGCCGAAAGATAATGCGACAGGAGAGGAAACTAGGGTTACCGTTTATGGCGGGAAAAGGCGAATCTAAATCAAGGGTCTTTCGATGTTAATAGTATACGTTCACATAATTTGATTATTAAGATTCTGACATAATTTAATCCGATCCTCAAGTTAAGTCATGTAAAGAAAGCTTACATCCATAACGACGTCCCAAATTTATCAAATGGCGAACGAGAATTAATTCTGGTTATATCCGGGGTTGTTCTCCCTTTGTTGGAAAGAAACTCGACATGGAGTTTTGAAATGTTGGCCGATGTGATTGATCTGGATTTTTTAAACTCACGACACCTAATGACCATGTTTATTTCGTGTCAACTTCAATCCTATAGTCATTTTTGCCTTTATTAATGTTTGCTAATTTACCACAAAACAAAGACCACGAGTCAATACACCAGAGGTCATCGAGGTTTTTCCCCGAATATGATCCAAAACACATTCCTCAAACATGTTGTAAAGTCTTCCTCCTATAGCTACGATAGACATTCAAATAAGTCTTCGTCGGGAAAATTGTCAAATCAATCCTAAACCTATTGTACGGCGGCCAATTCAGTCCTAAACCTTTTAATTTTGCTAATTCAGTTCTAAACCTTTCTAATTCTTGCCAATTCAGTCCTTAGGCTAATTTTGGCCGGCCGTAGCGAAGGTGGCCGCCGGCGTCTTACAACACTACGTGGCAATTTTTTTTTTTTTTTTCAATTTTTAATCTTTTTTTCCGATTTCTTCCTCTGGCCCGGTGACCGTGACGCCGACGGCCGCCCGGAGGGGGGGCCCGAGGTCGACCTCGTCGGCCTCGCCGCTGCCGAGGCGAGGCCGACCTCGCTGTTGCACGGTTCGCGACGGCGAGGTCGAGCCTTGCCCGGATCTGGTGAGGCTCGACCTCGCGCGTCGCGACCCGGCGACGGGCGTCGGCCTCGCGCTGTGCCTCGCCTCGCCCGGCGGCGCGAGGCCGACCTCGCACGCCCGGGTCGCGACGGCAAGGTCGCCCGCCGCGGGCCTCGCCTGTCGCGCGTTGCTAGGGCCTCGCTCGCCCGGGCAGGCCGACCTCGCACGCCCTCGCGACGGCGAGGTCGAGCCTCGCCTCCCGTCGCCGGGTCGCGACGGCGAGGTCGAGCCTCGTCCGGATCCGGCGAGGCTCGACCTCGCCGCGCAACCAGCTGGCGGAGGTCGGCCGCGGCGCGAGCGAGCCGAGGTCGACTCGCGCCCTCCCCTCCGGTCGAACGAGGAAGAAATCGAAAAAAAAAAAAGATTAAAAAATTGAAAAATTAAAAATAAAAAATTACCACATCGGCGTTGGCAGCGGCCGCCAGTCACGGCTGGCCAAAATTGGCCGGTGTGAATTGGCAAGAATTAGAAAGATTTAAGACTGAATTGGCAAAATAAAAAGGTTTAGGACTGAATTGGTCGCCGTACAATAGGTTTAGGATTGATTTGACAATTTCTCCGGTCTTCGTCTTTGGCTTAGACCAAGCCAGTCGCATGAAAATGACATAATACTATAGAAATAAGGCTCATACATCATGTGTACTAATCGGCATTTCCGCGTACTAGTGACGGCCATCTAACAAAAGCTGAGACGTATGTTAATTGTGTGCGTGTGAGCACGAGAGAGAGAAATTCACACTGCAAATTCAAAAACGGCCATCTAATTTATGGACGTGTACTAGAGTTGTTATGCCCGATGCACAATGACGTGCAATCAAAAATTGGAATGGGAGTCAAGTTGCCGACGCAAGCGCGACGACACCGTTACGTGTCTTGTCCGCCGAAACAGATGACCATTGACAAACGTCATGTGCCAATGGGGGAAAAAAGGAAAAAAGACACCCCACTTTGTTCATTTTTCTTCGTTTTTCTTTGAGGAAAAAAGTTACGAAAAACCCTCGTATTATTCCTAGCGTGGCGGTGACACATATACCTTCATACCTTGTACATTTTTTTCGACATACAAAATTCAAAATCATATTTACCGTGACTCATTTACTCTAAACTTTTAATTGTATAATAAAAAACTCAAAATTTATATCCATGTAACATGTTTACCCTCTATTAAGGTTCCGTTATATGATGTTGTTTTTATTTCATTCAAGTCACGCGGACGCCGTGTCAGCAATGCTTGCTTTCTAGTATCCATTTAGATAGATTTTTAACGATTTTTATTGAGAAAACTTTGACAGAGGGTAAATATCTCGTGTAGGTATTTTTGCTGTTATAGAAACGTGTAATGGTGGGCATAATTCAGTATTTTTGGTGGCTTTTGCCCCTTTCTTTTTGTGTTTGATTTTTCTTCATTTCTGCTTTAATTTATGTTAATTTATTGTAGTGGAAAATTATTTCGGCCGGGCTTTTGTTGAATAGAGCGACCATATACACAGAGCGTGGAAAGCTCCTAGAGTCCAAATTCCGACATCAGGACTCGTTGACTTCCTGTGCCTTCTAGGATGGTTTTGTTGACAAAGGGGCCTTGTCGCAGTACGAGAGTTAAAAATGCTTTGAAAAATATAAGAAGGTAAGTTTTGTTTCCCCCTCCCCGAAGGAACAAAATTGTGCCACTGCGTAAGTTTTTGCGTGTTTCGAATTTTTTTTAATTTTGACAATTCAGGAGTAAAAACGCAAAGGCCGGTAATTCAAGGGTTCGTGAAATACACTGAAATTTTTTTTGACTAGTTAAGTTCAGGACTTTGACACGCGCACGCGATCCTTTGGTTCGCATGCATTTGGCGAGCTTTATATAGATAACGTTCATCAGATAAGGAAATTCCTTTGACATCTCACGTTAACTATACTAACTCCGGAGGGCTACATGGGTAAATTCGACACATATTACTCATTTTGGTGTCTTGCAAGCACGTGCTTAAAAAGTACATCGTTTCACTCGACCGATATCTAACGATGTTTGTTCATAAAGCTACTACAAACATTGGACGAAATTGAAAATTGCATCAGCCAAATACAAGTTCATCGGAGAATTTTTCCCTTCTCTACCCACGAAAGTTTCCGGACGGATCGATCGGCTCGATGATAACGTGCGAAAGCGTCGCTGTGATCGAGGCGCTTTGCACGAATCTCTGTTCATGGATCGGTCGATTTGATGGATCATCTAGAAATCACACCACACAAGGCTCTACCACCACCGTCTATTCTAGTGGTGGATGATTAACAGTTTTTAACCTAAGTTTCAAACCAATATGCTTCGAGTCATCCTGCGACTCTCTTTCCCCTATGTGGACCACCACATCAAAAGAAGGACCTTAACCCAAACATAGTATGAAAGAACCATCCTTCACGTTCCCCACCCAGCATGACTTTGAATAAGAAAAGGAAAGAAAAAAAAAAACAACAAATGCAAATTGCAAAGCCCTTACTACCGGGCCCCACCGCCCATCCCGACTTCCGGCCTATCGCATCCCGCCACGTCAGGGGAAGCCCCCACTTCCAAAACAGCTCCACCGAGGAGTCCATCGCCTACGTGAGCAACAATCGCGTGGACCCGAGCGCACGAGACCGGTCGATTTCCGCCGTTGAAGCACGTCGGGGCCCGTGCTGAACAACGGCCGAGATGCATTTAACGGCGGCGCGTGCGCGTGCGCGTGGCCAGACGGGGCGCGTGCGCCTAGGCTCGCGGAGCAGCGGAACAATAGCACCCCGGGGGGCGGGTCGCCTTAAATTCACCAACGTTGACGTGTCGACCCACCCACCAACTGGGTCGACAAATCGGAGCCGAACACAGTGCGCGCAGTCAACCCCCGCCCGCATTCTTCATCAAACACCTCCCCACTCCCTCGTCGAAAAACCGAAACCAAAACCGAAACCGATGCCGAAGCCGCTCCCTCCCGCCGCCGCCACCGCCGCCGCCGCCGCCATGAGCTCGCCGTCCCCCTCCCCGTCTCCGAGCTGGCCCCCCTCGCCGACCCCGGCCGCGACCGCCGCCCCCCCGGCCCCTAGGGCCGTCCCCCTCCGGCAGCAGTCCTCCCCGCCGTCCAAGTCCGCCGTGAACTTCAGCCCGCCCCTGATCGCGATGGTCGCGGTGGTCGCCGCCGCCTTCCTCATCGTCTCCTACTCCCGCCTCATCTCCCGCCACCTCCTCCGCCTCCACCGCCGCCTCTCCTCCCGCCGGCGCCGGCGGCGCCGCTACCACCCGTCCGCCTCCTCCTTCGACCTCAACTCCCCCCCGCCCTTCTTCGACTCGCCCGACGCCGGCGGGGCCGCCGCCTTCCACTTGTGCTCGCCGTACGGCCTCGACGACGCGGTCATCAAGACCATCCCTCTCTCCCTCTACACGGCCAAGGGCCACGATCACCGAGCCCGGGACTGCGCGGTTTGCTTGCTGGAGTTCGAGGAGAGCGACTACGTGCGGACTCTGCCGGCGTGCGGCCACGCGTTCCACGTGGACTGCATCGACATGTGGCTCCGATCGCACGCCAACTGCCCCCTCTGCCGCGCCGGGATATGCCTCCTGCCGCAATCTCCGTTCGTGCCTCTGATGGCGGCGAGGATACGGCCGAGCCTCGACGAGGACGCGATCCTCCGCGACATCATCCTCGAGGAACCGCTCGCCGAAACGGAAGATTGCCTCGACAACCCGAACAGCCCCCACAGTAACCACATGAACGGGACGACGGTCACGGAGATCGTCGAAGAGCAATCGCCTCGGAGGACGAACCCGTTATCGGAGGATCGGAGGAGCAACGCGAGGGACTTCCTGCTGAAGCGATCCTACTCGTTCGGCTTCGAGAGGAGCCTGGCGTCGGAGAGGCTGGTCCTGGAGCCCGTGACGGCCTCGCCGTGGAGGTACCGCCGGGGGGGCGCCGGAGCGTTCTGGAGCAAGAGGCTGTCGCCGTTCGGCTCCTTGCCGAAGCCGAGGGTGTTCTCGTTCCGATACTACCGGGGGATGAAGTCGCCGTTCTTCAAGCGGAGAGGAGGAGGAGGAGGAGGAGGTGGAGGAGGAGGGGGAGGGGGAGGCTTCTTCCCGCTGTCGGAGTCGAGCGTGAGGTTCTCGAGCGGCGCCAGCGGAGGAGGGGGATCGTCGCGGCGGAGCAAGTCGATCGCGAGCCCCATGTTCGCGAGGCCGTCGGGGGCGTACTCGTCGAGCCGGCTGAGGTGCGGCGATCCCGAGGCGCTGCTCTCGCCGGAGCGGTTCAACAGGGGGTAGTGGGAACCAGGGAACCTTCAAAATTTAGGACCGGCGACTGACTCGGAGGGGAGGGGTCTTTCCGAGTCGGGCCGACACGTGGACGGCGAGGATGGGAGGGCGGTGGGGGGGGGTGGGGGGAATGGACGGTGGGAGATGGGCAGGGGAAGTGCGGGTGAGGTGGGGAAATGGGGGTCAACAGCAGGTGCTTTTAATGGACACAGCGAGAGAGAGAGAGAGAGAGAGAGAGAGATGAAATGGCGTGGGGGGTGGGTCTCTGCAAAGAAATTAAATTTTTATTTATCCTATTTCTTCAATTTAATTTTGTGTGTTTTTTTTTTGAGAAGGGAGTCGAATTTAATGGGCATGCAATTTGCATTAAATGGCGGGGAAGGGGACAGCGGAGGAGGTTGGGAGGGTAATCAATGAGCCGGGAGGGGGGAGGGCGATCGGCGCATTGATTTTCGTGGGTTTGTTTTTGGTCCCTTCGAACATGACCCAGGAATCGAAATCGGAAATCGAAATTGAGATGGAGCATTTGCAGTTTGTGAAGTCACGACGAGATACATGCACGTTCCTTTGTTGGGGGGGGAAACGGAAATTGCTGGGGAGGAAACGAACAAGCGTCGCCGACAAAGTGCATGTGGACACCAGGGTAAAAGATCCTTTCGTTTTTTTTTTCCCTCTTCTTTCCTTGCTTCTTTCATCTTATGGAAATTAATGGAAAGCTGGTTTTTACTAAGTTCGCTCATCTAGCTCTGGCCGGCCCTCGAGATGACTTTGCGAAAGTTGTTTGATTTAGGACAGATGTTGAGGTCGTGGTAGATTTTATGTCGGAAAATGGGGAATGGTTTTTGATTCATTTTATGTGCTCGTTGTATTCTTGCTTGTTGCGCCTGTGTTAAAACCCATCATGGTCTCATGTGTGTTCAAAACTCTATCAGCTCATGATCGTTGCCTTTGTGGGGGGAAAACAAAAGAATTGCTGGGAATCTTTTGGGTTAGTCAATGATCTTTTTTTTTGGCTAGAAAGTTAGTCAAAGATCTTTAATTTTAGGGAGTCAGTCAGTTTGGACAACCTTGGACTTCCCAAACTCATCACTTGTTCTCTCTGATTTCCCAATTATATTAACTCGAATTTTCAATTAATTAAACTTGGTGTTTGGGATTGATCCCCTCGTGAGTCCTGAAGATTGCAAACAACCTTTCTTTCAGTGCGACACTGCCGCCCACCGCCTGTAACGCCAACGTTCCTTTCATGCATTACTTGGTCCACATGTTTTTTTTACAGAACAATTTGAATTTGAACAGTGGTCAAACAAGGCATCACTGGACAATGACATCAAACGAGCAAACACTAGTCACCCAACAACCATGGTGGGAACGGCAGAATCTCGAAATCGGTCTACAGGATGTCGAGCACCAGTGCCCATGCCGGGTAGACAAACAAGATGAGCAACCCGACGGTGTTGGAGATGCCGTGGGCTTTCGTGAATGAGTTGCGGAACCCGCCGGAGGCTCGGATGTGCTCCTGCAGCAAGTAACACGCGATGGCGAGGCAGATCAATACCCCGATCCAGCTCCCCTTTATGGTGCTCGCGAACAGGCTCGGAGCCACCACTATCAGGAGAATCAGAGCGCCGGGCATCTCCAGCCAATCTGTCAAAACGGTAATGACATCAATTTCCTAGTATTGCACTGGCAAAGTAATGGACAGGATGATGGAACTTTTCGTCCGTTCAGGAATGTGAGCATAGAATCAATGGCTCGAAGTCTTTGCATACCTGGGAAGTGCCGAGGGAAGAAAAGGCGCAAGACGACGGCGACGAAAGCGACCCACTTGCCAATCTCTCCCCTGCATCACGGGGGTTCAAAGTTTCTCAAGCAAATACGATTGCAGGCCGGTATAGTAGAAAGATAGGACAGCAGATGTACTACTTTCATGTAGACGAGAGGTCGATGAGATCACCTGAGGATTGTGAACAACAATGAAGGGAGGCTCAAGAAGATGTAGGGGATCAACAGGGATGTGAGCATGTTCGTCCTCCAGTGCGTCCGATCCAAGACCAACAAGTAGCTGCATTACGCACCAGATTAAAGCAGAATTACTACTCTCTACTCGTGTTGCCCAAACATGTTCAATCAGATTATTGGGGGAGAGGAAAAATGGTATTGCATGGGCCAGCCCATCTTGCGGGGCGCGATTGAGATTGCCCCGGCCCATTAAGTTAATTTGAATAAGCGGTATTGATATTTCTCTTCTTTTTTTGGACTGAATAATGATATTGATAGTTGACCTGGAGATTTCATCCACCTTTTGATCCACTCGGGTAGGGAAACTTTCTCACATGCACACTGATTCCGTAGCTCAATGATATCGCCGTCGTTTCAGAAAAAAAGGCTTTCTAACACACGAATTCAGACGTGAAATGGCTTCCGATGTTCAAGGTTTACCCAACGATGAGGAATTTGCAGGTCACAAAGCTAAAGAGTGATAAAACATCATCGAAACAAGAAAAAAAGGTTTGAAGAGCGGGTTGAGTATGTACATACATGGCGGCAAAAGAAGCGACACACTCAAGAATGGTAGTCCCCAGTCCAAAGCTCCCCAACTTGATCGCGTGATCCACGAGCTTCTTGGCAGCGTCCCTCATCTCTTTCAGATCCGAGGCTATCAGCTCGCTCGCTTCTCGGTCCGTGCTCATCGCCAAGTGACCATACTTGCCCATTCTTTCCCCTCACAAGAGCAATAGAAACAAGACAACCCCCACGCACAAAGTTCCCGATACAACAACTCTATGGACTATTATATGGAAGATGTGGAACTTATAAGAAGTGTGAGATCGCAGTGGTTGATCATGTTAGCATTATTATAATTCGGGCTGCCCTGTCATTTTCGCTACGTGGCCTCAAGGGGTCATTTCGGGCTACTTTCTTTATGTTTGAATTTTGCCAGTTTACCAGTTTTGGGGGAAAGATATGTCGGCATTTGAAAAACTAATGGATGAATTTGATCTCCGTTCGATGACTTGTGGGTTAGGGAATCGTCGACGCATTGCCACGTCGCGGGCTCTCTCGCTCTCGAACGCCCATTGGGTCCCCAGGCATGGCCACTGTTTTGCACTCCATTAGCCGATTCATTGCCGGTTAGTATTTTCTTTTGGATCAAGGGTGCCAGTTCATATTTCATGTTTGTGATTTACCTAGTTTTTTATTTATTTATCTATATCAATACTCAATAAGATAATGATTATAGCAGATCGATCGATGACATACGTTCTCTTTCTTACTCGGCGTTAAGAGTGAGCGAATGGTCTCCCGTCGGTCCTTGGGTGAAGTTCGATTGCAACGTCACACGTCGTCATAGGTTTCCACATGAATCTAAGTAGTTCGTCGACCGAAGTTCAATTGCACCGTCACTCATTGTCATAGGTTTGCACGTGAATCTAAGTAGATCGTCTTGCGAATGCGATGGCTCACCCTATGCTAATCTTGAATCCTCCCTTTTTAGTTTGGTAAGAAACTCGAATCCCATCTTTTATGATCATCGATTCGTATCAGTTCCCCCAAGAGAGAGTCGGGTTCTTTGAGTCAAGTCCGTTACAGATGCCCGTTTTCTGTTTCAGCTTGAAACTTTCATGAACATTTTGCTCAGGGGTTCTTCTAGCGTATCGTTTTGGCGTGGAAAGCACTAACGCATGTTGAACTGGATAAAGCAACCATTTTGGACATGCACGAGAACAGAGCCCGGACCAAACGAAACTCGCCATACGAATCTTCAACAATATTACAGAAACAGAATACGTAAGCATCGATCTTACAGAAGTCATTACGGACCTAAAAGATGGATATATCGGGGGGAGGTCCGTATACGGTCTTCCAAGAATATGGGATGATCCAGTCTCCTCCATGACCTGCCCAAAGGCCGAAGCCATTGCCAGAAACAAATCATTCATCAGCATCTGTATTTCCTAGTTCCTTACTCAAATTAAACCAACTATAGGTTGTGTCGAAAGAGGCACTTTCAACCGCAAAAAGAGCTAAATGTTATGACTGCAGGTGGGCTTAATTAGCAAAATCTAATGTAACAAACGGTTTTGCCATCCGACATCACCCATGGAAATTTTCGGAGTGTTGAAACATTGAAACATTTGAACTGGTTCAGTACAACAAAAGCACACACTAAGTGCAGTTGATTAATGATCAGAATGTTAAAATATACAGTGACTAAGATGTCCGGTAATGATGCTTGAAATGACCCATAAAAAATAGCATATGAGCATAACCTGTGACATGCACTTCAACATTATCTGATATTCGGAAATAAGAGACAGCCAAAAATTGTTTGGCAACGCTTAAAAGAAACTTTCACGACTTATGAGTAGTTTAAAACATAAAGAATCTGAAGATTGATTCCCAATTACCTCGTTAGACAGCTTTTGAAATATTATGGAAAACCATATTTTCCTTGAAAAAAGAAAGATCAAGGAAAAATACTACTTTTTGTCCATGAACTTCCACCATTGTTCTAATTTAGATCCTATACTTTCAATTTTTTCTAATCAAGTCCTTACGCAAAATATCTAATCAAACCCCTCTGGCACAAAATCTGGCCCAATTCAGTTGACGTGGCTATTGGAGGACGCCGGAGTGTGACATGGATTTAATATTCTCTATGTGGTCACCCATCATGGATAGTTAAATAGAGGGAGAATAAATTAAAAAAAATTTAATCCACTCGCTATCCACACCGCATGGTGGGTGTCTACGCAAGTAGAGTTTAGTCCATGTCATGTTCTGGTGTCCTCCAATGGCCATGTCAAGTTGATTCAGGTGCATTTTGAGCCAGAGAGACTTGATTAGACATTTTTTTTGTAAGTAGAAATACTTGATTAGGAAAATGAAAAGTACAAGGATTTAATAGAAAAGTAGTGAAAGTACAAAGATAAAAAATAGAGTATTCCCAAAGATCAAAGGAATATCAATTAGTCCTAGAATGACACACATGATAAAAAGTTATATGCATGCTACGGAAACAGGAAATACAGGTTCTTTTGTTGATGATTAAGTGCAGGGTGCCGAAAAAAATCAATGCATGGAGCGAAAATTACCACTTAAATTTGTCCTCACGCCCAAAAGTTTGAGTGCTGCTTCAGCAAGATGAAAAGCATCGGACATGTTGTCTCCTTCCGAGCAGTAACACAGCAAACAAGTGACCTTTAAACCTTTGGCCTGATCAAAACGGATGAACCTTTTATAAGTTATTTTGGTCAACGAACAAAGAAGTTAATTCAGCTCATATGAAGTCTCTAAATTGAACTAAGCATGCAAGTGCATTGCTCTATGACAAGACGAGAAAAAAATATATCATCCAGATTTTGAGAGGGCTTTGACATAATTATTTGGTGTGCCCTAGAAAATAGAGCCTAAACTTCTAAAACTTTCATCCTTTTAGTCTACAAGTATTGAAACCAACGAAAGTATTCAGCAACTGTAACCCCTATTCAGTTTTCGCTTCCACAAGGAAAGCCTATTCATTTTTTTTATTGAGAATCGAGTCTGAAGTGCTATTTGTTGGGTAAATGCAGGTTGGCTGCAGTAAGACTTATAGATCCAGGCACCTAGTAGGTTAAGGCATTGGATGACAATTTCCCAAGGCACACACGGAAACAATTCAAACAAAGAATGTTTGTGCAGCAAAATCATCACCTTGAAGAACGAAAAAAGAGCAGCAAAAGGCAAACTTGGGTAGTAGTCATCTTCTTTAAGATCATCTTCAGCAGGCAAACCTTCTTGTGCTGCATTACTTCCTTCAGGTAAAGTGCTAAGATATTTCCAACTCCTCTGGTCAGAGTTAAATTCTGGCAATCTTGTCCAACCAAATTGTTCACATTGATCATCTGATCCATCTGAACTACTGCTGGAAAGGTAATACGTCTGCAAGCCACTGAAACAATCGAAGCATCGATGAATAATCAAGTCACCAGAAAATTTCTGGAACAATAGATTCTAGAGAAAGATTTTGTGTTGGTAACCACCCATATAAATGTTCTTTAAAGATAAAGCTAAAGCTAGGATAGAACTGCGAGTAAAATATATAGTTCTAGCATCTCAGTATTTTATGTGGCTGCAGCAGCAAGACCCGAATCCTGCTGATAAACCAATTATGGAAGGGGATGACGGGTGCAGAATCATGTACATGAAAAATAATCAACACTATATTGAGATGCAGGCAGCTTAATTAAAATAGGCTTCTATATTCCATCAGAAGCTTACCTGCATTCCACCATATAAAGCCAATAAGATATTTCAGTACTTTTTTATTTTAAGTATCCTACCTTTATGGACCAGTATATAACATTCATTGGCGAAGGGTTCCTAGAAATATGACTCATACGTTTATTAGAAAACTTAGAATTGTCCAAGCCCCAGTTCTTAGTTACAATTCATGAGATAAAATCAAGGGCAATACAAAGGTACTTTATTCTCCGTAACAACCATATCTATGAATCACCACATGAAGAAACTTCAATCTTCGAAACAAAGTAACACAGTCATTTCCCATGTCCCTTTACCAAATTGCTTAGAGAAGCGAAAATCTCACTTTACCTCGATGTATCAATTCTTTGCCATCTCCCAAAATCTAAGCTAGATAAAATCACAGTGTGCTTCTTTCCACTTGAAACAGCAAAATCAGCCAAATTCTTTGCAAACTCAATCATCATCCCCTGTTTGAATGACCACATCCAAAAAATTCAGATAGATCTGGGAGATTTAACAAAGGTTAATCGAGGAAAAAGGGGGGAGTGACACCATGGTCACCTATAATTGCTTGGATTACAAAAAAACAAAAAAAGGAAATGGATAATAGCTCATGAGTTTTCTTTTCTCTCCTTTGCGGCTGATGCCATAATAATTCCAGTCCTACCCAAAGTTCACGTTAAATCCAAAACATGAAGCAGAAGAGAACCAGGTGTTCGTAAGCTTTTCCATTACAAACAAAGAAATTGTTGAATACCATCGTAATACATACAGAACTTTATTCATTATTCCTAATGAGAACCATCCTCTCTCTATATGTGTGTGTACGTGCGAGCTGAGCACACAAAGGTGCCAGAAAAATACACAATGTCTATCAATGCATTTACTTCCGCAAAGATCTCTCCACTATATACCAGGTCATCATATTTATAACCAACTATTCTATTTAGTCAAAATATTGAGTCTAACCATATTATTATAAGATCTATCAATTAAAGGTTTACCTATCTTATTTGAGGAGAACAAATCATGTCTACAGTCATCCAAATTCTCAAAAAGTTAATGAAAGAAAGAACATTCACTGTAGAAAGAAAAAAAAAAACTCATATTATCCAGCACAAGCAAAATCCCTTCACAACATGGTTGCTAAATCATAATTTCAGACCATATTACAAAATAATAAAACTACACCTGTATCATAGTATAACAGAGCAATTTAGAAAAAGGCAACCTAATCTGGCCACAACTTATGCATCTTAGATTGGCAAAAAGACCTACCCATAGATCTTCACTTCAGACAATCAACTGAACAAACTAAACATCGAAAAAGCAGAAGAGAAGACAAATCACAAGTTATTGACCAGTGAACCACGAGCGATTTCCAATACCTTAACAACTGGAGACCTTTGTTGGACAAGAGTCACAGCATTGGAAGTTGAATCATAAGCTGCAATCACAAACACAACATCAACCGTCAAGGACATGTTCCTCTGATCTGATCCGCAAAATGAAAATACCAAATCACCAAGAACAAGCCCGTACTCCTTCTCAACCAAGTGCCCTCTAGTCTCTAAATTCATTTCTTGGAACGAAGGCCAAAAAAATTTTAGCAGACAAGATGAGAGGACCATCACCTTCGAGCGGGAGCGCAAGCTCCCCGGACGGAACGGGGCCGTACGCGTCGTTGCCGATGCAAGGAAGGACATTGGGATCGTCCAAGAACCCGATCCTCTCCGCTCGCAACGTCGAAACCAACAAGTCCACCGCGAGCTGCCCGACATTCCCAATCGACAGCGCGGGCTGCCTCCCAGAAAGATCGGAACCGATTAAGTCAAGACTCAGTTCGCTTGCCGAGAAAGCAATGTAGAAAAACCTAACTCAACTGAAGTTCGGTGCAGTAATTGAAGTAAAACTCGAGCGAAAAGTGCAAACATCACAGGGCGAATTCGACATTTTCCTAGGGATTTCGAGGTTCCTTTCCAGGCATCATTCGCAAAACCCTAGCTCACTACGACTGCAGCGAAAACCAGGAAGCCCGAAAAAGAAGAATTCGAGAAAGAGCACTTGAGAGTTTGAAGGACGAAGCGCGAAGCTGACCAGGACGAGGGCGGTGCAGTCTTCGTGTACGGTCTTGCCCTTCTCAGGAACGAACTCCATCGCTCGCCGTCGTCCGCGGTGGCTGATGGCTGTCAGCGCCGTCGCGTGCTCTGGACATGGCGGCTTTCCATGTTGCAGGGTGCTTTCACTTCTTCTGTGGAAGAAGAGAACTTGAAGAGCAAGACAGCTTTGGGCCTGTGGGCTTCTTCGTTGGGCTTAATATAATAATGGGCTTTTTGTTTGGACTCGGATAGGCTTGGGCTGAGCTCCGAAGCCCATCACGGATGGTGGAGGCCGGAGGGCTGGTGTTAGGGTTTGTATATGTACCGTTCATTTTATCATTGCATTAAATGTGATTATATGATTATAATTATGATTGAGAGGAAATCCAGCTTAGGTATGAAAATTTCGGCTCATCGAGAACCGCTGTTAATCTCAAGGACTAGGTAAGACGAAAGCTAAGATCCCGGATGGATGGTCTAACCATGAAATTATATTACATGCTTGGTGCATATACGAAAGATCGAACTCATTTATTAACTGCTAAAAGTTCATACAGACATCTTTCGTGAAATTTTATGGTAAAAATTTAAAGGTCAAAAGGCGTGGTTATGATTCCTAACAGTCAATTAACTCTCGATAATTAAGCATTGCTCTCTCTATAATAACAAAGACCTTTTCAACGTTGAGACACTTAGCTCGTCGCCTAACTACAAATTTATTTTAGAATCGCAATTCTTCTTAACGGAAGACAGGTGGTAAACTAAAAGTTATAAACTAATGAAAGAAACTTCCTGACCATATTGCTTTCTATGATAAAATGATGCACATAGCTTTTATTTATATAGTGGGATTATTTATTTTTTTCTCCACAGTGTGCGACGTGGAGATTGGCCTAGTTTAGAAGAAACATGTCCATAGACTTTCAGACAGTCATTAGTTTAAGATCGAAAATGATCACTGAAAAAAACGTGGATTCATTTGGTGATTCCATGTATACAATTAGACGTCAGTTCTTCTTTAGCGGCGAATCACGTTGAATGAACCTATTTTTATGTTGTCTGGCTACGTGTTGGGTGATCGCGAAACACCCATTTCCACACGAGAACTTTTAGTAGATCTAACACTGAGTGACGGACTGCCCACTTCCTCAATCCATGCAATGTATCTGCATTGCGTATTGCCGATAAAACATTGACTTATCAAGCCAACACGATAAGAAGTAATACAGATGGTCCGTGTCTGGTGGTGGTCGGACAAAGATCGTCTGATTTTGATTAGGTAACACCCCACCATGATAATCAGCTGTTTTGACTCCAAAAGCCACGAGATCTTTCCATTGCGAACTATCTGATTACTTGCCATATGTAATAGCACAAGAGCCGATTGATTAAATTATAGCTGTGATGTAAACGGGCACTCAACATTTTTCCAAATTATTAATCAGAACACAAGTGGCGTATGTTTTGAGCACTTCGAACCCTTTTTTAGGGACAGCTGTTCTGTGTTTAGGTGTGTGGATACAACAAGTAGTTTGCTTACGATCGATAGGGTTTTGATTATAATTTTAGGTGGCAAAAGAAGAGCTATTTCGGGCAAATATCTCTTGAAAAGAAGTGGCAGACAATAGTTATAATTGGTTTAGGTGATTACTAAATAAGCTCGTGCATGTGTCCGGGACCTGGAAACTGGACAGATCACAGATGTTTGCTGAGTTTACATCATTAACGCGATTTGTATGTATTATTTCGATGATTAGCTCGAGTACTTGTCATTTGTCTTCAATCTGTGCAACAGTTTTCACTTAGTGATAACATCATATGAAAATCTCTCTCTCTCTCTCTCTCTCTCTGCACACGATGTTTACTCATTTATGTACAGAAAAGCTTGGTGAAGTCCATATGAAGGACTCGGATGATCTCATGAAGCTATAATGAACCTTTGTATATCAGTGGAGACCATGAACAAAACAATTCTTATCGACCGACCCCATGTCGTGATTTTTTTTTTTTTTTTTTTTTTTTTTTTTTTTTTTTTTTTTTTTTTTTTTTTTTTTTTTTTTTTTTTTTTTTTTTTTTTATTTTTAAATTTATTTTAATTTTTTTTTTTTTTTTTTTTTTTTTTTTTTTTTTTTTTTTTTTTAAAAAAATTTTTTTTTTTTTTTTTTTTTTTTTTTTTTTTTTTTTTTTTTTTTTTTTTTTTTTTTTTTTTTTTTTTTTTTTTTTTTTTTTTTTTTTTTTTTTTTTTTTTTTTTTTTTTTAAAAAAAAAAAAAAAAAAAAAAAAAAAAAAAAAAAATAAAAAATTTTTTTCAACGGTTCATTGGTTTTCGAAATCTAACAGTGATTAACATGCTGAAAGTTTGGCAACTGTGACATTGTCAAGGATGAGTTTGAAGGACTCAAAGCACAGCACATCACATATATAAAACCCTAATCTTTGAGTTCTTGCTCTCCTCATGCTAACGTGCGTACGTACTTCATGCATTGCAGAGACAACGTGTCTGAAGCCCACTGGTCTTTCGTAACCTACTTCTAATTACGTGTCGAAGAGACAGGGTATTGTCGTCGTTGATAAGTAGCTAATCTCTACGTAGGAGAAACACAACCGATACGTGTCTGTCAACTGTGCAACTTGGATTGCAGACGTCGCTTTCGCTGCAAAGTCTTCTTCTCCTTACCCAATCTCTCTGCTATCATTGATTTGAAGGTGGCAGCCATTATGGGTCGTTGACATTTGGCGCGTATAAGTGCTAGAAGGGATCTGCCAATTTGAAAGTTGGGATTTCCAAAGATTTTTAGTCGAATAAACTAATGGGACTGCTGCTGCTAAAGCCCAAATCCAGAACAAATGACACCTTTTTGCCCATGTGAAAATATTTTATTTCGATTGCGCTTACGTATATTCAGGAAAATAGCGTGTGAAATTGATATGGTAAACGACGGCCCGGATTCTTCCTTCATTGCCCCGCTTATGAAAACGAGCAATTGATGGTCAAAGAAGGTTTTTTCTTTGGACTCTTCCTTCCTTTGTTGGCCAGCTATATTAGAATCAAGAAGGATTGATGCAGGTGAAGAAGACTACTTCTTCTTTGGTTACATCCTTTCTACTTATTGATCACGAATTTGGTTATTCTTTCCATTCTCATTGCCTATCGTTTATTATATATAATTGGATGGACAAAGTACGGATCAAGAAGATAAAATCATCGATGCACTCTAGCATTGGAAAGAGTTAAGGTTCTGAAAGCGGTACTGGGGAGTTCCCAATATTGGTATCGGAAAAGATGGTCATGTATACACAGTTGAAAATCCGAATACTTGCCAAATCAGTCATTAACCTATTGTATATATGACAATGCAATCCTTACTGACCGTTCTATGTCGAATGCAAACGTAAACAACTTTACTTAAACCGACATCCTACATGGATCGTCAGGTTAGCGTTTCCGGAAATTGATTGGCCGAAAAAATTATATTGAAATTTCGCACAAAGATTAAAGACTGCAATGGTAAAATTGAAAATTTTAGAATTGAATTGGCATTCATCAATAAGTTCATGATTGAATCGACTATTTTCCCTTTGGAAATCTACATATAATTAGATGAACTGTTCCCTTCTTCGTTGGTCACGTAAAAATGGGAATCCATAAAAGAAGAGTGCTCCATCGTATCATACAAAGACGAAAAGGGACGGTGCTTCTAATTGTGCTGGAGTGCAAAAGAAAAAAAAGGGTTTCCGTGCATCCATTCGTTTGAGATACACGTCCATGCAAAAAAACACACAGTGGGGCTACCGTTTGATTACGACTGTCTTATCTTCATGCTGTATTTTTATCTTTTTCCGATTCGCGCGACACGAGATTTCTAACGTTCAATCACATCAGAAATGACCAATCGTCCCGGGCACAGTTGTGGTCTTCAGAGTGAGATTGTGGGCGAGATTGTGCATGCATTTGTGTGCCACCGAGCGCAAACTTCCAACGTTTTGGTTGCTTTGCGTAGATTTTTTTCCCAATCCTGATCTATCTGCTCTGCTTAAACTACGAGTCCTTGACAGTGATGGTGCTTACTTCTGGCCCTCAATGATGGGGCTTAATTGACTAACTAATATAGCAACCTTTTCTTTTTCATTTAAGGAAATGATGATGTTCCTCGTCTGTTTGTTATCACAATTTATATACACAGATGCACAAACACTTTACATAGACAAAATAACACGGGGTATGTGAACCTTTTGTTGCAATTAATTCTCACGAGTGCACACAAACCCTCCTTGTCTCGATACTTGGCTCGATTTCAGTTTCCGAGATCGAAGAAATAGATGAGTGATTGGATACTTACAAGTAGAGGCTAGACCCGTCAAATGGGTAGGCTAGATCGGATTTGAGTAGGGTTGAAGATGGTTCGACCTAGGATTGAAAATGGTCCAACCCAAATTGACATTTTAACCCGTTTTAACACATTTCCATGCAATACAAATCTAGTAATATATACCCACATACCCGACCCAACTTATATTGCTCAAATATTTTCATATTTAACTAAATCTATAAACACTCATATATAAACTGAGGTGAGAATACGGAGCAAACGAGTGTGAGATCAAGTGAGGGCGATAGAAAGTGAAGAGAGAGTCATAAAGGTAAGCTGAGTATAAGTAAGATATGAACCTATTTAACACCCATATTAATTTAGGCTTTAATATTTTAAAATCATTTATGACCCATTTATTAAATATAATTAACTCATATAATAACTCATCCCATCGAATATAGATTAAGAAATAGATTTATGACCCATATTGACAAGTCTAAGTAGAGGTGATCAATTTAGAGTGGGTAGATTTCGGATTTGGAACCTATAACCTATCATGTTAAGGTCAGTTCTCAATTGGCTTTCAATAATAGGGTCCTTTGAAAAAAAAAAAAAAGGTTGCTATATTAATAATTCAATTAAGCCCTATGTTCCTCGTTTGTTTGTTATCAAGCTATATTTCACAAATTTTTTTACCGAAATAAATAGCACAACCTTTTGCCGCAATTGAATTCTCCTAAATGCATGCCAACCTCCCCGTATCAAGTACTTGACTCTCCGACCAAAGGAACAAAAAACAGTACCCAGCTCAACTTCGGTTTCCAAGATTGAAGAAATAGACTAGGGATCGGATATTTGCAAGCAGTCGCGTGTCGTGATCTCGAGCAGATAAATTGAGTTAATTTACTCTCGCTTAATTTAGAAGATTTTTATCCTTTGTTTGGATACGTAATGCACTGACCTATACAACGGTGGGACTTTAGTCGGTTGAATAGGGATCCGATCAATTGTTATGCGAGGCCAATCGTGTCTTAGATTACATGCGCGGGCCAGGGATTAAACTCCGAAAGAACTCATCACACCAGACGTCATCATTTAACATCGATAACCCTCGGGTTTAAACGATAATCCAAGTCGACTCTAAAGACACAAATAAAAGGCAAATATGCAATTGTGAAACCATTGGGAAGCGTCGCGGGCCACGGAAAAGGCGACATCGTTTAAGAAAAGTCGCCAAACCGAGCAGAAGTCAAAGGTCAATGACTTTTCCAACGTCAAACTTGTCCGGTCTGAAAACGGTTTCGCGCCCTTTTTCCTCACATTTTCCCATAAGCAAAAATCCCCAACTCGTGAGAGCGCGTGAAGCTCCCGTGAGCCGGATGCCTTAAACGAATAATTCAATTTCGCCAAACTAACTGGCACAGCCGGTTCCCAGTCACCACTTATGCCCACGTCTCCGTCCTCCACGTGTCCCATCCTCCCCCACCTGCTTATCATCTCCCGTCTCTCCCCCTCTCTCTATCCGCTCGCTGTTCTATTTATACGCATCTCCTCCCTCTGTTGTGCCCTTCAAATAACTTTCTCAAACACCAAGAAGAACATCCCACGATAAGCTCTCTATAGTTATCGTCTTTGACATTTCCTATTCTCGCTGTTGGTCATTCCCACAGATTCCTCGTCTTTCCGAAGAGGTTTACATCGTTGTTGCCGTATGAGGAACGAAAGAGGAGGAACCGTAATGTCGGAAGAGCCGGCCAGCAACACCAACCATAGTCGCCGGCCGACTTTCGGAGCGTTCTTGCGTTCCGAACCCACCCTCTTCCCTCAAGACCAAGACGACTGCTACGCTGCCGCTGCTGATGATGACAAGCACCGTGTCAGCAACGCCTCCGCCTACGTCGCCTCGCCGTCCGCGGGCTACTCCACGTCCTCCCCGAGCCCCTACCTCATGTCGCCGCTGAACCAGCTGTCTCCCTACACGAAATCCCCGTGGATAGTGCCGTCGCCGCTCCTCGGGGGTTTCCCCGGGAACAGCGACCTCGTTGGTTCCCTCATCCGCAAGGAGGGCCACGTGTACTCCCTTGCGGCCACCGGCGACTTGCTGTACACCGGCTCCGACAGCAAGAACATCCGTGTGTGGAAGAACTTCAGGGAATTCTCGGGGTTCAAGTCCAACAGCGGACTGGTCAAGGCTATCGTCATCTCCGGTGACAGAGTTTTCACCGGCCACCAGGACGGCAAGATCCGAGTTTGGAAGAAGCCCTCGAAAAATAATCGCCATCTCAATAATTTGTCTGTGGCCGCGCACAAGCGCATCGGCAGCTTGCCCACGTTGAAGGACTACATCAAGAGCTCCATAAACCCTAAGAACTACGTTCAGGTACGCCGGCGCAGCAAGGTCTTGCGCATCAAGCACTTCGACGCGGTGTCGTGCCTGAGCCTGGACCAGGAGGCAGGCATCTTGTATTCGGGCTCTTGGGACAAGACCATGAAGGTGTGGAGGCTATCCGATTCCAAGCACTTGGAATCTGTTGATGCTCATGACGATGCGATAAATGCAATCGCCTCCGGGTTCGAGGGCTTGGTCTTCACCGGCTCGGCCGATGGAACAGTGAAGGTGTGGAGAAGGGAGTTGCATGGGAATGGGACGAGGCATTTCTTGATTCGGCTCCTGTTGGACCAGGAGAGTGCCGTGACGTCGCTGGCCTTGGCCGAGGCCTCCGGCGTGGTCTACTCCGGGTCGTCAGACGGCGCGGTCAACTTCTGGACGCGCGAGAAGCACCTGTCCCATGGCGGCGTGCTCCGTGGCCACAAGCTGGCGGTCCTGTGCCTGGCGGCGGCCGGGAACTTGGTGCTCAGCGGCTCCGCCGACAAGAGCATCTCCGTGTGGCGGAGGGACCCCGTCACAGGGGCCCACTCGTGGCTGAACGTCCTGACAGGTCACGGCGGGCCCATCAAATGCCTGGCCGTGGAGCAGGAGCGGACTCCCGCGGCCGACGACAACGACGACCAGAATGATGGGCGGTTGATAGTGTACAGCGGGAGCTTGGACAAGTCGGTGAGGATATGGAGCGTGTCGGAGCACACGCCGGAGATGAGGCCATACTCGAGTCCCCGGCGCTCGCAGGAGTGATCGGGAAAAGCAGTTACGGTGGTTGCTTCAGGTCCACCGCCGGATTCGACGGTTGGGGTGGTCGAATCGATGGTTACGTATATTCTCACGCTATTGAATAAATTTCGGAACCTCCCGGGTCAAACCATACCGAAAGAGGTGCCAGAAGAAGAATCCGTGTCACGATCCGGCGGTCCCCACGCATTGAGAAATCGTGGAGGACAGGGGAATCGGACCGTTGAGGGGTCGGTCGGGCGGGGGGCCCACATAGGGTTCCTTCGTGGCGAAGGCCATCATCATGTGGATATGTATATATGGCCGGTGTGAAAAGCACGTCGGGTCGGACGTTGAACGGGACGGTCATCGTGCGAAGCGACGAACGAGAAAGGAGGTGATCTCACGACCCACGTTCAACGACGAAACTTTCGAGAAATCCAACCCAGATGTGGACCGCGCCATTTTTTTGGAGCACTTGTTTTTTTTTTTCCCCCTTAATCCAGACAAACAAATTGAAAGGTTTGCAGAAGAAGAAGACGACAGTTCAGGAATGTACATATATACTGATAGTGCATTACCACGAATTGGAAGAAGAAATTATTCGTCTCTTATTTAATTAGCCTTTTTCTTATTGTTCCGTCGTGCATCGGGGCTAATTCCTTCGAGAAATGAGAACTATGTTTCCCCCCTTTAGCTATGTAATAAGATTTGTCCAATGATCGGTTGTTATTTCATGCATGATCAAGCGGAACTTCTTGTTGCCGATTTAGTGATTTTCAGTAGTTGCTTGTTATTTCATGCATGGGTGTTTCATCATTGGAGCTATATTCATGGGCACATGCCCGGCCCTGCTTATCACATGGGTACGAAAGGACGTGGAGCGTCATAATAGATTTCAAACCGTTAGATTGAACCAAAACAACCCTTTCGTTTTTCTTCTCAAATTTCCCCCCTTTAGCTATATAATAAGATCTGCCCAATGATCGGGTGTTATTTCATGCATGATCAAGCAATACTTCCCGTTGCTGATTTAGTGATTTTCAGTAGTTGTGCGTTATTTCATGCATGGATAAGTGCACGGGTGTTTCATCGTTGTAGCTATATTCATGGGCACATGCCCGGTCCCGACCTGCTCAACATGTAGGTACAAAAGGACGTGGAGCATCATAATAGGGTTCGAAATGTTTAGATCGAACCAAAACAAGCCTTTATTTTTTTTCTTCTCAAATTTCCCCCCTTTAGCTATATTACAAGAATCGATAGCACATGCGCAACTTAAACTCTACCGTTCAGTTCCAAACTAAACTTCGACTTGGTGTTTGGGTTGAAATCGAAGTGAAGCAAACAAAGTCAGTTTCAATTGGTTCAGTTCCAAGCTTTGATTCGATTTGGTTTGATTCGTCGTCCGAAATTAATTTCTACTCACCCATCGGATTGGACTAGGCCCGTTGATGGCAAGCAATGGGTTGGGCCTTGAACTCAAGCAATGGGTTCGAACTTTTAAGGTGCTGCTCACCCACGAAAAGATTGAGAGTCGGTACGCAAATCGGAATTCTCGAGCCCAATTGGATAGTGAGGAAAGAAAAAATTAATATGCAATGGTAACTTTGTATTGACGCGGTTGGCTGGAGGGTCGGAAATTTTCGAGTTTGAGAATTGGAGATCATTTGTTCGAATCGCACCAATTATGTGCGTGCCGTTCTGGATCAAGACCATCCGTATAAATCAAAGGCCTGGATTTAGGGCCTGTTTGGTTCAGCAATTCCAAATGACCCCAAAGCCTCTTGGCTAAATGCAAATAACGTTTGACGATTTGTTTGGAGCACTTTGGGAAAATGCAATTGCATTTCCAAAGGTATCTAAAGGCCTTTGGCTTAAGGTAGGTCCAGAGGCACTTTGGCAAGTTGCATTTCTAGAATGTAAGTTACTGTTCATCACATTGTTCATCTTCCCTGAGCAGCAGGTTTGAGGTCGGCAACCACCACCTGAGGGGTCACGCGACGACCTTAGGCTGGTTCCCTCGCCTAAGATCGCGCAACCCAAGCAAGCATTGGCTTGGGTCACACAACCTAGGCAACCCCATGCGGCGGTTGCTGAGGTCAAGCGACCCTCAAGCGACGCTTGAGGTCATGCAACCTTAGGTTGCCTCGCCTGAGGTTAGGCGATCTTAGGTGACGTTGGCCGGCGGCCGTTTTGGCCGTTCGGTGGCTGAGCTCCACCTCAAACATTTAAAAAAAAATAATTAGCAAAAGTTCTTTACAAAATTAGTTTTTACCAAACGGTATTTAGGCCAAAGTTACTTTCAAATGTGATTTTAAAATATACTTCACCAAATACTTCTTGCATTTTGAAAAATCCCTTTAGCCCAAAGTCATTTGCATTTTGTTAGAGACATTCCCTTAAAGTCAAACCAAATGGGCCCTTAATCGGTTCATGCGGCTTGTATAGTGCTTCACGTGCTTACCCGAGTCTCTACGCAATCCCTGAATTATAAAAATAATATATATCATATGGTTTATAAATCATGTAAGCGGAATTTCTTTTGCATAAACCCCTTTCAATTTTTCACATTAGCAGGAGATGGGCATCTTCTCTTGTTAATAGCAAAAGACCCAACAAAACTTTTCCAAAGAAAAACAAGAAAAGACCCAAAAACAAAGACTCCCAATTAGATCAGCTTGAGATCATTCAGCTACTAGGCCATGCTTTACTGGGGACGACATATTCACAAAGACTTTGGGAAACTCCTAGGTTCTTGCCATTTAATAATTTCCAGGGTCTCCTTTTTACATGCACTACAACACCACCACTCTAAAGTCGATTTCAGTGGTCAAGTTCCATCTTCGGCGGCCACTGATTTTTCCTTTCCCCTATCAATATCCCCATCGGTTCCTATCGATAAAGTACGTCGTTATAGTGTATTTCTCGATTAAATCGATGAATATATGTCAATTCATATCTATTTCTAGTTAAATTGACTCCGGGGTTTCTTTCGATATCATACTTTTGTCTTTTCCTATCGATAAAACATGTTACTATAGTGTATTTCTTGATAGAAATCGGTGAACATAATCGATTTTCAGTCGAATTGACTCCGGATTTTTCCCCATAGATTCGTTTTGCAGTATTCTAACATCGCACGAGAGATTGCCGGCATTTACCCGACGGTGTCCTGTCTTTTCTCTCACCGATTCTACCGTATAACTCACCGAGCACAGCGAACTATTGTCATCCGATTGGCGTGGGATTAGATTGGCTTATTACAAAAAACGTGATTTTTTTTTTCTTTCTTAATAGTCCTCGGGGGAGAAGGTGCTTAGAATTTGAACGGGTCAAAGTCAACTTCGGCAATGAAATCCACGACGCATTCATAGGCTCCCCCATTAGTTTTCAGCGTAATGCTCTTCCTTTCCAAACTACTAAGGTGGTCTTGTGGGGTATGCCGTGTTATTGACTCCAACGTCGAGTCACTTGAAAACAATGATAATGGTTGTGTCATTCGCCAATGTCCATCACTTTCCATCCAATTTTGGAGATTTAAAAGTTATTTTCGATCATTAATTCATCGTACTCGCTTTCACTTCTATATATATATATTTTTCATTTGAGTCAATCATAATAGTTGATCTTCTATTGGATTTTATAATCTTCAAGACATTATAATTTTCGGTCGGCCCTGGCCATTCATCGACTCAAACTCCATTTTTTTGGGGGTCAAGAGATAATTAGCGATCCGATCACGTTGACCGTTGCTTTTGAGAGTCCTGTATTTATTGCGAAATGTTCGATTTGAGCCGTATTTATTTGCACCGACTTGCTACTCGAAACTCTGAGGTCGACGAGCCTGCCATTGTGGCCCATCAAAATTTAGTAGTCAGAAAGTCTTTTCACATGACTTATGCTGTAATTAAGCAATGCAACTGTTCAGAAGTTTGCTCGGTCATAATCTCGTCGAAAATGGGCGATCCTATAACCATTAGGCCAACCACCTTAGTGATTGCAAGCCTAAATGTGTTTATCATTATCAACCAATAAATTTTTTTTTCCTATCGATTGCCATAAATATTGCAAGAGAGACAAATTTCGCGTATAAAACATGGCACATACAACGTTCGGTTACATGATCTTGGACCGCTGACTTGATCAATCGATCAGATCATTACTCATTTCACGAGATGTCTGTTCAAACTTTTACGTGACAACACATTGTTTTCTACACGAATGACTTCCGTCGGGATTAATTTTAAAATAATTATTCAATTATAAAAAAAATAAAATACTCAAATCATCAGCGATGCTGATCGAGACACACGACGCGTTTTCCCAAACGATCAATGCGCACGCGTAATCAGCCGGTTCCGCCACGCGTACAGAGTGTCCGGCGTTCATCCCGTGTCGCGTGAAGATTTCAGCTGGCAATTCACCCTGATCAGATCAGCGGCGTTCGTCAAATTTCGCGATCTCGCGCCCATTAGCCGGGCACCGTGCGTGCGCATGCAGAGCGCAATGCGTACGCGCGTACTCGTAAACCCAGTCTTCCACCGTCCACCGTACTCCTCGGGCGGGGTAAGTAGTCCGGTCATCGCTTTCGGTGCCGTTCGCAATTCCAAGCGTCCTCCAGTCAACACGGTGTGATTCGGAAGAATAAACAAGGAACGGCCCTTCTCCTCCTCCTCCTCCTCCTCCTCGGTAGTCTCCTCTCCAGTCCAGTCTTCTGTGCCGTTTACTCAGTAAGATTTTGACCCCCTGACTTCATTTGATTTCCTCCCCCACCTTCGTTTCTTGGTTCTTTCGTGCTCGAATATTATAGTCGTTCTCGAATCCCATGCGAGTTCTCGAACCAGTTTTGTGTGTGCGAGTGTGTGAAACCCACTGGCTTTCTAGGGGGTGAAGGGAACATCATTATTGGTTTCCCGTCCTCTCGCTTCTTCTCCCCTGCTTCGGTTCTGGCTTAGCAGCAGCACCCTGTTCTGAAACTTCATGCTCCTTTTTTTTTTTTTTGGTTGTTTAATTTCTATTGGTGTTGATCTTCCGTTCGTGGTTCGTGAGGTTCTAGTGTTTTGGTTTCCCGGGAGTGTCGAAATAGCCGGCTGAGTTCCTTCTCGGGTTAGCTATTTAATGCCTTGTGATACCGTTGTTCAACATTCTCTTGGTGCTTCATACGAGCCGGGTGTTGCTATTTTGTGCTACTAGGTTTGGTGGTTTGTTGTTTTTAGGACCTGGATATGACTGCACTTCTGAGAAAGTTCTTGCCTGTTGTTAGTACAGTCCCTAAAGAAGAAAATGACGATGGAGATTATAGCCTTGAGTACTCCATCGCTTTGGAGTACAAAGGCCCTATCTTCTCTGGTGATATTCCTCAAGCTCTACCCGTCAACATCGACGAAATTCCGACGGCTGCTGTTTTCCCGGCGGAGTCGTTGTTGCTGGATAGGTCATTGCCGATCATTCAGCCCATTAGGAAGAGAGATTTCAACCAGAAATTGTTCAAGGAGCTGGGAATAAGCAAAGAGGTATTCTATTCGGCTCATTCAATTGAGCCTTCAGTTGGTAATGCGGGCTATGGCACTCGCGCGCTTGGCAATGGAAACGATACCTCCCTTAAATCAGCAGGTGAGTTAGATAGTTCTAGAGGTAGTGATCATGAGGATGAACGTGTTTCTAAGTCATCTGATTCGGTCGAGGGTGAGACGAATATTATAGCTGAACCGAAATTACCTGATGATTTTGCGGAAGCCAATATGCAAATGCAATCTGCAGATTCCGCTCCTCCCCGCCCGTCCTCGAACAATTTGTCCCAAATGGAGGAGGATTCTGATAATGAGATGCCCCGCCACGCCAAGAAACCATCTGCTGTCACTTTCAGAGATCCGGACTCAGCTGATATTTTTGACGAAGAATCGGTTTTTAACGAGGTCGACAGTTTCCCTGTGAAGCAAAGAGCTGAAAATAATGGAAAGAAAGGGTCATGCTACCGCTGCTTTAAAGGGAGTAGATTCACAGAAAAGGAAGTTTGCATTGTTTGCGATGCAAAGTATTGTCAGAAATGTGTATTAAGAGCTATGGGATCTATGCCTGAGGGAAGAAAATGCGTCACCTGCATAGGCTTTAGGATCGATGAAATGAAGCGAAGTAACTTGGGGAAATGTTCTAGAATGCTAAAGTGGCTATTGCCAGAATCAGAAATGAAGCAAATAATGAGTTCTGAGGTATTGTGCCCAGCAAATCAAATCCCTCCAAACCTTGTTTATGTGAATGGCGAGGCTCTTGATGATAAAGAGTTGCTTTGGCTGCGGGGCTGCCCAAATCCTCCGAAAAAGCTAAGGCCAGGATACTACTGGTATGATAAAGTAGCTGGGTTTTGGGGTAAGGTGAGTTTGAAATTTAGCTTAGTTGAGCTTGTTTTGATGCTTCCGTCTCCTGTAACTTATCATTGCATGTTATCTTTTGTCACGCTACGAAGAAAGCTGATGATGTTGAATCTTGGTCAATTTGACAGGAGGGGCAGAAACCATGCCAAATAATCAGTGCCCAGTTAAATGTTGGGGGTTACATCAAAAGAGATGCTAGCAACGGAAACACAGATGTATTGATTAATAACCGGGAAATTACGAAAGAAGAGGTTTGGATGCTCAAGGTGATTGTCTAGGCATTATTTCACTCTGCTTGACATGCAATTCATCCTATGACAATCGACTGAATGCTTGTTCTTGAATTTTTGCAGTCAGCTGGAATTCCATGCGAAGGAAAACCTCATTTTTGGGTGAGTGCAGATGGATCCTATCAGGAAGAGGGGCAGAAGAATGCTAAAGGCCGTATATGGGACAAGGTAAGTCCTCGGTGATGATGTGGAATTTTTGTTATGGTGATTCGCTATCTTCTTTTAGTTATTGAACTTCTGGCGATGCTTGGTGTTTCCATCTACAGACTAAGACAAAGCTAGTCTGTGCAATCTTGTCTTTGCCAATTCCTCCAGATAATGCAAAATCTGGTGAAGAAACGACCAAAGACAGCCGTGGCCAGAATGATCTTCATCACAAACTGCTTCTGGTCGGCTTTGATAAATCCGGCACAAGCACTATATTCAAGCAGGTTAGAGTAATTAGAACAGTTCTAAGCTTTGATTAATCTTAGACAAGCAGTGATTCATGCTCCATCATGTGCTTTTCTAGGTAGACCCAACAGCTTTGTTAATCTTGATGTCAAGCGAAGCAGTGTTAAGTTCAGGGGTATAATGCTGTCTATGTGACTTTTAGTCAATTATGTACTAATTTCAGGCCAAGATTCTGTATGGTGTCCCCTTTTCTGAAGATGAACGTCAAAATATTAAGCTTATGATCCAGAGCAATCTATACTGCTATCTGGGCATACTGCTCGAAGGACGTGAGAGATTTGAAGAGGAAACTTTGAAGGGGAAGGGGAAAAGCCCGTTAATTGACCAACCCAGTTCTTCGGGTATGTTGTGAAGAAAGCTAACTTCGCCTCTTCATATATTCCTCTGTGATGATGGAAATAGTTATAGTCAGATCTTGGCATATCGCTTGTAGGGTGCAAACAGTTCGAAAGAGGAAGCTCAAGGGAGAAGGGAAAAGGAGTGACGATCGATGGATGCCGCTCTTCAGGTATAATATAAGGATTGACAGCATCTTTTGAACCTCTCTCTTAACTGCGTTTCTTCCTCTTGAGTTTGAACAGTTACTGTGGGTTGCTTTAGAGCACTGAGCGATGGGATGTGAGGCATTTGGAAAAGTCACATGCTCTAAAATGTCATAGCAGAAATGAATCTACTAGTTTTCATATATATATATTTCTTCTTCTGGATCAGCTGGACTAATTACTAATCAATTGACAGAGAAAATGTATCCGAAGGAAACTAAGTTGACCTATTCCATGGGCTCAAAGCTAAAAGCATTCTCAGATTGGCTTCTCAAGGTAATAGCATCTGGCAATCTAGAAGCCATCGTTCCTTCTGCCAGTCATGAATACTCACCTCTTATTGAGGAACTGTGGAAGGATGAAACCATTCAAGCCACATACAACCGAAGGAACGAGTTAGAAAAGCTCCCTAGAGTGGCTACATATTTTCTTGAGCGGGTGAGTTCTCACATCTTGATCTCTGTTCTGATTACTGGCAGTTCTAGCCTTAAATCAGATCCTTTTCCTGTCCTTGTACCTTTCTTAATTTGTGGGTTTGCCATTTTTTGTATGCTTCACTCCAGAGTCGGTAATAAATCACGATTTCACCTACGTTGCAAAAGATGTTTTTATTATTTATTTATTGAAATAACTATAATAAAAAAGGCACTTTCTCAATGGCCTAGACAGTAGACATATTTGATTCCAGCTTTGTATTCTGTGCAAATATAGTCATAAATTTGACTGCTCTGTCTCGCCAACTTAGACTCTCTTTCTTATCAGGCTGTTGAGATTTCAAAAGAAGAGTACGAGCCCTCTGATATGGATATTCTGTATGCAGAGGGAATCACCTCTTCTAATGGTCTTGCTAGCATGGAATTTTCATTTCCCACGCCAGCAAAATCAGATGGATACATCGACTCTATCGATCAGCGCTACAGCAAGATGAGGTACAGCCTTCTTCACTACACATTGCTTGATGATTTTGTCAACCACAGATTTGAATATGGTCGAGTGAATTTGGTAAATCAGCTATTTTTCATCCAAATTTAATTGATGAAGTGCTAGGACTTGCCTGTATAGCAATTAATCATAAGCTACTAAACGGGCCCGCAGTTTACTAGTTTACTACCCGAGACGACAGCCAAAACTTTAGTAGCTAAAACAATAATTCTGTGCTCTCTTGATAACCCGAAAGAACAGTTATCAGACAAATTGGGAGATCTAAGTGGCCTTTTTGTGTTCTGGACCTAATTGTTTCTGCATTGTTACTCCTCGGACAAATGTCGCACCAAAATGCACTTGATAGAAAATCGCCATCAACTACTAATTCTTGTAAGTTCATCAAACTACTAAATTATGGTCGACCGGGTTGATATATGATGTCTGGCAAATTAAGCAAGCAATTTACTTGACTTGGCAGGATCGTACTAGCCAGAGTTTGCAGAATATTGGTAAACTATACTCTATTTGACATAGCTTGGTTGAATCTGTAGGTACCAACTCATCAGGGTGCATCCTAGAAGCCTAGGGGAAAACTGCAAGTGGCTGGAGATGTTTGAAGACGTTAATATCGTCTTGTTCTGCGTCTCATTGACAGACTACGACGAGTCCTATGAGGACAATAAAGGATTACTAATAAACAAGATGATGGCGAGCAAGCAGCTATTTGAAAGCATCGTCACTCATCCGACCTTCTATAAAAAGGACTTCCTTTTGATTATGAACAAGTTCGATCTGCTCGAAGAAAAGATTGAGCAGTCTCCTTTAACTCAATGTGAATGGTTTTGTGATTTCCATCCAGTGATCAGCCATAACCACAATAATGGGACTTATGTTAATCCGGCTCCTTCATTGGCACAACGTGCTTTCCACTACATGGCAGCGAAGTTCAAACGGCTCTTCCATTCGCTTACCGAACGCAAGCTGTATGTTTCCCTAGTTACGGGACTTGAGCAGGATAGTGTAGATGAATCTCTTAAGTATGCGAGGGAGATTATGAGTTGGGACGAAGAAGATATCACAATCATCAACGAGGAATCTTCTGCAAGTGTGGAGACAAGCACCTCTTAGTTTTTTGGTCTCTTTTATAGTTTTTCACTCTCACAATCGGCGACAATCTGGTTATGCCTAGTTAAGAAGGCGTGGCTCCACAAACTTTAGTCGATATATACTGGCACATAGGTAAATCTTATGAAGTGGAATAGCTTCGTTTTTTTATTCTTTCTTATGATGCATTCAGAAGATGTACTCATGTAAATGTAGAATGAAATGCATCTCTTACAGTAAACTGTTCTCGGGATGAATGAATGAAGGAACTATTTTGGCCATATCGTTTTCCATATTGATTATAGAAACAGGGTCTATACTTAACTGTTATTGCAGATTCACAATCCAACTCTGGAGCCTCATACTGTAATGGGTGAAAGAGTTAGGCTTCGCGTCACTTGAAAGAATCCAGGGATTAGCAATCTTCTTCATCTGTCAGGTGGTTTGATTTTATCAAAGTTATGGTGGTTATAGGTGAATTCTAATCGCACTGATTGAGAATTAGCCAAGCAAAAGTTGCGGTTCACATTTTCAAAGGGCGTTGATTGGCGCATAACCAGAACTTTTATGCATATCCTTAATAAATTATCATCGAAACCTCATACAGGAGAAAACATCTGTACAATCGTTAACAGGGTGTAAAGCGATCCATAAGCAAACAGAGAGTGTCCTCGGACAATGTGGTCTCTGTCTGGACGCCTTTCCCTTCTGCCTTGTCTTTCTTGTCTTCGACTTCACCTCCTTTATTGGCAACTTCCTCTTCATGCTTTGATTTGTGCAAGACAAACTTCCCGAACCAGACCTTCTCTCTTAGCGTTCCCAGCTCATTCTCCCACATCTCCACCGATGCGGACATCTTGACCACGAACAAAGGAACACTTCTTGATCGAAAGCAGCACAAGTTCTTGATGGGATCGAAAGTTTGGATCTTTACTAATTCTGGTGCATCGATACCAGAAGAGAAGCAGATGGGTATAAATAAAAGAAGCGAGAGAATGATGGGTTGGTTGAAGAAGACCATAGAAATGTCCTGTTTCGCGTGGGAGAACAATAATTGAAGTCCTTCGGAGGCCATGAATACTGTCAAAACGTGAGGGACAAGGTGAAGGATATAACTCGAGAATATTCTAAAATAACGGCTCCGTTTTATCTCGGGGGCGGAGAAGTGATTGGATTCTGAATGCCCAGTCAGAGTACAAGTATGAACCCAAGTTTTGATATTGATCAGTCTTTTAGTAATATTTGCCGAACCAGTCTTGATATTGGAGAAGTATCATTTGGGTGCTTTGAGGAAATTCCAGTCCTGGGTTGAGGACAATATAGCAGTTGAGTTCATCTCTTGGGTGATGAGATCCGTCTTATCACTATACCTTCTTGGTTTGGAAGGCAGTAATGCAGACTGATAGCTAGTAACATATTTGAAAAATTCACCAATTCCAAACATTAAGTCCGTGGTTTCGGATCATGGATCGTTCGTTATTCGCCCAATTGAGTATTTGGTTGAATTCATGTGTCCTATTCGAAATATCAGATAACATGATTCAATAGGTGGGCACAATTTCAATCAACAAGGCGACGGTTTGGAAAGAACATAGTTCAACTACAAAATATGCAACACACTCCAGTTGCTCGTAACGCGGTATAACTTGGCCCGCAACCGCGTTATAACTGAGAATGCCAAAGGAACTGGAAGAACCGAAGTGCTCGACATGCAGCCATCACCTATTTTCACGGAACAAGAGAGATCGTCCTTGAGTTGGAGGGAACGTGTGCAATTGCCTAAACCCCATAAGTCTCCTTATGGGGCCGCAAACGTTGCGGTGTGATACAATGAATTGTTTCCGGAAACAGTTATCCTTCTTTTGGCTCATTTCCCACTGGACAAGCCCTGGCCATCATTCTCCAGCCAACTGATTAGCCTTCGCAACGTGTGGTGTAAGCATCCAAAGCTGTCCATCTTTCCAACTCTATAAACCAATCAAGAACTTGGAAGGCTCCTATCCCGCTGATGGAGCCACGAAGTTAAATGGCTCTTCTTCAAGTCCTCGTACTGCCATCATCATCAAAACAAGAAAAACCAGACAGAGGACTTCCTGCTGTGAGACTCCGAGAGACCACCAGTTCCCAGGGAGAGAGGAGAGGTGTAAAGCACTCCCATCACATGGTTTCTCTCGGTGCGAGTCCAAGTAATTTGGAGCTATATGTATCGAGCCAGGATGAGCAGAAATTATATTCCTAGTCCAAGCCCAAACCAAAGTACCAAATTGACCTGGCAATCAATGTGCTGCAACTCACTCACCAGACAGCGAGATTTGAAACAAGTTTGACCAGCACTTTGACACACCATTTGCTTATTCCCAGTTTTGCTCGTATCCATTTTGGCTCCATTGAGTTCAGGAGTTGGAATTTGCATGCAAATGCAGTATGCTGCACATTGCACCATGTGATGTTTTGAGAATGCAGCTCCCAAATCCCATCCGAATCGCTGTCGTCACAAACTCAAATCCACGGTGTCCACCCTCCATACATGTTGCAAAGGTTATCCACGCTAGAAGCTTGCTTGATTAGATAATCCACCTGCTCCGCTGTGCTCACTTCTCTGACAATAAAACACGTTGCTGTTAATACAAAATTATCACAGAGTATGAAGAATCAACAAAAATTTTACCTGGCTTCATCAATATCTCGGCCATCTAGTTTCATCTCTATGCGCCTCAGTACAGACAATGCGTAAGCATTTTTACCTACAGATGACCGAGAACGTAAAAAATAAGATTATGACCCAATACAAATACATAGTTTTTGATAAATACGAGACATAAAAAGCCATAACAGAGAACCAGAGAAATATTATCAGATCAACAATTCCAGAAATGAAAGAACAAATTCAACTGATTAGAATATTAGACAAAGCGCGTTAGTTAATCGTAGAATAAGGCCAAGTGGTAACATATTAAACTTTCGTGAACTAGTATGAGCCCTGTATCAGTGTCTACTGGGAAAGTTGCAACCTTCTAGCATCCATTTCTTTTCCACCACAAATTCATAAAAGAAAATTATCGTGGTAATTCTCGTGGTCGCCAACAGAACATAGGCTGAAATATTGGTCAGGCACATCAAACAAAACTGTAACTGAACTGTTGAAGAAATGAAAATCCTGCTGAAATGCAGTTGCAAGGTTCGTTCATTCATGACATTAGACATCAAATCACATAACCCGTGCATGTTAGCTTATCAAACTTCAACAGTCACTGGTTGACCCAACTAAAATACAATCTTCAGGGTAGAGATCTGGATCCAGGTTTCAGTTCAGCTATCGCTAACAAATACTGTGATTGGAAGTTAAGAAAGAAAAATATTCAAGCCCAAGCCTTTTAGTCCCCAAGTTTCGGCCAGGAGAGGCCGTCCGAAAAAACGCTCAGACGAGGAAAAGAACTTGCAAAACCATTGCAAAGACATCTAAGAAAAAGTTGAAAGTACAAAGATGCAATACTTACCCCTGGAAACTCGACCACCAGCATGGCCATTGGGATTAGGAGCTTCACTATATCCATCATCAATGATATTTCGGGATGTGGGCATCTCATTTTTACCTCTATACTCCAGCTCTGTTTCCTTATCCAAGGTGTCTGAAGCGAAAACAGGGAAAGCTATATCTTGATCCCTTGTAGATGCCCCATCATTCGGTTGCTCAGTTGTCTCACCTCTAAGTGGCATTACAGGAATACTCTGGCTATATTTGGCCCCTTCATGTGTAATTTCAGTGATCTGTCGGGGATCACTTTGGGATGAAGGATCCGTACATGTAGCCCCATCATCTCTGCAGCTAGAGTTGATCTCTTCTGCTAGGTCTTTCAAACTATCTGCAATACTTGCTTCAGGTGAGGAAACACTGGATCCCAAACTGCTAGTGCATATGCTGTCTGGCGGAGACACCATCGTTTATCTTGCAAAGAAAGTCCGGCAAGGCTCGCAAAATCCTGCGTGATTTCCTCATCAGGTGCTGGTAATTCCCCCTCCCTGTCATTGAAGGAAGAGGCATTGCCTGAAAAATTCGGCCTTGACAAATCAGTTCCCGGTAAATTTTCTTCCTGATTATCTCCTGCACCTTCAAGAGCCTGGAGAGAATGCAAGTTGAGGCTTACCTAAGTCAAGTGGTAATTGCAATGAATGGCAGCAAAGACTTAACAAGGGCACAAACCTAGCCTAGTGGGTCTGATGTTGACATGCGAAGTTCTGACAATAGTATCCTCAACATTAGACTCATCGGTATTATATTGTAATAATCAATAAGGTATTCATATTTGTAAATAATCATGTCTTCCGTGAGCGAACCAAATACATTAAGGTTGATTGTCAATTTGCACGTGAAAAAGTTCAGAAATGAGAGACCATTCTTCAACGTACAAGGACGTATGATCAGTCTGCAGATATTTTTACTAGATGAGTTTTTTATGCAACAAGTTGGGATTATTTGATATTTACATCCCAACTTAAGAGGGAGTGTTAATAAATATATTAGTGAGGGTAAAATAGTTATTTTACGAGGGTTTGATCATATATATATTCTTGTAATTCCTTTGTCAATAATTATAAGAAATGATTATCTCCTTAAACACAGTCAAACCCCACGGCTCCACAACGCCGTAATCCACCATTTCCATAAAATGCTACGGCTCAAACAGCTAAAAAAGTCGAACTTCACAACTCGAATTCCACCGAACTTCGAATTTAAGCCCTAATTCCGAAAACTCCTCCGATTGGAAGGACGGAGGGCGCGAGCACTTACCAGGCGTTGCGACGCGCAATCGATCCGACCTGACGAGACTAAGCATGCACGCGTAAACTCTTCTCTCGCCTTTCCTGTTCTTCATTTTCTTTCCCTTTTCCTTCTTCCTTCCTCTTGTTCTTTCTTTTCCCTTCCCCTCTTTTTATAACACTTCTTTTTCCTTCTCTTTTAAAAATAAAAATAAAAAAATCAATCCCACTTTTTGATCAAGACAAGAGAAAAAGAGAGGCAAATAACACATCCAACTTTTAAAAATCCGTTGGGGTCCAGGTGGAAGTTTCCCTCCAAGTCCAGGAGGACAGGGTCGCCACCCGTTTCCCCGTTTCCTACTTTCTTTCCAGGACGACGGAGAGTCAACACCTCCTCGGTTGACTCTTCCTACTTCGAAAGCCAAAGTCAGGAACGAACGAGTTCCTTCCTTCTCGCTCGATTCATCATCCACGCCAGTCCGATCCCTTCATCCTCCGCCACTTCCGATGGTGTTCAAGTACTACACTTTCGTCATCAACGATGATTTCCTCAACACTCGGCCCGGCTCGCCGCCAGCCTTCTCGCTTTCGCCATCTCCTCAAGCTTGCAGTGGTTGCATCGGCGTCGTCAGCAGATTCGGCGAATTGCAACTCCGGGATCGATCCAGGTACGGTCCTTGTCGGTCGTCTTTTGCAAGCCCGGTTGCTAGGAACCTGATCATCCTCCCTAGTGCTGCTTGAGATCGTCGATTCTCTGTTTAAAAAATTTTACTTCTCATCTCCATGTCGTGCGTCAGGGACGGAGGAGCCGTGGTGGAGATGCGGAACGAGGATGAGACGAATATTATAGCTGAAACCTCGCATTTGCCGAATTTACCTGATGGTTTTGCAGAAGCCAATATGCAAATGCAATCTGGTCTCAGCTACTGTCACTTCCAGGTCAAGAAACCATCTACTGCCATTTCCAGAGATCCAGACTCAGCTAATATTTTTGACGAAGAATCGGTTTTTAATGAGGTCGATAGTTTCCCTGTGAAGCAAAGAGCTGAAAATAATGGAAAGAAAGGGTCATGCTACCGCTGCTTTAAAGGGAATAGATTCACAGAAAAGGAAGTTTGCATTGTTTGCGATGCAAAGTATTGTCAGACATGTGTATTAAGAGCTATGGGATCTATGCCTGAGGGAAGAAAATGCGTCACCTGCATAGGCTTTAGGATCGATGAAATGAAGCGAAGTGACTTGGGGAAATGTTCTAGAATACTAAAGTGGCTCTTGCCAGAATCAGAAATCAAGCAAATAATGAGCTCTGAGGTATTGTGCCCAGCAAATCAAATCCCTCCAAACCTTGTTTATGTGAATGGTGAGGCTCTTGATGATAAAGAGTTGCTTCAGCTGCGGGGCTGCCCAAATCCTCCGAAAAAGCTGAGGCCAGGATACTACTGGTATGATAAAGTAGCTGGGTTTTGGGGTAAGGTGAGTTTGAGATTTAGCATAGTTGAGCTTGTTTTGATTCTTCCGTCTCTTGTAACTTATCATTGCATGTCATCTTTTGTCACGCTACGAAGAAAGCTGACGATGTTGAATCTTGGTCAATTTGACAGGAGGGGCAGAAACCATGCCAAATAATCAGTGCCCAGTTAAATGTTGGGGGTCACATTAAAAGAGAAGCTAGCAACGGAAACACAGACGTATTGATTAATAGCCGAGAAATTACGAAAGAAGAGGTTTGGATGCTCAAGGTGATTCTCTAGGCATTATTTCACTCTGCTTGACATGCAATTCATCCTATGACAATCGACTGAACGCTTGTTCTTGAATTTTTGCAGTCAGCTGGAATTCCATGCGAAGGAAGACCTCATTTTTGGGTGAGTGCAGATGGATCCTATCAGGAAGCGGGGCAGAAGAATGCTAAAGGCCTTATATGGGACAAGGTAAGTCCTTGGTGATGATGTGGAATTTTTGTTATAGTGATTCTCTATCTTCTTTTATTTATTGAACTTCTGGCGATGCTTGGTGTTTCCATCTACAGACTAAGACAAAGCTAGTCTGTGCAATCTTGTCTTTGCCAATTCCTCCGGATAATGCAAAATCTGGTGAAGAAACGACCAAAGACAGCCGTGGCCAGAGTGATCTTCATCACAAACTGCTTCTGGTCGGCTTTGATAAATCCGGCACAAGCACTATATTCAAGCAGGTTAGATTAGTTAGAACAGTTCTAAGCTTTGATTAATCTTAGACAAGTAGTGATTCATGTTCCATCATGTGCTTTTCTAGGTAGACCCAACAGCTTTGTCAATCTTGATGTCAAGCGAAGCAGTGTTAAGTTCAGAGATATAATGCTGTTTTTGTGACTTTTAGTCAATTATGTACTAATTTCAGGCTGAGATTCTGTATGGTGTCCCCTTTTCTGAAGATGAACGTGAAAAAATTAAGTTAGTGATCCAGAGTAATCTATACTGCTATCTGGGCATACTGCTCGAAGGACGTGAGAGATTTGAAGCGGAAGCTTTGAAGGGGAAGGGGAAAAGCCCGTTAATTGACCAACCCAGTTCTTCGGGTATGTTGTGAAGAAAGCTGCCTTCGCCTCTTCATATATTCCTCTGTGATGATGGAAATAGTCATAGTCAGATCTTGGCATATATCTTGTAGGTCGCGAACGGTTTGAAAGAGGAAGCTCAAGGGAGAAGGGGAAAGGACTGATGATTGATGGATGCCGCTCTTCAGGTATAATATAAGGATTGACTGCATCTTTTGAACGTCTCTCTTAACTGCATTACTTCCTCTGGAGTTCGAACAGTTGCTCCGGGTTCTTTTACAGCACTGAGCGATGGGATTAGGCATTTGGAAAGTTACATGCTCTAAAATGTCCTAGCATAAATTAATCTACTTGTTTTCATATGTATTTCTTCTTCTGGATCAGCTGGACTAATTACTAATCAATTGACAGAGAAAATGTATCCGAAGGAAACTAAGTCGACCTATTCCATGGGCTCAAAGCTGAAAGCATTCTCAGATTGGCTTCTCAAGGTAATAGCATCTGGCAATCTGGAAGCCATCGTTCTTTCTGCCAGTCATGAATTTTCACCTCTTATTGAGGAACTGTGGGAGGATGAAGCCATTCAAGCCACATACAACCGAAGGAATGAGTTAGAAAAGCTCCCTAGAGTGGCTACATATTTTCTGAATCGGGTGAGGTCGCACATCTTGATCTCTGTTCTGATTATCTTGCAGTTCTAGCCTTAAATAAGATCCTTTTCCTGTCCTTGTACCTTTCTTAATTTGTGGGTTCGCCGTTTTTGTATTCTTCACTCCAGAGTCGATAATAAATCACAATTTCACCTACGTTGCAAAATATGTTTTTTTTTTTAAATAACTACTATAAAAAAGGCACTTTTTCAATGGCCTGGACATATTTGATTCCAACTTTGTATTCTATGCAACTATAATCACAGATTTGACTGCTCTGTCTTGCCAACTTAGACTCTCTTTCTTATCAGGCTGTTGAGATTTCAAAAGAAGAGTACGAGCCCTCTGATATGGATATTCTGTATGCAGAGGGAATCACCTCTTCTAATGGTCTTGCAAGCGTGGAATTTTCATTTCCCACGCCAGCAAAATCAGATGGAAACATAGACTCTATTGATCAGCACTACAGCATGATGAGGTACAATCTTCTTCACTACACATTGCTTGTTGATTTTGTCAACCCCAGACTTGACTATGGTTGAGTTATCTGGTAAATCAGCTATTTTTCATCTAAATTTAATTGATGAAGCGCTAGGACTAGCCTGTATAGCAATCAACGATAAGCTTCTAGATAAGCATGCAGCTTAACTAGTTTACTATCTGAGATGATAGACAAAACTTTAGTAGCTAAAACAATAATTCTGTGTTCTCTTAATGACCCGAAAGAACAGTTATCAGACAAATTGGGAGATTTAAGTGGCATTTTTGTGTTCTGGACCTAATTGTTTCTTCATTGTTCCTCCTCAGACAAATGTCACACCAAAATGCACTTGATTGAAAATCACCACCAACTACTAATTCTTTTAAGTTCATCAAACTACTAAATTATGGTCAACCAGTTTAATATATGATGTTTTGCAAATTAAGCACGCAATTCACTTGACTTGGCAGGATCGTACTAGCCAGAGTTTGCAGAATTTTGGTAAACTATACTCCATATGACATAGCTTGGTTGAATCTGTAGGTACCAACTCATCAGGGTGCATCCTAGAAGCCTAGGGGAAAACAGCAAGTGGTTGGAGATGTTTGAAGACATTAATATTGTCTTGTTCTGTGTCTCATTGACAGACTACGACGAGTCCTATGATGACAAAAAAGGATCACTGATAAACAAGATGATGGCAAGCAAGCAGCTTTTTGAAAGCGTAGTCACTCATCCGTCCTTCTATGAAAAGGACTTCCTTTTGATTATGAACAAGTTCGATCTGCTCGAAGAAAAGATTGTGCAGTCTTCTTTAACTCAATGTGAATGGTTTTGTGATTTCGATCCAGTGACCAGCTATAGCCGCAATATCGGGACTTATGTTAATCCGGCTCCTTCATTGGCACAAAGTGCTTTCCACTACATGGCAGTGAAGTTCAAACAGCTCTTCCATTCGCTTACCGAACGCAAGCTGTATGTTTCCCTAGTTGCGGGACTTGAGCAGGACAGTGTAGATGAATCTCTTAAGTATGCGAGGGAGATTATGAATTGGGACAAAGAAGATATCACTTTCATCAACGAGGAATATTCCACAAGTTTGGAGGGAAGCACCTCTTAGTTCTCTGTCTCTTTATAGTTTTTCACTCTCCCAATCGGCGACCATCTGGTTATGCCTAATTAAGAAGGCGTGGCTTAGTCAATATATACTGGCACAAAGGTAAATCATAAGAAGTGGACTAGCTTGGATATTTTATTCTTTCTTATTATGCATTCAGAAGATGTAATCATGTAGATGCAGAATGAAATGCGTCTCTTACAGTAACTGTTCTCTGGATGAATGAATGAAAGAACTATTTTGGACGTATCGTTTTCCATATTGATTATAGAAACAGGGTCTATACTTGAATAGAATTGCAGATTCACATTCCTGACTCTGGAGCCTCATACTGTAATGGGTGAAAGAGTAGGCTTTGCGTCACTCGAAAGAATCCGGGGATTACCATATCTTCTTCATCTGTCAGGTGGTTTGATCTTATCTAGTTTATGGTGGTTATAGGTGAATTATAATCGCACTGATTGAGAATTAGCCAAGCAAAAGTTGCGGTTTACATTTTCAGATGGCGTTGGATGGTGCATAACCTGAACTTTTATGCATGTAAATCATGCGTGCATATCCTTGATAGATTGTCATTATAACTTCATACAGGAGAAAACACCTGTTAATGTAAAACGATCCATAAGCAAACATAGTGTCCTCGGACAATGCGGTCTCTGTCTGGACGCCTTTGCCTTCTACCTTGTCTTTCTTGTCTTCGACTTCACCTCCTTTATTGGCAACTTCCTCTTCATGCTTTGATTTGTGCAAGACCAACTTCCTGAACCAGACCGTCTCTCTTAGCTTTCCCAGCTCATTCTCCCACATCTCCACCAATGCAGACATCTTGACCCCAAACAAAGGAGCACTTCTTAATCGAAAGCAGCACAAGTTCTTGATGGGATCGAAAGTTTGGATCTTTACTAATTTTGGTGCATGGATATCGGAAGAGAAGCAGACGGGTATAAATAAAAGAAGAGAAAGAGTGATGGGTTGGTTGAAGAAGACCATAAAAGTGTCCTGTTTCGCGTTGCAGAACAATAATTGATGTCCGTCGGTAGCCATGACTACTGTCAAAACGTGAGGACAAGGTGAAGGATATCGCTCGAGAATATTCTAAAATAACGGCTTCTTTTTATCCTGGGGGCAGAGACGTGACTGGATTGTGAATGCCCAGTCAGAGTACATGTATGAAGCCAACTTCTGATATTGATCAGTTTTTTGGTACTATTAGACGAACCAGTCTTGATATTGGAGAAGTATCATTTGGGAGCTTTGAGTGTGACATCCGCAATTTTTTTCGTAGTTTCTAATATTTAGGACATTAGTAGTGAGATTATTAAGGTAATAAAATTAATTTAGTAATTGTCAACGGGGACTGATACGTTCCAAATTACGTATCGCATGAATTTCAAGCATTAAAAATTTTATTTCTATGCTATACTTTTTATTTATGATTTTAGCGATTTCAAAATAATTTTCTGAATTACCGGCATTTCAAACGAACACCGATTTCTCTATTTATTTACCGCAATGTATAATATATACCCAAAATACTTTAATATCTTCCTCTATTCAATTAAATTATGCTATTTGTCATTTTATTAGCATGAATAAATGTCTTAATTTTCACTCTATTTTGTCACATGCCTAATTAAAATATGACATCATGCATGACCTATTGCATTTTGACCCTAGCAAGTTATTATCTAGATATAACCATAGTTACTTGCTATTATAGCCTTTAACCCAAGTAAATAAATGTGACCCCAAAATACATTTAATTATGGTGAAATTTTGGGAGATAAGAGCTACAGAACATTTCTCTTCCTCCTGTTCTTCACGTCTGCTCCCTTCTTCTTTCCCTTCACGAACACATTTTCCATTTGGCTTTCTTTCAAAAAAAAAATTTTTTGGTAAAGACACGTATCGCACGTGACGCTCTGGGGCGTCACATTGAGGAAATTCCAATACAGGGTTGAGGACAATATAGCAGTTGAGTTCATTTATTGGGTGAAGAGATCCGTCGTATAGCGATACCTTCTTGGTTCAGAAGGCAGTGATGCAAACTGATAGCTACTAACATACTTGAAAAATTTACTACCGCCATCTGAAATTCGCCAATTCTGAACATTTAGTCCGTGGTTTTGGAACATGGATCGTTTGTTATTAGTCCGATTGAGTATTTGGTTGAATTCATGTGTCCTATTCGAAATATCCAATAACATGATTCAATAGGCAGGCACAATTTCATCCGATAAGGCGACAGTTTGGAAAGAACATAGTTCAACTACAAAATACGCAACACACTGCAGTTGCTCATAACGTGATATAACTTGGCCCGCAACCGCATTATCACTGAGAATGCAAAAGGAACTGGAAGAACCGTAGTGCTCGACATGCAGCCATCACCCATTTTCACGGAACTAGAGAGCTCGTCCTAGAGTTGGAGGGAACGTGTGCACCTGCCTAAACCCCATAAATCTCCTGATGGGGCCGCAAATGTTCTGATGTGATACAATGAATTGTTTCCGGAAACAGTTGTCCTTCTTTTGGTTGCTTTCCCACTGGACATGCCCTGGCCATCATTCTCCAGAGAACTGATTAGCCTTCGCAACGTGCGGTGTAAGCATCCAAAGCTGTCCATCTTTCCAACTCTATAAACCAATCAAGAACTTGGAAGGCTCCTCCGGCTACAGAACGATATCCAGCTGATGGAACCAGGAGAAAAAAAATGGCTCTTCTTCAAGTCCTCGTGCTGCCATCATCATCAAAAGAAGAAAAACCAGACAAGAACTTCCTGCTGTGAGACTCGGAGAGACCACCAATTCCCAGGGAGAGAGGAGAGGCGTAAAGCACTCCCATCACATGGTGTCTCTCGATGCGAGTCCAAGTAATTCGGACCTATATGTCTCAATCCAGGATGAGCAGAAATTATATTCCCAGTCCAAGCCCAAACCAAAGTGCCAAGTTAACCTGGCAATCAATGTACTGCAACTCACTCACCAGACAGCGAGATTTGAGACAAGTTCGACCAGCACTTTGACACACCATTTGCTTATTCCCAGTGTTGCTCGAATCCATTTTGGCTCCATTGACTTCAGAAGTTGGAATTTGCATGCAAATGCAGTGTGCTGCACATTGCACCATGTGATGTTTTGAGAATGCAGCTCCCAAATCCCATCCGAATCACCGTTGTCGCAAACTCAAATCCACGGTGTCCACCCTTCATACATGTTGCAAAGGTTATCCCCGCTAGTAGCTTGCTTATATTAGATAATCCACTGCTCCGCTGTGCTCACTTCTCTGAGCTCACTTCTCTGAGCTCACTTCTCTGAGAATAAGATATATTGCTGTGAATACAAAATTAACACAAAGTATGAAGAATCAACAAAAATTTTACCTGGTTTCATCAATATCTCGGCCATCTAGTTTCATCTCCATGCGCCTCAGTACTGAGTCGACTGACAATGCGTAAGCATTTTTACCTACAGATGACCGAGAATGTAAAAAATAAGATTATGACCCAAGGCAAATATTATATCCAACTTTTAAAAATACGTTGGGGTCCAGGTGGAAGTTTCCCACCAAGTCCTAGAGGACAGGGTTGCCACCGTTTCCCGCTTTCCAGGACGACGGAGAGTCAACACCTCCTCGGTTGACTTCCTACTTCAAAAGCCAAAGTCAGGAACGAACGACTTCCTTCCTTCCCGCTCGATTCATCATCCACGCCAGTCCGATCCCTTCCCCCACCACTTCCGATGGTGTTCAAGTACTACACTTTCGTCATCGATGATGATTTCCTCCACACTCGGCCCGGCTCGCCGCCGGCCTTCTTGCTTTTGCCGTCTCCTTGAGCTTGAAGTGGTTGCATCGGCGTCGTCAGCAGATTCGGCGAATTGCAACTCCAGGATCGGTTCAGGTACAGTCATTGTCGGTCGTCTTTTGCCAGCCAGGTTGCTAGAAACCTGATCATCGTCCCTAGTTCTGCTTGAAATGGTCGATTCTCTGTGGAAAAAATTTTACTTCTCATCTCCATGTCGTGCGTCAGGGACGGAGGAGCTGTGGAGGAGATGCCGAACAAGGATGAGACGAATATTGTATCTGAAACCTCGCATTTCCCGAATTTACCTGATGATTTTGCGGAAGCCAATATGCAAATGCAATCTGGACTCAGCTACTGTCACTTCCACGTCAAGAAACCATCTACTGTCACTTCCAGAGATCCGGACTCAGCTGATATTTTCGACGAAGAATCGGTTTTTAATGAGGCCGACAGTTTCCCTGTGAAGCAAAGAGCTGAAAATAATGGAAAGAAAGGGTCATGCCACTGCTGCTTTAAAGGGAATAGATTCACAGAAAAAGAAGTTTGCATTGTTTGCGATGCAAAGTATTGTCAGAAATGTGTATTAAGAGCTATGGGATCTATGTCTGAGGGCAGAAAATGCGTCACCTGCATAGGCTTTAGGATTGATGAAATGAAGCGAAGTAACTTGGGGAAATGTTCTAGAATACTAAAGTGGCTCTTGCCAGAATCAGAAATCAAGCAAATAATGAGCTCTGAGGTATCGTGCCCAGCAAATCAAATCCCTCCAAACCTTGTTTACTTGAATGGTGAGGCTCTTGATGATAAAGAGTTGCTTCGGCTGCGGGGCTGCCCAATCCTCCGAAAAAGCTAAGGCCAGGATACTGCTGGTATGATAAAGTAGCTGGGTTTTGGGGTAAGGTGAGTTTGAGATTTAGCTTAGTTGAGCTTGTTTTGATTCTTCCGTCTCTTATAACTTATCATTGCATGTCATCTTTTGTCACACTACGAAGAAAGCTGATGATGTTGAATCTTGGTCAATTTGACAGGAGGGGCAGAAACCATGCCAAATAATCAGTGCCCAGTTAAATGTTGGGGGTTACATCAAAAGAGATGCTAGCAACGGAAACACAGACGTACTGATTAATAACCGGGAAATTACGAAAGAAGAGGTTTGGATGCTCAAGGTGATTGTCTAGGCATTATTTCACTCTGCTTGACATGCAATTCATACTATGACAATCGACTGAAAACTTGTTCTTGAATTTTTGCAGTCAGCTGGAATTCTATGCGAAGGAAGACCTCATTTTTGGGTGGCTGCAGATGGAACCTATCAGATAGAGGGGCAGAGG